AAATTATGTATTCGATAGTGGGGATCACGCGCATCTTATTATCGTTAGAAATTTTCAGCAGATTCAGACTCAAAGATCGAGTTGTGTAAAGTGACCAGGAGGCCACCCGCCCGGGATCATTGGGGCGCCCTTTTCTTTGCCACCCCTCCCCCGCAGCCTTCCCCAGAAAGAAGAGGCCTTTCAGGACACCCGTTCCCATCGTCTCTGTGGTGTAGTGGGTTGGCGCCCGGTCTACCACACGTATGGTCAGGAGTTCGGGTCCTGGGAGAATCCAACCTTTTGCTTTTTGGTAGTTTAGCAACAAAACGTATTTCTAGGCTCCCGATGTGCGAGGTTTAGGCCTGACCTTCGCTCTAGCGCCGCAGGCCCAAGAAAAGGGGCTTGAACCAGGCTCTTGCGCCGCAGGCCAACGATGGGTCCTTGGCCCAGGCTCTCGCGCCGCAGGCCAAGCCTGGGGGGAAAACCAGTAACTAGCGCCTCAGACCTAATTATCCTAGCGCACCGCTGTCTCTGACGCCGCAGTCCAAAGAATGGATCCTTGACTCAGGTACCTGCACCGCAGACCCAAAAAAAGAAGGTATTCAAATTCATGGTTTCTGGACGGGGTCCAGTGGAAAAGAGCCGCGAAGCGGTCTTTTTCCACTGGTGAACAAATGACCCACGTCCAATTGAAGATGAACAGTTTAGGGCTGCTGTCGTGCCGAAGAAGACAGTTGCAAGGAAGATGATGGCTTTCGGAGACATGACTAAAACACTGTTTTTTTAGTGCTCGGCGGCTTACCTTGAGATGGAAGCTGTTGGAGATGAGTGGATGCTGATTTCCATCCACTGTCGAAGGCTTTTATAGGGTACGAATCAGGAAGAACAACGGGATACAAAGAACTGGCCTTCATGCGGTCGCAACCAAATGTCAGGCCTGGACAAATAATGTCTATCTGGACCCTTCGAGAGCAACATGTCGCTTTACAGACGAACCGTCGGTTGCCTTGTTTCGGACTTGATTGTCGATTTGCGTTAATAACATCGGAAGAGCATTGTTGGATGCTATGAGTAGGCCAAGGCAGTCAGAAAGTTTCTAAACTACAAATACCCAAATACCTGGGAAGCAGGATGGGATACGGATAAAACACCCATTGAAGCCTTGAAGCTTCATTCACTGGACCTGCCAGTTCTTCACGTATCATATCCGATCTTTTTCGCTTTGGAAAACCTTCACAATTTTTACGAGACAGTGTCGACAAATCGACAACGAAGCCTGAAACAAGGCACCCGGCTGTTCGTCTGTAAAGCGACATGTTGCTCTCGAAGGGTCCAGATAGACATTATTTGTCCAGGCCTGACATTTGGTTGCGACCGCATGAAGGCCAGTTCTTTGTATCCCGTTGTTCTTCCTGATTCGTACCCTATAAAACCCTCAGACAGTGAATGGAAATCAGCATCCCCTCATATCCAACAGCTTCCATCTCAAGGTAAGCCGCCGAGCACTAAAAAAAACAGTGTTTTAGTCATGTCTCCGAAAGCCGTCATCTTCCTTGCAACTGTCTTCTTCGGCACGACAGCAGCTCTAAACTGCTCATCTTCAATTGGACGTGGGTCATTTGTTCATATCCTAGCCAGTTGTCTCAAGCCATTCAAGTATGTGCCATCATTTAGCATGCGTTTCTGGGAGCTGCAGCGGTCTCGGGCCGGTAGGAACTGTCTGCACCGCAGATGGATGCTGTGCCGGTCCTAATCTTATTGACGGTACCACGGGACGCGAGTTTATTTGCACCGGAGGATCTATCGGACGTAAGTTGATTAACATGTGGCGCAACTAGTCGTGGAGGCTATCAAAACATAGTATCAAATCATTTCTCATTTTCAGCCTGCCTTTCTGGAGCGTGCCCAAACGCCAGTGATACAACTTGTGTCGGAGTACAGGTCGACGGCATCGGCGAATGCTGCCCTGGAGCTGCCATTGCTGTGGTCACCACAACCAGTACCACTACACGAACCACGACAGGTAGTACTTTGAAGGCTGGAATAACGCAGAAGAATAGTATATCAACACTCTAGAAGGAATGCTAGCTATAATAGATGAAGGTGCCATAATAAGCAGTCTCATTTAGCCACCTGCGTCGATCTCCTCAATCCGGTGACCGGAGTCTCGGATTGCCCGAAACGAGCCTCGCTCTGTGGGGATTCCACCTATTACTCCGTTATGGCCGTCCAGTGCCGGAAGACTTGCGGATTCTGCTCTTCGACTTCCAGCTACTCGTCAAGTAGGACCACTTTTTCGCTTAATATCAGAACTTTTAGCTTGTGTCGACCAAACCAACCCTTCCACGGGCGTCTCGGACTGCTCGTCCCTGAGGTAGAGGGTCTAGACTTGATAGCAGCGTTTTGTTTTAGTTACCTGTGCTCGAACTCGCTCTACTCGACCCTGATGGCAACGCAATGCTGCGCCACCTGCTCGAGCTACGGAAAATAAGCATAAGACGGACAATCAAAGCTCTCGATGCGTAGAAGTAGCATAGCTAGAATTGCTTTGAATAAATTAACCGTGACTTGCTTGGCTTACATGGATTTTCAAATGCCGGTCAATGACAAGACACAGCGTCCGGTATGCGAAAGCCTGACCAGTAAGTTTCAAAAAAGTTAATGAAAAAGGCACGAATAGTCATCCGTTTGCAGACCGTCAACCAGCTATTTTAGGTGCTACTGCTCGTCACAACCCAAAAACCGCTCGACAGGAAGTTGTCGTTCACTGTTGACGTAGGTGGGAATTTGGCAACTTTGACGCCATTTATGCAAACTTCTGGTTCTTCTCCCCTTCCAATCGTCACCCCTTCGCCTACGACCATACCACGTTGAAAGCACGGCATCCCGTCCGATCTGCCAAGTTAAGCAACGTTGGGCTCGGTTAGTACTTGGATCGGAGACGGCTTGGGAATCCCGAGTGTCGTAGGCTTTTTGCGGTTTTGACTTCGAAGTCTGGTTTCTCCTGCACCTGAATCCATTTTGGCTTCCGGTACCTGTGATTTGCTCGTGAAGGTAAGTGGTGAGTTTATTTGAACGAACTATCGAAATATCTATGCCGATGCCTAATCTGTACATGATGCCATTGGACGAGTCTGATTATTTTCCGTAGCTGGCGCAGGTGGCGCAACACTGGGAGGCCATCAAGGTCGAGTAGAGCGAATTGTTGCAGAGGTACCTAGAAGTTTCCAGTATTGGTGATTCTTAAACTGTCTATATCTTCAGTGGATTCTTCTAGCGCAGATTACGCTGCTTACCTGAGGCTGGAGCAGTCTGAGATTCCGGTGTAGGCGTTCGTCTGATCAACGCATGCTAAAAGTAGGTGCTTTATAGGCTGTAATTCGTTATTTACTCGACGAGTAGCTAGAAGTAGTGGCGCAGAATCCGCACGTCCTCCTGCACTGGACGGCCATCACCGAGTAGTAGGTAGAGTCTCCACAGAGAGCACGACGCTTCGGGCAGTCAGAGACGCCAGTCACAGGATTGAGCAGATCGACGCAAGTGGCTGAATATTGGGTATGAGAGTTTTTCAAGTGAAGGAAAAGACGCTCTCCCGGACGAGATACCAGCTGCACTATGCTTTAAAAGTAACCTACCTGTCGTGGTTCTGGTGGTAGAAGTGGTGGTTGTGACGGGAACGATACCAGATCCTGGGCAGCACTGTCCGACTCCGTCAATCTGAGTACCGACACAAGCCGTATCGGTTGAGGCTGGGCACGCTCCAGCATTGCATGCTAAATTTGGCGAGTTTTAAATGGAGCGTCAAGCTGCATTTCGAAGGTATGGCTGTGATTTTGACGTGTTATTTTGATGATGTACCACATCTTCCCATGGGAACCTACGTCCAATGGCTCCTCCCGAGCAAGTGAACGCCGTGGTCGAGCCGTCAATAAGATTTGCGCCCGCGCAGCATCCATTCGCTGTGCAGATCGTCCCTTGCGTTGCGCTGACGCTGATGCAACTAGCCGAGCTAAGGCAAGCTGGAATTTAGAGTTATCGATACATTGGTGAGTTAGGTTTTTATAAAAATCTCCAATTCCTTACGTCCCAAAGCCGAGGTGCAGTTCAGGGCCGCGCTTGTGCCGAAAAGAGCCAAAGCAAGGATGATGACAGATGTGGAATGCATGGCTCTACTAAACAGTGAATTTGAAAAAAACGTTTGAGACCTTACCTTGACTTGCAGGCTGTTGCGATTCAGCGGATGCTGCTGTCGAGGCCATTACGTTGGCTTTTATAGTGGGCGAATGAGGAACAAGCCGTACAAAGAAATCGCCATTATCCCGTACATCAAATGTAGAGCCTGCACAAATAAATCGTCGCTTTGAATACACATCGATACGCCCACGTAGCTGCGGACAATCGCCCCCCTTGTTTTACACGTGTCCATTGTCTATTTGCAGATTGGAAACAGCATAGTTTGACATTAGAAGCAAAAGTATCTGCATAGCATTTACAGCGCCAAGAAAAATTTAGCCCCACCTCATATGATTAGACGAAATGCGAGACGCAATGTATCAAAAAGAGTCAAAAGTGTGACAGAAATGGCAAAAAGCCTACGACACTCGGGATTTGATGGTATATACCAGTCTCTAGCAGGGCAATCCTCCAAAAAGCGAGCATCTGCTCGTCTGATACCTCTACCTAGCTCTGTACGAGCTGGGGTGACTGTTGTCTGAGACCTCTAGCTCTGTCCCAGTCTTGGGCCACCGCTAACACTTCACCCTCACTTCCCAACCGCCCGTCGCCTACGACCATACCACGTTGAAAGCACGGCATCCCGTCCGATCTGCCAAGTTAAGCAACGTTGGGCTCGGTTAGTACTTGGATCGGAGACGGCTTGGGAATCCCGAGTGTCGTAGGCTTTTTGCTGTTTTAGCGCGTGTATTTATCAATTTTATGCGGAAAAATTAATTGGGAAGATTGTTATTTTACAGGTTTCCGTAAAATAACCGTGCGTTGTCGCGATTTCCTGTTCATCAGTGTTTGTTCTGTTCTGTTTACTGTGTATGTGTATTTTTTGTGGCTGAGTAAGCAAATAAAATATATTTTTTACCTAACGACAACAACAACCACATCACCGAAATATTATGACCCGCAAAAAACTGTATAAATTCCTTATCAATCCTTCTTTTTCTTGCCCAACAGCAGCAGATTCTCCGGGGAAATCTTGGAATTTACGTACTCGAACATCTCGACCTGAAAGGAAAGTGTATTTTTGTGGCTTTAACGTCAGTCTACCTCATAGCCAAGTTGTCTCAAATGCTCGGCACGCCCTTCCTCAAGCAGCAATTTAGCGCGGCGCCCGATGAATGCGCGATAGGGGCGTGACCTGGCCAAAAACTGAGTATTTGGAAGTCAAAATACCATGGCAATTCTTTTGTATTCTCCTCTTCGGTGGGAGTTTCAATTTTTGGTTTTTTAGGTTCGCTTTGAGAATCCGTGTTTCCTTGTGGTTGTTCCTAGAATTCGTGTGGTTAATTAAAAATTGAGGTAGTTTTCCAACCTCTTCCATTCCGCAAGTGCTCCACGAAGATATGTGTCGCAGGGCAGAGAAGTCGACTTCGTTGTCGAAGCCGAACTTTTGAAGATGGGCGCATCCGACATACTGAAAAGGAATTGATTTGAATAGCTCAAATCGATGGATAGTAGCTTTAAGAAATGACCTTTTTTATTAAAGTATTTATCCTACCTCAGCGTATCGCATTTTGTGATGGCAACAGGGCACCAACACGAATCCGGTCAAGTCGAGCCCTCGATTCACCCCGTTCCACAAACAGCGAATCCCCGCATCCGTCGCGCTCCCACAAAAGTGCTTTTGGACCGCGAGCAACGAGCTTTGCCCCTAGACTCAATTTATTACTTTCCAAAAACACTATAAAAATACCTCTAAAGCATCCACCTTCGACAAATCCAAATGCTCAATCGAACAGCGCAGCCTTGTCATTACCAAATCCGGGTTTTCCTATCACAAACGGAACTTTTTTGATAATTTGCTACTTACACGAATCGCATACTTGTCATATTTATTCCGGGAGCCACTGCGATCAACCAGCAAAAAGTGGGCGAGTGGAGCAACCTCGAATGAATGTAAAATTTCGACCAACTGTCTTACTTTTGACATCCAATAAGCCAGATGCGCTTTGCCGGCTCCGAGCTCAAAAACGCTGGAGCTCGATTCATTCATCAGCAATTCGGCAGCAGTGAGATGGCCTAGAAAATTAAGCATTCGGTTTAAAAACAATTAAAAATACCTATGATGCTGCCAAGTTGAACGAGATGTTTTCGTTGTAGGGGCCCGAGGTCCGTTTGTTGCTCGAGACGAGCGTCGACGAGCGGGCAGGAGAGCTGAAATAGCATATTCATTAAATTTCGAATGGTTTAATACTACACGATAAAAATGAAACGTACCTGGGAGCAAGTCGGTAGTTGATCAATCGATTCGAGCTTCTCCAGCCGTTCGACGAGCGAAATAAGCTCTTCCTAACTGCAAAATATACGGTTTTAGAGGCTCAAAATACCTTGCTCGGCCTTCGGTCGATACACGCAAACGACGCGACTTCACCGTTGATGGCATTAAGGTCCTTGACAATCCATGGATCCTCGATGAGCCGAGAATTGCAGCGTTCCCTAAAATTAAACGATAATGTTTTGGAAAAAACAAAAACTTTCGATAGAAAACTCACCTCAAATGTACCTCGAGCTCGCTCAACTTCACGGTATGCTTCGGGTCGTTTGGGCAGGGAATTCGGTCCTAAAAAGCAAAATTAGACTAATTTCTAAGGCATAAAACCTTATTATCCGGGTCGGCAGCTGCATGCTCACCACAATACAGTTGCCCTTCCTTCACTAGCATCCGGCACTAAAATTTATATTTGCAACAGAAGAAACAAAAAGAAAAGTTCGATAAAATAACTATAAAAACTCACTTTTCGCTGCTTCTTCGGTAAAACATAAGCGCATCGCTTCGCTTCATCCTCTGAAGACTTCATTCGGCTTCTGGTGGCTATAAATATTGTAGTTACAAGTTTCATTCGACAGCTGAGCGAAAAATATAAAAATCGGGCTGGAATCGCCTTACGACGTGTAATGAGAACTTCCGCGGCCGCCCGGAATAGAAATAGAGCGCGAAGAGGCAGAGGGGCGAGGCAGAGTCAAAAAAGAATGAAAAACACCCCAGTACAGTAATCGGAGAAGAGATTTCACCCTTTTTTAGCGTTCTTTGACGAGCTAGACGTGTTTTTAGGCTCGTAAATCATTTGCCTAAAGCTAACCTAGTGGAAAAAAAAGATTTTTCATAAATTAAAAACAGCAAAAAGCCTACGATACTCGGGATACCCGGGATGCAACTCCCCAATATCACTTCCGGTTGCCCACACTATCCCCGTCTGGCCCACTATTTTGATTGACCATCTACAGTACCCGTGTTTGGATAACCTACCTGGAAGTGATGATCCTCGATCATGAAGGAGGAGATTCTGTGATGAGGCCCGGCCATTGCACTCCCCGGTCAGGCTGAACCACAACACCATCCCCCAATAAGGGATCGTGTACTTTCCAATTTTTGAGTGAGGGGTCCCGGGCGGTAGCGGGGACCCTGCTAATACCGAAGTCGTAGGGTTGGATCTCTCCCTCCCTTACCCACGCTCTCCCTCTCTCTCCTCTCTCTCTCTCTCTTCCTTTCTCTCTCTCTCTCTCTCTCACTCTCTCTCTCTCTCTCTGATCGGCCACGCGAAAAAAACAAGCTAACAATTTAAAGGTAAGTGGAAAACGTTGAAAGACGTGCTTTGTGCACTCCCTTTGGGGGAATGCGTTCCAAAATTTGTTCGAAACTCTCTTTTGAGGAGGTCTCGGGGTCAATGCTAACCTCAAACTTGGGTAATTAAACCGAAGCTGTCGAGGGGTGGCTTCTTATCTGAGCGCTCTTGATGGAATATACCAGTCTCTAGCAGGGCAATCCTCCAAAACGCGAGCAACTGCTCGTCTGATACCTCCACTACCTATCTCTGTACGAGCCGGGGTGACTGTCGTCTGAGACCTCTAGCTCTGTCCCATTCTCTGCCCACCGCTAACAGTTCACCTTCCCTCCCGGTCCCCCTTTCGCCTACGACCATACCATCGGGAATATCCCGGGGTGCGTCTTATATTCGGTCCGACAGCTGTGCTGGCGGTGTCACCAAGTCTGCTTTGGGCGGAACTGGGTCAAGGGGTATCAAGACGAAGGGCAACGCACTAATAGATAATGATCAGGGACCCTCTCATAGCGATCAAATACATCTTAATTTTGCATAAACTAAGGCGATTAAGATTAACTTGACGACTGGTTCGTTAGGAAGCAGGTAAACATTTTAAATTTGCATGCAACTCCCCAATATCACTTCCGGTTGCCCAAACTTTCCCCGTCTGGCCCACTATTTTGATTGACCATCTACAGTACCCGTGCTTGGATAACCTACCTGGAAGTGATGATCCTCGATCATGAAGGAGGAGATTCTGTGATGAGGCCCGGCCATTGCACTCCCCGGTCAGGCTGAACCACAACACCATCCCCCAATAAGGGATCGTGTACTTTCCAATTTTTGAGTGAGGGGTCCCGGGCGGTAGCGGGGACCCTGCTAATACTGAAGTCATAGAGCTGGATCTCCCTATCTCCTCTCTCTCTCTCTCTCTCTCTCTCTCTGTCTCTCTCGCTTTCAAATAGCATCCGGCTACCGAAAGAGGGTAGGACTTAGAATTTCATAGCTGTTGGGATCAGCTTTTTACTTTCGTCAAAATCGGATAAATCGGAACATCACAGCGTCGTCCAGAATTGTAATAGGAATCCCTCTGACTAGCAATGCGCGCTATTGTTCCCGCTCTACCGAATATGAAATTTGGCCCAGCTATATATACGAATTCTACCGGGAATTCTTGCCGACATCCTCCTTTGGAGCGTCTTAGGTTGAAAATGAAGTGCCTGCTGCTGTTCGTCTGCGTCGCCGGCGTCCTCGGCGATTTCTGGCCGTATTTCCACCATCGCAACGGGCAGAAGCCGGAAGGTGAGCGTTTGGAAAGGTCATTTGCGGAACCGTCTTTCGCCACCTTCATCTCTACATAACTATGGAAAAGTTTTGCGGCCGTGCTGCACAGATACTTAATCGACTTCACGTGATTTCCTACTCCGTTCATCTGAAAAATTGCAGATTGCCTGGAGCAGGAGTACTTCGTGAAAGAAGGCTCTCGCTGCGATGCCGAATTGTGCAGCGGGCCGGTGAGAACTTTCTTCTTCCAAACCCGTTGTCTCTGTCTGTCAGTCTGTTTTGCTCTCTCTCTCTCTCTCTCTCTCTCGCTATGTATGCAAAACCACCGAAGTCAGTCCCGAAATCATATATTTAGGCCACATGCCCTCGCATCCTTGCATATAACGTTTGCTTGTGCAAGCCCGGCCTGGTGAGAAGAGCCGACGGTAGATGCACAAAGAAGGATGAATGTACCGAGGAAGAATCCAAATCCGAAGCCGTGACTTGGTGAACAGAATAAAACCTAGAAAACACGATATGCAGAAATTGTAGCAAAATTCAGAATCACATAAATAGTAACCTAAAATCTAGAGTAAATTTAGGTTGCAGAAGATCCAAAGCATCGCTCCTCTGAAACCAACTAAAAATTGCAAAAAGCCTACGACACTCGGGATTCCCAGGCCGTCTCCGATCCAAGTACTAAACGAGCCCAACGTTGGTTAACTTGGCAGATCGGACGGGATGCCGTGCTTTCAACGTGGTATGGTCGTAGGCGACTGGTTGGGGGTTGGAAGCCCTGAAGAAGCCGGGATATTTACATTTTTTTCATTTGGAACTTGTATTATGGCATTATTTACGCTTTGTGAACCACTTCTCCTGAATTATTTTGGGCTGCAAGTATCAGCTCTCGTTCACGATCGACAAATGTTCGGATTTATAGTCTAAAGTTCTAAAATAGTCTAAAATTCCTTTTTTAGACTTTCCGTCTATTTCGCCACAATTGGAGCGAACAGACAGTGAAAAAAACGAGAAAAAAAGCCGTCGATTGTCTGCTATTGCGTCGACATGCAGATCCTATTTGGAGAGACCCAGAATTATTTGTACAGGCCTGTCATTTGTATCAGGCTGGAATATCGGTTGTTTCTCTGTGTCCGAAACTTCTTTCGCCTGGCCGGACATATAAAAGCCATGAGATGGTACGGGAAACATCATCGGCTCGACTTGCAACGCAAAGTATCACTTCACACCTAAAACCAATCAAGAAAAATGAATTTTGCTACGAAATTGGTTGCCGTCGTTCTTTTCTCCTTTTGCCCTCTTTGGGACCAGTTCCGCCCTGAATTGTACTTCTGCGATTGGACGTGAGTTTTGTTATTTGATACCTTGCAATAACTTATTTTTATACACGACAACGTTTATTTTAGCATGCCTCGCCAACGTCAGTTGCGTCGGCGTCAGCACTACGCAGGGAACCGTGTGCACGGCTAATGGTTGCTGCGCCGGTGCTAATCTATATAACGGGGCGACGACACAGTTTACTTGCTCAGGAGGAGCCATTGGACGTAAGTTTTGGCCAGTATCTGTCTGACTAGCTTAAGCGATACCTCGAGATTTCCTCTGGTGTTTCATTTGTCAAATCGCTATTTGTAGCTTGTACTGCCGGAGCGTGCCCAGCCTCAACTGATACAGCCTGTGTCGGCACACAGATTGACGGAGTCGGACAGTGCTGTCCTGGATCTGGAATCGTTCCCGTCACAACCACCACTTCTACCACCAGAACCACGACAGGTAGGTTACTTTTAAAGCATAGTGCAGCTGGTATCTCGTCCGGGAGAGCGTCTTTTCCTTCACTTAAAAAACTCTCATACCCAATATTCAGCCACCTGCGTCGATCTGCTCAATCCTGTGACTGGCGTCTCTGACTGCCCGAAGCGTCGTGCTCTCTGCGGAGACTCCACCTACTACTCGGTGATGGCCGTCCAGTGCAGGAGGACGTGCGGATTCTGCGCCACTACTTCTAGCTACTCGTCGAGTATGACTAGCTTCAAAAGCCCATCGAAAATTTGCTTTTAGCCTGCGTTGATCTGACGAACGCCTACACCGGAATCTCGGACTGCTCCAGCCTCAGGTAAGTAACGTCCTCCGTATGGGGAAAGCAACAAGTTTTGTATTTTGGCGATATCGATAGTCTAGAATCATCAATACTCGATAATTCCAGGTACCTCTGCAACAACTCGCTCTACTCGACCCTGATGGCCTCTCAATGTTGCGCTACATGTGCTAGCCACGGAAAATAGCCACCTCAATGTTGCGCTACATGTGCTAGCCACGGAAAATAGCCACAATTACAACAGATCTCCCATTTTGTACATATTAGATAAAAGATAGATAGTTCTTCCAAATTAGAATAAACTTCATGATTATCAATCGTTGTGCCCACGGTGGTTTCGGAGGCTCTCGGTTCCCGGCTAGCGATATTTGCATGCAACTCCCCAATATCACTTCCGGTTGCCCACACTATCCCCGTCTGGCCCACTATTTTGATTGACCATCTACAGTACCCGTGTTTGGATAACCTACCTGGAAGTGATGATCCTCGATCATGAAGGAGGAGATTCTGTGATGAGGCCCGGCCATTGCACTCCCCGGTCAGGCTGAACCACAACACCATCCCCCAATAAGGGATCGTGTACTTTCCAATTTTTGAGTGAGGGGTCCCGGGCGGTAGCGGGGACCCTGCTAATACTGAAGTCATAGAGCTGGATCTCCCTATCTCTCTCTCTCTCTCTCTCTCTCTCTCTCTCTCTCTCTCTGTCTCTCTCGCTTTCAAATAGCATCCGGCTACCGAAAGAGGGTAGGACTTAGAATTTCATAGCTGTTGGGATCAGCTTTTTACTTTCGTCAAAATCGGATAAATCGGAACATCACAGCGTCGTCCAGAATTGTAATAGGAATCCCTCTGACTAGCAATGCGCGCTATTGTTCCCGCTCTACCGAATATGAAATTTGGCCCAGCTATATATACGAATTCTACCGGGAATTCTTGCCGACATCCTCCTTTGGAGCGTCTTAGGTTGAAAATGAAGTGCCTGCTGCTGTTCGTCTGCGTCGCCGGCGTCCTCGGCGATTTCTGGCCGTATTTCCACCATCGCAACGGCCCTACGCAGGCACATACTAATGAGTTTTCGTTGTAAATTTTGGGATGCGAACGGATGAGCTGAACGTGAAATTTTGAGCATGTCGGGTTTTTCTGCGTCTTGGTCGAATTACGAACCAGTGTTTCGAGAAAAAAATTTGAACGGCCCTTGACTATGCAAACGACTTTAAATTATAGTTTTTTATTTTTGCTAAATAACCGTGCGGAGATACCTATCATCATTTTGCTTCTTCTACTGCCCAATACCGGTTTATTGCATCAGGCTATGAAAATTCTACGGCTCAATTCTGGGTTATTCTTGGAGGTTATTGCCCTACGGGAATCCGTTTATTGTAAAAGTTTTCAACAATTTCATACATGCAGATATGGTGACAAAACAGTTCAGTAAGCTCCTTGTTTCCCCGACACATCTACAGAGGACGCAGCACTGCTGCTGCATCAGCGTCTTGTGCAGTAAGATCCGCAGTTGGAAATAGTGGTTGTCATCAGATCGAGCTCTAAAATATCGAGCCAAAAAATTAAAGTAGTTACCGCCAAGCCGAAAAGTCCCAGATTTAGCTTCGTGGATCTGAGTAATGCCTTTGAAAATCAAATAGTCATATTGTTTCTTGTGTTTTGATCTCGTACTGCTGCATGTGGTTCGGTTTAAGCAGAGTGGCAGGAGTTCAAGACCAAATCGCTCAATTTCTTTATTTCTACCCATATCTATAGCGAGAACTATAACTATAACTAACAAGAAGAAAAATATAAATAGGTAATATTTAAATTTATTTTCCGACGCCGCTGCAGGTGGCACAGCACTGCTGCTTCATCAGCGTACTGTAAGTGGCATCGGTGCAGAGATGTGTCTAGGCACAGCAAGGTCATCTCTAGGCACCACATGTGTCGATCTGCTGAACCCGGTGACTGGAGTTTCCGATTGCCCGATGCGATCTTCCTTGTGCACAGACGCCACCTACCTTGATGTCATGCGAGTGCAGTGCCCGAAGACTTGCGGATTTTGCGGGGGTTCCAACACTAATTCCGGCATCTCCACAAGTTAGTCAAACACAACTTAAACAAATTAGTTTTATGCAAGTCTTCTGGGAGCTTTCTTCTTTTCTTCTTCTTCTTTTCTTCTGAAAAGCCCAACACGTTGCTTGCCAACGGCGCTCCACGCGCAAAATAAATTAAATTAAATTAAAATTACACAACGTTTTTCAGCTTGCGTCGACGCCATCAACCCGGCCACCGGTACCTCGGACTGCCCGGCTAGACGGTAGGTTAATTTTCGAAATTGAGGTGGCGTCTCCCATTTAATCAATAGCGTTTCAGTTCCCTCTGCAACGACGCCACCTACCGTACACTTATGCAACAGCAGTGCTGTGCCACTTGCGGCGGCCGTGGCTAAACAAAAACCATCGCATCATCGTTGTATTTACATTGTATCTATCATAGGTCTAGGCTTGTCTCATATATTTCGCGAAGGGTAGAATAAATGTCATTTTCTTTAATCTATACTCGACATTTTAAGGGAAATGTTTCCTGGAAAACTTTCACAAAGTATCGTAGTTTAACGAGCTAACCGCGCGGTTTATGAAACCTTGCTTTACAAGGAAATATGTGAATTTGATGGACCTGCGTGCCAGAGTAAACTTCTAAAATGTTGAAGCGCACTTCCAAAACCCGAGCCGACGCATGCCTAGTGCACAAACTTCCGCTTTTTAGCTAAGCTTTTGCTTTTGTTTCAGCAAGCCAGACTAGACCAATACCAAAACAGACAATCCACATGTTCCAGAACGCGATCCCAATCTCCGCCCTGCTGTTTGTCTTGCTGTCCAATTGTCTGTGTGCAAATGTGTAGCCGAATGCGGGGCGCGCAGAAAAAGCCATCGGCAAAATACCCCGCTACACAAAATGACGCCCTATTTGGGCAGGCGCCCCCGATTTACAATGCCCAACTCATGTTCCATTGTCTACGTGCTGTTCCGGGATGTTCACTATAAAATGTGGACGCGAAGCCTGGGAATCAACATCGACTTCAAACCATCTACTCGATCCGCTTTTAGCTCCAATCTCAAAAGGTAAGTTGAACCCATTTGACTCAGCCTCCTAAGTCTTTAGCATCAACTAACATGAACTCCGGCAAGTATTCGACTTCCACCCTCTTCTTCATCTTCGCCCTCTTCGGTTCCACTACAGCTCTCAATTGCACTTCATCCCTGGGACGTAAGTTTTCTCCTTACGTCCTGTTATACCTGGCCCTTAGTTATTTTTTAGAACCTTCTAACTTCCTTTTAGCATGCTTTGCCAACGTCAGCTGCGTCGGCGTCAGTACCACCCAGGGCACAGTCTGCACGGCTAATGGATGCTGCGCGGGTGCAAATCTTATTGACGGCACGGCCACGTCGTTCACATGCTCTGGAGGGGCTATTGGACGTAAGTCATGCTTTATCATTACCTAGAGGCAATTTGGAGCTTAGTACCTGACACAGCAACCTTAAAACGTCATTTTCAGCTTGTAACGCTGGAGCTTGCCCAGCCTCGACCGATACGGCTTGCGTCGGAACCCAAATCGATGGAGTGGGACAATGTTGTCCTGGATCTGGAATCGTTGCTGTTACCACGACTACATCTACAACAACTGCCACCACAAGTAAGTTCGAAATCTCTCCAGATACCGTAGTTTTCAGCCTATTGCGTCGATCTCCTGAACCCGGTCACCGGAGTCTCGGACTGCCCCAAGCGCGCCTACCTCTGCGCCGACTCCACCTACTATTCGGTGATGGCCGTCCAGTGCAGGAAGACGTGCGGATTCTGCGCTACTACCTCGTCCTCATCAACTAGTAAGCTCATGCTAGTTTATGAATCTTAAATGATCTTTAGCTTGTGTCGACCAAGTCAACGCCTACACTGGAGTCTCGGACTGCTCTTCTTTGAGGTGAGCAGCCTGGGAAAGTCATAAAATTCGTGCTGTTTCAGCTACCTGTGCTCGAGCCCGACCTACGCTACGCTCATGGCCACCCAGTGCTGCGCCACCTGCTCGAGCTACGGAAAATAAGGCGGAAGCTGTACCCGAACTTATCAACTTGTACATATGCTAGGATTACTTATGCAGGATAGGGAATAAAACTTATAAAACCAGTTTTCGACTTTTTATTAACAGCAGATTGCAAACAGTTACGACAAAATACACCATTTAACGCATTACAACTTCATTTAATATTACACTAAATAATTTTCATTTCTTTTTATATTTGTCGCTCACTAAGGATCCAGAAGTCAGCCATTCTCACCGCTTGGTCACCTACCTTCGCCAAGCCAAAAATTCGAGGAAACTCGCTATTTTTCGTCGACGCGTGATCGTTGCGCCCCGTAAGCCGATTGGTGAGTCACCCAGTGGCCCCATTTTTTCCTTCTGATAAGTCGACGCTTATTTAGTCGCCTCCCCCCACTTGTGTTCACCAAACTAACCAAAAATGAGCTGCAAATTCGATTTTTCCGGCAAGAAAGTGCTAGTGACGGGTGCGAGCCAAGGTAATTAATGTTAGCATGAAATTCTCAAGTAATGTTTGTAAATATAATTTTGACTTTTTTAAGCCAGAAGGTAGTTGGTCGATATAGAACTCGTAATGTTTAGGACTTGGGAAAGAACTCTGTGTTACGCTGGCCGGCCTTGGCGCTAAAGTTTATGCATTGGCGAGGCGCGAGGAGCAGCTGAAGGAGTTGGCAGCTAAGGTATTTTATCTTCTGCTCTGTGCGCTATTTTTTCCTGTTGTCTGGGAAAGTGCAAAAAAGGAGGTATCTAAGAAAATCGCATGCATTTATTTAGCATTCGGGGATCACGGCGGTGGTTGGAGACGTGACCTCCAGTAAGGCGGACTTGGAGGCAACTTTAAAAGAGGTAAATTTTTCTTAAGTGTTGAATCGAAACGTTAATTTACTGTAAACTAAGTAAGACGGCCATGGCTACGCATGAAGTTAATAAAATATTTCAGTACCATCCTTTCGATTTTCTGGTCAACAATGCCGCGATTGCCTTCGCCGCCTCCGCCCTCGACGCCACTGAACAGGAAATTGACGAGTCAGTTCTAACTTTCTAGCCAAAAATAGACAATTTTTAGCATGTACCGAGTCAACTGCCGTGGTCCCATAATTATCGCAGAAATTGTCGTCCGAGAGATGATTGCGGCAAAGCTTCAGGGAGCCGTCGTGAACGTGTCCAGCCAGTCAGGGATTCGCCCGCTGCACGATCGCGTTGGATACTGTAATCTTTGCCCAGATATCAAAGATCGGTTTCTAGGCAGTTCCAAGGCGGCCTTGGATATGGCGACTAGGTGCCAGGCACGAGAATGGGGTGAACATGGAATTCGGGTGAACGCCGTCAACCCGACCGTCATCGTGCTAGAGGAAGGACTTGGGGTAGGCTTCATCTCTTCATTTTACTGCATCAATTCAAACGATTTTTCAGCTATGGTCCAACCCTGAGAAGGCGAAGTGGATGCGCGATCAATTGCCGCTCAAGAAGTTTGCAGGTATCTCTTTAAAAATTGGCTATTTCGCAACCTTTTTAAATCGATTGAACTGATTTTCTGGGGTTCTCTAAAGCATTATAATCATTTTTGCAGCCGGAAAAGACGTGATCAACGCCATCCTGTTCCTACTCTCCGATGCGTCCGCCCTGACGACCGGACTAGCATTCCCAGTCGATGCCGGATATTCAACAAATTAACTTTATAAAATCTGCGATAAATACCTTAAAGGGGCTCAGAAGTCAAAATTCGTGCGTGCGGGGATTGAACCTACGGGTCAAAAAACGAAACGGTCACTGCCGAGAAGTGCCAAAAACGTTCGTTGGTTGCGAAAAAACGTAAAATGTTTGAGAAAAACCGAATTCTTTTTGGGGCAAAACGACATTTTGAGTGCGCGGCGATTACATGTCGTAATGCCTTGTAATGCACCCAATCTCTCGATGTCGATGATTCTCTTGTCAATTTTCATAATTTAAAAGGCTCGAATGATCAAAATTCGTTGAAGATTCCAAAAATAGTATCAGAATTTTTAAATTCAATCGTTTTCGCGTCCAAACAGAGGCAAAAAATCATGCGGCGCGGTCGCATCTGGCAATTTGCCAGGAATCACAGCAGGGGCCGTGGACCAGATTTCGGAGCCCCTTTAAAGGGATAGGGGCGGCATAAGTCAATCGATTACGCGAGGGAAAGAAAATGTCTCTGCGCCTCTCCCCTGGGCGCGCTCTCTCCCCTGTTGGCTACTTGCCAATTTGTTGATGAGGGGGGATCGACACATGCCGTCGGCAGCCCTTTAAATCTGTGCACGAAAAGACCCCATCCGGTACACCGGAAAGTTTAAAAGGACTTATAGCGTCTCTCGGATCAAAATTGCATTTGAAATCGCTTTCATTTCGACTAGCGCATGTCATCAACAAACGATTTTCTAGATTTCTATTGCCAATAAAACTCTTTTGTTTCCAAATATAACTAACGAAATATGCTGTTTCAAAAAATACCGTCGAGTTTGTTGCCGTTTCTGACAACAAAATGGATCGTTTCGGACATGTGCACATGTGCCCACCCACCCAACAATGCCCCGGAGACAAAGTGGATGTCCGAACAAGCTGCCCAATGAGCGCGATCTGCTTGCACAGGCCGGCCAGCTACAAAGCGGACACGGATGCTACATGTTCCCGGTCCCGGAACGGATCCGCAATATATAAGCAGACGCGCGGCCGTAGAAATCAGCAACCATCGCCAAGCAAAACAACTTCACATCCGGTAAGCAAAATCGTTTTGGTTTACCATTTTTTATCGTTCAGCCATGTACACCAAAATCCTCGTCGCGCTCGCCCTTTTCGGCACAACAACTGCTCTTAACTGCACGTCAGCGCTAGGACGTGAGTTTGGAAATGGTTGCTAAAGTCCTGAAACTGTGGCATGTCTTGCCTCGGCCAGCTGCATCGGTGTGGGTGCGACGCAGGGAACCATCTGCACAGCCGATGGATGCTGCGCGGGCGCATATCTTATTGACGGTTCGACAACAGCGTTTACTTGCTCTGAGGCGCCATTGGACGTAAGTTACCACCTGCGCTTACCTGATACCTCAGATAACGCCCTAGAGTTCCGCTAGACTTCGAGCTCCTATATGTTCATTTTTGGATCGTTAACTTTCAGCTTGTAACGCCGGACAGTGCCCAGACACCACCGACACTGCATGCGTTGGCACCCAGATCGATGGCGTTGGCCAGTGCTGCCCCGGATCTGGCATTGTCGCCGTCACCAGCACAACTTCTACGACGACTGCCACGACGAGTAAGTCACAGTCTCTACGATTGAACTTAATTTTCAGCATACTGTGTTGACCTCCTCAACCCTGACACCGGAGTCTCGGACTGCCCCAAGCGCGCCTACCTCTGCGCCGATTCCACCTACTACTCGGTGATGGCCGTCCAGTGCAGGAAGACGTGCGGATTCTGCGCTACGACTTCTTCCTCCTCTACTAGTAAGATCATGCGTGTTCATGGATCTTAAATCATCTTTAGCTTGCGTCGACCAGGTCAACGCCTATACTGGAGTCTCTGACTGCTCTTCTTTGCGGTAAGGAGCTCGAAAATCTTATTCAGCTGATTCATTTTAGCTACCTGTGCTCGAACCCTACCTACGCTACCCTCATGGCCACCCAATGCTGCGCCACCTGCTCGAGCTACGGAAAATAAGCGCATCACTTCAACGATGCTTCAACTATACATTGTACATATAGGACTAGGATTACTTATCGTGGTTATGGATAGGAATAAAACGAAAAATGAGTTGCTAGAAAATTCCAAAACACTCCAGTAAACACCAGAACACCAGACTGAACAGCAAGTGCTCAATTTCCCACGAAAACGAAGAGTAAGTAAGGGTTTCACCCCTTCTAAAAGACTTGTGCAGATCCCTCTGCACCGATGCCACCTACCGTATACTTATGCAACAGCAGTGCTGTGCCACTTGCGGCGGCCGTGGTTAAGCAGGAAACGATGCATTACTACTTTCTATTTACTGTGTATCTATCATAGATTTAGGCTTGCTTCTTATATGTCGTGACGAATAGAATAAATACCTTTTCCTTTGATGCATACGGAACATTTGAAGGAAAAATTGCATGGAAAGCTTTCACAGGGTATTGTATGTCTGAAATGCGCCTCGTGTTTTCCCACCTACAGCTCATGCGATTTGAAAACCATTCAACGCACAAAAAGAGTGGACTGCAGCCCTACGTATACCGGGACAAAAACAAAACTGAAATGTGTTAGGTATAAAACAGGTAAAACTAAGAAACAAAAAGAGTTCATTTGCGTAGCGACTTCACAAGCAGCTCCCATCACTATTTTTCTGGAATAGCGCAATGAGGACAGAACATTTCTAGTCCCGACAAAAACTTAAAAAAGCCATACCCAAAAACACTAAATCTGGACAGATTTTACTTTACCCCTCCCCGCAGTCCCCCAAACAGAAGTTCCCAAAAATAATCCATAATTTTTAATATTGCATTAAGTTCTAATTAAAACTCTTACAATTGTTAGCACATTTTCAATGCTTTATCAATTGATGGAGCAAAAATCTTAACAAAAGAGGCGGAGATTCGAACACTTTTGGGACCCCCGGGCTGGCTGCAAAGCAAACTCGAACCATAAATCTCCCTGCCATGCCAGTCCTGTCTTTTTTTGTTGAGCGTGTTATGAATAAAACGCGATTCGGCTTCTATTAAACAAAATATTTTATTTACGCGATATATACAGAGAGAACAAAAGATTCGTTAAATACTTTCTAGTTTTAGTGAAAAATCTTAGGAGAAAGGCGTAAAATCTTAGGGTTTTGTGATCAACTCTCAGAAAATTGTATGCATAGAATTTGCACAGTAGGTGTAGCCGATTGGACGCCGCTTATTTTCCGATGCTGCTGCAAGTGGCACAGCACTGCTGCTTCATCAGCGTCTTGTAGTTGGGGTTATTGCAGTAGGACCTGAATTTGAAATGGTAATGGATCAAAAACTGTATTCGAAAAACTCGATAAGCAATTTACCGTCTAGCCGGGCAGTCCGAGATTCCGGTCCTCGGGTTCAGCAGATCAACGCAGCCTAAAGTTTTTGAAAATGATTCCAAAAGCGTTTCGATTTTTACAAAGGTTTTTAACCTGGACGTACCCGAGGTTAACGCATTTCCAGTGTTGCAGAATCCACACGTCCTCGGGCACTGCACACGCATTAAAGGAAGGTAGGTGGCGTCGGTGCACAAGTAAGACCTCGACGGGCAGTCGGACACCCCGGTCCTTGGGTTTAGCACATCGACGCAGGTGTCTGAAAATTCGACAACTCCCAACACTTCCGAAATTTTGGGACACATAGCTTTCCTTAAGAACCTACCTTCGATGATCCGCTTCGTCGTCGCCCTCGTCGTGGTGGTCGTCGTTGTCGTGACGAGCTCTGCGATACCTCCCGGCGCGCAGCACGACTCCTGCGCAGTACCACGACCTATGCAGGCGTCCCCAGCCGTACACCCAAAGGGGTCGCAGGCTGTAATGGCAATTTTTCGCTGGAATTTCCGTTGGAATTGGTAAGCATCAGTAATCACTCACGTCCCGTTTTCGAGAATTCATCACAGACAAGGTCTTGGATGACGCTCGCCTCGGGGCAACATCCATCTACCGTGCATACCAGGCCTGTGTCCAGACAGCCTCCAGCCGTGCACGCTGAAAGTGGAATTTTTGGAGGAGCTGACGCGAACTCGCTCTTTAAAGGCGGTAGGACGCCAGAATTTGCGTGTGGGGATTGAACCTACCCGAAAAACGAAAGCGCTACCGAGAAGCACCAGAAAATTTATTTCGTTGCAAAAAAAAGTAAAAGATTCGAACAAAACCGAGACGTTCTCGAGGCGAAAACGAATTTTTGGGTGAGCGGCGATTACATGTCTGGAAGCCCCCAATCTCTCGATCCCTGTGATTCTCGGACCAATTTTGATAATTAAAAAGTCTAGAATGATCAAAATTTGGTGAGGATTCCAGAAATAGCGTCGGAATTTTGAAATTCAAGCGTGTTCACGTCCAAACAGGGGCAAAAGGAGATGCGGAGCGGTCGCATTGCGGACGCATGGCTATTTACCGGGAATCAACGCTGCAGGCCCTGGACCAGATTTTGTTGCACTTTTAAGCTACAAAAATAATTACTTCTCTTAATGAGTTTCGTTCTCTTAGCCTGCGTGAGCTAACGCGACGAGTCGACGGCAGAACGTGATTGGTCTTTTGGAGCTTACCGGGCCCGGCGGCCCCAGCGGTACAGTTGAACAGCGCCGACGCCGAGGTGAACAGTGCAAAGAAGATGAGAGTAGTAGCCACGTAATTCATGCTTCGGTCAAGCCGTTGACAGCTATGTATCTTCCGCTTCACAGCTACCACGACGCTATCAGCTATTAGAAAGCGTAGAACTAGAGGCAAAATCTGGAATAATGATTTGCGGGAGCTCGCTTCCGCACATCCGGATTTTATACACGAAATGAGGAACCACACCGTCCAAGCCATGTGCAAATCGCCCGAATAAAGGTCGATAAGCGGCTAACGGCTATAGGTGTGAAGCGGCTGCGCAAACCAAGTACGGGAATGGAATGCGATTTTTTGTTTTAAATTGCTTTGTTGCAAGCGCCGCTTTTGTGGCCGGCTGTTCTTTGTTGAGCGTCGGACTGACCAGCGCCAACCAAAAGTATAAATACGGCTCTATGGGATACGCACGTACACATAACGGACCAATGTTCATTATCAACTACCGTTAATTAATTATCACGCCACCTAATAGCAGGCCTGGCCTCAGCCGTGTAGTATCGAAATATATACCGTTACGATATCGATACCAAAACTCGTTTAGCGGATCTGTTACCATAATGTGCAAATTCGTGATGCCGCAATTATTCCATCGAAATTCCATAATGTTGCAATTTCATGATGTCCATTTCATATTGCCGCAATTTCATCGCGTCGACATTTCATAATGCCAGAATTTATTGTTAAGCATTTGGGGGATTTTTTGGCGAATCTATAAAAATCTATGTAAAGTTCGACATCGAGTTGTTGACAGTATGGATTTTGAAATTAATAAAGGTCAACCTTGCCGAATTTCCACTATTTTAAAAATTCATTTCCTTAATTTGAATTCTACCTAGGGGAGACGGTTGGCGATAGCGTTCATAAAAACTTTATTTTCTACCCATATTTACAACGAAAACCACATCTAACTAGCAAAAATTTATATACACAGTGTTCGCTATTTGCCAACGCTGCTGCAGGTGGCGCAGCACTGCTGCTTCATCAGCGTCGCGTACGCGGCGTCGGTGCAGAGGGAACTAAATGTAAAATTAGAAATATGTTTTGACAGAAGGACTCCAAGAAGCGAAGCTGAAAAGTACCCACCGCCTAGCCGAACAATCCGAAGTTCCGGTGGCCGGGTTGATCTGGTCGACGCAGGCTAAAAAGGATCCTGTTGGTGATTCCAAAATCCCGCAGATATTCATAATATCGTTGGTTCCATGAACTTACTTGAGGTGGACGACGTGACGCTACCACAGAATCCGCACGTCTTCGGACACTGCACTCGCATGACGGACAGGTAGTTGGAGTCGGTGCACAGTGAGGCCCTTTTCGGGCAGTCCGATGTTCCGGTCACCGGGTTCAGCAGATCCACGCAAGTACCTAAAATCGGAGGTCAAATTGGACTGCTGCGCAGATCAGAAAAAATATACATATATTCTACGAGTCTTACGGTAATCTAAAATCCAAAAGCTCCTACTTCTTGTGACCCTCTTCGTCGTTGTGGTGACGACCGGAGCGATGCCTCCTTGCTTGCAACACGACTCGGCAGCGGTGCCAAGACCGATACAGGCGTCACCGTCGGTTCCAAGGCACGTGCCACCGATGCAGGCTAAAAGTACGTCATTCTGATTCATGGCTCGATAAGGTGAGATCGAGGAATGCTCTTCGGAAGACGGTATCTAACTTCGTACCGTATGTTAATACAAGTTTTGCTGCGCTAGAATTTCACGTTGTTCGAGTTGGCTGGGATAGGATTAGCAACAGCCCACTTACGTCCAGTTTTTGAACCTTCATCACAGAAAAGGTCTTGAACGACGCTCGCCTCGGGACAACAGCCGTTTACAGTGCATACCTGGCCTGTCAACTGACATCCTCCAGCCACGCACGCTGAAATGGGATGATAGAGAAAAAAAAAATAGCCTTTTCGGAGATGAATTCGGAGATACAGGATGTCTCAAGAAAAAGACGCCCCACTCTAACTGGACGCGGAAGTATCGGATCGGAATGATAACTACACCATTCGTAAGTTCTTGAAACGGCCAGTTTGCAACAATCGTCTTAAACATGTTTTTATTTAAATGCGCGTTTTTACAAGCCATGTGGTTTTTATTGAGCCACCCTGCAGTTAGCTTAGAAAACTTCTTAAAGCAACAAAAGACCCTGAGAAAAATTTTCAGAAGGTTTTTCTCAAAGGAGATGCTGACGTGTCTCGTCCAGCGCTACCCATTGCCCACAATCACAAAAGCCCACGTCCTGGCGAAGCGCCCGCGGTACAGTTGAACAGCGCCGACGTCGAGGCGAAGAAGGCAGAGCAAACGACGACAGTTATCGCGACTTTCATCTAAAATAGTTTGTTGCCTTGTAAGATGGACGCATACTTTTTCTACCTTATTCCAACGAATAGAGGAGGCTAGAAATAGGTGGGTGTAGACGTCTCATCGGCCAGGTTTATATAACATCGGGACACGGAAGTTTTTCTGTGTAATGATTTCGAAACAAAGGTGTGAATGAAGCGGGGCAAAATGGCGATGGTCCACGAACGGCCGCCAAAGGTGCGAATCGGCTGCTCAAACACACGGCTTAATGGCAATTTTTAGACTTGCCTTTCCGCACCGGCTAATGTTTGGACGTCTATCGTTCATTATGGGGAAGACCAACAGAGAACAATAAAATATAGAACGGAAGTGAAATCGAAATAGACGTGCATGAAGCAATAGAGGAGTTCTTGAAGAAACTCTGGGATTCTCATAGCTAGCCCAAAGACGAAAATTAATGCTAGAATATAGAAAATCCGAAAAATATAGTTACTGGAAATCAGCAAAAATGAATTTTTTTTTCTACGTGGTGCATCACGTTTTCAACAGTTATACATAATTTTCTCGAAATTCCCTATTACTGACGGATTTTCTCTCTCTCACGCTCTCTCACTCTCTCTCTCGCTCTCTCTCTCTCTCTCTCTCTCTCTCTCTCTTTTATATTTCTCTCCACCTCCCCTCTCTCCCTCCATCTCTCTCTCTCTCTCTCTCTCTCTCTCTCTCTCTCTCCTCTCTCTCTCTCGCTCTCCCTCTCTCTCTCTCTTTATATTTCTCTCCACCTCCCCTCTCTCCATCCCGCTCTCTCTCTCTCTCCCCTCTCTCTCTCTCTCTCTCACGCTTTCTTTCTCTCGCTATCTCTCGCCCTCTCTCTCACTTTCTCTCTCTCCCTCGTCCTCTCTCTCCCTCTCTCTCACTCTCTCTCACTCTCTCTCACTTTCTCTCTCTCTTCCTCTCCCTCTCTCTCTCTCTCTCTCTCTCTCTCTCTCGCTTTCTTTCTCTTGCTGTCTCCCTCCCTTAATTTTTGCCATTAGACAACCGTTCGTTGCCCAGCCGGACATCCCCAAATATCCAAGCGCGGGCGGTCCAGGCGCCGCTTGGGGCCCGCGTTCCAAAAAGGCTGTTTCGCCCGTCGCGGAACCCTGTTCAAACATTGCCCCGAGTGCAGACCAGGAAGACCCTGACATTTCTCTATGGAGTGGTAACGCTGTTTGGGAGATGGCTCGGGTTTTGCTCGGTTTTCAGGCCAAAGTGCGTAGTTGCAAGTCGTAGTCTGAGAGTTCAGCAAAGAAACCAACAAGGGCACATTCTGAGGCCGAGGTGGCGTTTCGGCATAGAACCAAGCCTATCGTGTGCAAAATTTTTCGCTGTTTCCGAAACTGCTTTCAATTTTTGCCAAATAGCCAGATTTAGAGAGCTATAGGGATTTTAAGCTCATCTTTAGCTACCTGAGACATGTGTCATGATTCGCAATTTTGCGCTTTATTATTGCAATACATTTTCCGTAGCCTATTTCGAGAGAATTTTTTCTGATGCGAAAGTTATATTCGATTATACATTATAGTTATTATATTACGATAGTTATAATTTGTAGGCTGTTTTCATCATTTCCCATACAAAAATCGGAGTTCATATTGTCAAATTTTTCGCTTTTTGCGATTATCAATATTTTTGAGGTAAATGGCTGAATCATTGGAAAGAATTTTTCTGAATACCATGGCGCTATTCGTTTCTGAAAAATTTGCCGAGAAGGAAAAATAATCGAATAGTAAACAGAACTGCGCACACGTTATTTTGTCGTTAAAATTGAGAAATTCATTTGCAAAAAAAAGCATGGCAAAAGCGAAAAAGAGAGCAGCTTAAGTGACAAATTTCAACTTTTTGAAGGTTTTGATGTTCATTTTCGGGTCTGTTTACCGGCTCGTCTTGTGTTGAAATATCTTGCGTTGAAATACGTAAAAAAATTGCGTCCGAAACTGTACGACTGACTTGTTCCTATGGCCTGATATCTTGCCAGAGCATCCATTACTTTCCGCCATTCCACTTCCTTGCAAAAATCTACACACACCCATAACCCGCGAAATCGGCAATTCCGATGATAAAAAGCGCACTTTTTTGATAGTGCGCCCCTCATCGCAGTCAGCTGTTTGCACTCTTTGGGCACATGGTGGCCGTCTCTCGGCCGAGAGGCTACAGGGATATAGAGCGAAAGCCGAACACACAGATAGATCTGTTTTTCTCTGCCATTTCCCCATCTGTCCCCCCTTGGCCGGGCCCTCGAATCCCGGCCACTAGGGCCCACCACCAGCTCTCACTAACTATATTTACTTCGAACGGTGGCGAGTATTCGTAAATTGGCGATTTGCCAGATTTTTCGAGATGAACCAAACAACAGAGTTGCTACCGTTAAAGGTGGCCGCAGCGAGGACAGTCGCGTTGCTTCTGATCCAGGTGATTTTTTGGGTTTTTTTTGCTCGGTATGACTTTCAAAAATTGGACGCGTCATTAATATCTTTGTAAATTAAGCGATTTATTAGAAAATTTAACAGGTGCCGCTAAAAATTAAAATGTCGATTTTCTCTTTTGTAAGTCTATTCTCAACATCTGGTTTTAGAAGCAAATCCGGTGGCGAAAACTCATGGAAGTTGCACGAACCCTCCGGGAGATCATTCCGAAGTTAAAGTCAGTAACTCTATCGCGACAGCTACAACAATTTCAAAAGTGGAAATATTGATTCCAGATCTCAGTTTCAGACTCCCTATCAAAATCCGGCGTCCGCTACAAGAATTGGTATCTTTACTACTTCGCGAAATTCAGCGATGGGGTTTGCTTTTGAATTTTGTGCACCTACAAGTTGGCAAAATTTATAAAATATGCGAATTTTAATGTATCAATAATATTTTTAGCCGACAAGCACGTGGAAATGTTCCCCAAAGTCCCGGTAAAAATTGGGCGCACCCCTCGATCCGAGCACGTTCGCATGTTTCAGCCGTGGATCGTCTGGAAGCCCGGGAAGTCAGTGGATTGCTTGAACTTTTGCTTTACGAATGAATTGACTCAAAGACTTTCATCTAAAAAAATTTAGATACGAAATCGATGACTATCTGACCGCGAAAAATATTATGCAAAACGAATGTAAGAATTGGCCGCAAGTGCGCTGGCAATTCGCTTGCTGCTACGCGATGGAGGAAGAGGTAGAAATTAAGAGATTTTGACGAGGTATTAAGTTAGTGATTTCTACTACTAGAAAAACACTAAAACTCCGGCGTAATTTTACGTGAAAAAATGCCTTTCTGATTTGCGTTTTCAAGCTCGTTCAAAAACCATAAATTTGTTTTCTTTCAGATTTTCGATGATTGGAAGTACGATCGACACCGAAGGTCTACTTTTAAGTAAAAATAAAGCTTCAAAATCAATCGTAATTTTTTTAGAAAAACTTTATCCGACCACCCAGTATACGAATTTTGGTCAGCGCTTTACGAAGCCCGTTGGGAGTCGATGTTCGAAACGGAACGACGATTGCCGAATCAGGTACCTTTACGGGACTTTTCAATAGCAAAATATGTTTAGAAAATGACGCAATGCTTCATCTTCGCAATCACCAATGGCTACTGCGAGCTCGTGAAATTTTTGTGGCACAAGATCGGGCTGAACCATGGGGAGTATGTTGGTAAGTCAAGGTAGCTTTCCAGTGTCTTATCCCTTCGGATGCCTTTTATCTGGGCTGTAGAGGCTAATACTGAAAAAGCTGTTGGAAACGATTGATTTTACCTACCTTTCGTGAGTGAGTAGTCCTTTGCTGGCTTTCGCGTCGTTATTTGACACTACGCGCGGCGCTTTTGCACTCTTGCGATTTTTCCACGGTTTTTCGATGAAATCAGGCTCCTTGTTTTATTCAAATTGTGTTGGGTTTTCCACTATGAATAATCGTATTTTCGTTATATTTTTAGGTCTTTTACAATGGAAAGCCTCCTGTTTCCGCTGTCGAGACCGCGACACCATGAAGTTCTTGTGCACAAAGTAAGCCGAACTTTTGCTCGCGACTTTTCATGTTATTTTTAGGTTATGCGAGCTCAACCCAAAAGCCGTGGCCCGGATTACATGGTGCACATTTTTTGACGCTTTCTACAAGGCTGTAAATGTGAGTTGGATAAGATTTTCTCATGACTTTCTTAAGAACGAAGAAACCGACAAAGTTATCGAGCAGAAGAACCGCTGTAAGGTCCAGTTTTTGTTGACGAATTGTTGTGATGTCTTGCGGAAGCGACTGTTGGGAATGGAGAACTTTAGGTACGCTTTTGGATTATGGTATAAGTTAGATAGAAGCTGGTGCTGATAATTTCGATTTTTTCAGAGTGATTTGCGATGCGTTCCGTTACAATCTCGGTGATTTGTTTACGCTGTTTTTGGAGCATTTGGACAAGGATGATTTGCGAGCCGCTCGAGAGGTAGGATAGATGTTTTCCACTACGGATTTTACTTACATTTTTTCGATTATAATTACTGTAAATGCCATTAATTTTAATGCTAATTTCTTTTTTAGGTTGTTGACCGTATCCACGACCGTACCCGAACCAGCCATGGAAGCTCGATGAAACAGATGATTCTGCGAAAGCAGCAGACAATCAATTAATTACAACCTTGCTCAAAACGTTGTACATATATATTATTTATTATTATTCAAAGGTTAAACTGTAGTTATTAGTCTAGCGCCGATACCACACCCAATCATACAGCATCGGGCCATCAAAGTGGTAGTAAATCGGTTGTAGGGGAGGGTAGTTCATGCGCGTAACGGGGACGGAAAATACAGCCGCATCTTGAGTAAGGGGGTTTTCATTTGATTCGGGGATTAAGGGTAGATTTTTTGGGAGCGTATTTTCCGCCATATCCTTGTCCTTCAGGATTGGCGACTTGATCTTGCCGACTACCTAGAAATTTATGATTATCGAAAGTGTTATAATATAAGCATGAGAAAATATAAGGGAAGTAGGCCAATTATTACTTACCTCAGCCGGGTTATCTCCAATCCGCTTGTATAAAAACTTCACGATCTTCGTTCGGTACGCTGCATTAGCTAGTGCTTTCGCGGCATACTTGGATTTGTCGATTTTTGCCTTAATTTTCCCAACGAATAAAAGTTAATGGAGCTTACCTTTGCTTTCAAATGAACAAAAGTTAGCCGCGCAAATGGGTCTTTTGAATTGTCGAGTTTGGAACGTGGAATTGGGTCATCGGCGGCTCGAAGGCTCAAATTAATTTTTTAATTTCTGAATACTAGCTGCTATCTGTCAGAGATGAAAGTGATAAAGGTGTTTACGAGTTAAAAAATTTATAGCCATTTTTTCAATAATATTACCTCCGATCCCTTGCCAGCATCTCGAGAATTTTGTGCCGAATTTCAGGTCGTAGCCTATGTAAATTCAGCCATGACTTTTGCATCATCTTCGCATTTGCAAATTCTTTAGTTCGTGCAGATGCAGATGACACCGCAAAAAATAAAACCAAAATTAGCCCGAGAAAAAGCTGCATGAATGGAAATCTCGAGAAATGATTCAGCCACGCTACTGCTCCTTCTTGCGAAACTTCCTGAATCCGTTCCTCCCATTTCACTGAACATTCAATTCTTTCAAGTGTTTCCCACAAGTGGGAAGGTCATTTGCGGGTGGGTGCTCATGAATAAACGTCCTGGAAAAAAACGAGGTCGAGTGGTCATGCTCGCGCTGGACAGAACTCGAGAATAACCGAACAATTTATTCAAATTCTGGGGCCTGATTGATGCATAGGGTGAGATCACATAAAGAAGGTTACATCTCGAGGTGTAGGTTTTGCCTAAGGTATTTGAAAAGCTCGAAAACTTTAGAAGGGCTCGAGAAAAAATACGAAATGCTCGCGTCTGATAAATTCTGGCTTAAAGGGGTGTGACAGTAGGTGTAGCGCGTACTATAAAATTTTCCGAGGCATTAAGTTTGAAGCTAAACCAAGGTATAATCAGTTCTCGGGCTCAGCGTCGTCCTCCTATGCGTAGTCGTTGTAGTTCTCACAAAAATCGCTTGCATCTGGGCATCGGGGGAGTGTTCTGAAACAGATTAGATTTTTCAGGGTCAAACTTTTTACAGAAATTTGTCGAAATAATATTTTATAAAATTTAGTAGTAAACTACAATCTTAGATAGTGTTTAAGGCTATACTTACGCGGATAGCTAGAAGAACCCGGCGATTGGACCCTATAAGCTTCACTGTAGTTGCCTGGCGACATTGGGTATGGTAGTTGGAGCGCAGAATCGGCGGGGTAGGGAAGCTGAAGGGGGAATTAAGACCAGACAATAGGAAATTACCGGAGATCCTAGCTGTGAGTTCGGGCTCAATGGAATCCCTGCACCTCGATTTTGAAGCTGAGAATTTTCTCGGTGTTAGAATGATATGTTTTTTCAAAACTACCTGATTCCAGTCGTGGCCCTGTGAATACAGCACCGTTCCATGTGGGCTTTGGAGGACGTCCCAGGTCCTAAACAATCCGAACTCCATTTTCACACTAAGCATTGATAAGCTTAAATTTGGAAAAATAAAAATAACGATAAAAAGGCGCCAAAAATTTAAAGAAAATTAATTTAAAGAAAATTTAAAGTCTGCAGCGCTTTTAAGAGATAGAAAATCAAAACCACTTATTAAAAGCATACCTTTCTTTCAAATAATGCTTGCTGTCCGTTTGGATCGAGATCGGAAGTTGCTAAAAATAATACTAATCTTGATAAACAGTTAAAGGACCGTTGAAGTGCTCAAATCCATAGTGCTGCTTTCCTCAGGCGCTACAATTCGGACACTTCGACGTGTTGATTTTCGAGTGGGGCGGCCGGCGAAAAGATCCTATAATCGGATGAAATTATATCAAAGCACGAATTAATGATAATTAATATATTTGTTGTAATTGATTGAAATTTAAGTGATACAATTAAAAAGGATCCAATTTTTAGGAAATTTTCCGGAGTGTGATTCAGTCAAAATTCACCAGCAACGGCGGTATAACCTCGATGAGGTATGTGATCGGCATGGCAGATCGATAAGTTGCGACTAGGCAAATAATGCGTCAGCTGGGGCGTGCACTTTTTTGGGCAGATTTTGAGAGAGGGGCTCGAATGACTTATCAGCTTCTCTTTTGGGGATCCGAACAAAGCATTGTATAACGGGGAAAGAGGAAAAGGGCACTTTTAAAGGAGGAGTTTTTGAAATCTTATAAAAACACATTTACTCCTTGAATCTAAACACCAAAAAATTTACCGTATGTCCAGCTGAAGCTGCCGTATTCGGCTTCAAGATTGTTCGGAAAGCTGGCTGAGTTGGAATTCAAACGGAAATGAGAAAATTGGATATACCACACTAGTCTGATGATCAGCAGCAACCGCGTAGGTGTTATACGGTGACGTTTTCCAGGTGATTGAGGACGCTTAATGAATATTTTTTAGTTTTTTTTAATAAAAAATTACTTACGGCACTCCTCGACAGGCGATGCAAAATCCGGGGCGACAAAGAAATTGGGCTTTTGAGTAGCTGTGTTGTTGTTTTTTGAGGCGTCAATGAGGTGATTCTCGTTCTGAAACGACGACTTTCTCTGGCTCTCTCTCACCCTCTCTCTCTCTCTCTCTCTCTCTCTCTCTCTCTACCTGTGTCGATTCAGTATAAGCTGGCGGTAGTAGCTTCGGTCGAACCGGGACGCCCAAATTTGGGACTGGAGCTAAATTAATTTCATCGGAAAAGATTGCAAAAAAATGAAAAATTCATTCAAATTTATTTTTCTAGAAATATTTGGAGCTTCCAGGGCAAAAGTTAGATCCCGTCCCGGGCTGCCCAGCGCACCCCAATGTGCATGAGACATTTGGGTAAATAGAGTGGGAGCTGGCGGGGGACAGAGTGGGTATTTTGAGAGAACCCAGAGAAACAAAGGCTTTTCCAGCCATTCACACGGCTGGATACTCCCGAAGCGCTAGAAATTTTTTCAATAGCGGCGGAACGGTGAAAGTGAGAAGCAGGAGCTGGCTGACCAGCGGAACAACATGGAAAAACTGAAGTTTGGCGCCAAAATTAGAATTTAGATCGTCATGGAGTCTTGGCAATTTTATCATGGTTTTTGAAAGGTATATCACAGAAGGTCTTAATGCCGTCATAGCATGATAAATTAACTGGAAAATGACGTTAACCTTTTAGCACATTGAAGGCCAAACTGGAGCCCAGAACGATTTTAAAAGTGTGGTGACATTATTTTTTTATACCTTCTCTTCCCAACTGCCGCCTCGCCCATCGCCCATTTGCCCAATCGTGATAGTTACTGTAAAAAGTAATAATAAACTTTTTATTTATCATTTTATGACATACCTGTCATCCACTTTGCCCTCGCTGGCACAATACTCACACCATGTTTTCGCGCATGCAAAATAGCAGAGGAAGAGGACTGCAGTGATAATTAGGATCGGGCCCAGGCTTGCCATCATGATGACGGCCATCTAGAAAGTCGTTGCAATGACGAAATGAAGCAATGCGTGTTGAGCTCAGGTTTGAAACTGAAGCTCGGCTTCTTTTGACAGCCAAAAAATCCCATGTCAAAGATTCCCCAAAAAAAGATTTCCCCAAATTTGTCATGGGTGCCCTCAAAACCTTACTATTCCTCTAGCCCGGGCACCCATGGCTACCCCGTAAAGCTGTGTCCCAATGACAGTTTCACGCCATTCCATGCTTTAACAGACAGGCACGGATAGCTTTTGGGCTACGGCAGCCTCCTTTGCACAAGGGTACAGCGCGCTCGCTACGTTTTTGTTCGAAAATGAACAAACTTTTGGACAAAACTGGATTTTTCTCGAAATTTTAATAGAAAAATTAGAAACTCCATTAGATTTAAATATTCTAGCCGCCAAGGCGCAGCTTTTGAGACCTAACTATCGAAAATCTATTCTGGTACATTTTTTGTGATGGTCTTTTGAAGTTCAGTTCAGGATTTTGTGCGGTTTTGAATAGCGCAGAAACCAAGCATTGTCGCTGAAATCTGAGCCTAGATTTGGTAAAATCAAGGTCGATTACCCCCCCGGCGCCTGAAATCGGCGCTTAAAATCGCTCCAAGTGACTGTTTTGCAAAAAGGGACGCCAGTGGATCAACCGTCTCTTTTTGATCGGGTTCATTTTTCCATATCCTTATTGTTTTAGCAGTTTTCAATGGCTGGAGCACAGTTTTTAAGCAAAACGCAAAAGCTTGGCAAAGGTTTTGGGGAGAAATAGCGGTTGCACGTTGGTCCCGGGGGTCGAACCCGGACCCTCTGTTTGAGATTTGGGATCGGCGCTAACCGATTGCGCCGCGACCCCGGGGGGGTCCTATCCGTGCCTCCGTGGAATGCCGTGGTTTACCATACGGAGCGGCCGCCGCAACGCATTGCACCGGCGCGCCCGCGCTCATGTTTATGCAAATTACTCTTGCGACGGATCACGAAAGCCATCACGGGCTCCTAATAAAGATGTTGATGCAGACCGTCCGCTAGCTATAAAGGCGCGGGATATGCATTTACTACTACAGTTTCGTTAATTTTAAAATTACCGAAGCCCTAGGCGCGTTAAATTTTAAACTGAACCAGTATTATAAGAATATCTAACAATAAATTTTATATTTTCTTTATAAACTCCAATAGATTGACCTTGAACTGAAAATTTGGAAAAACTGAGAAAAGAACTCTTCATTCGTACGGCTTGAACGCATCCTAACTTACTTCGCGCGCGCTGCAAATTAGTATTTCCCAGTTATCAAATAAGCGATCTGGTGTTTATTTAAGAAAGTAACACATATAAAGCAAGTAAACCCCTTAAAATCACCATATTCCCATCGCCAATCGACCAGTACCACGCTGCAGCCCGCGCAGGAAATAGCAGCAACAACCACCATTTCATTAGTTTCTAAAATACACCGAAACTAGTACATATTATTGTTGATAGTGCAAAGCCAAAACAACTTCCGTCGAACATCAGAAATGTTGGGGTGGTTTTGGTCTGGGCTAAATGGCGCGCGAAACGGCACGCAATTTGGGTCACTAATCCGGTAACTACCTGTGTGCCGAGCTGCTGGTATTTAGGTGGAGGGTGGACACCGGGGGGTCACGACAACATTTACACGATAACAAATAGTATAGTATTTTATAGTATTCCACGGAATAGGGCAAGTTAGCGAAACTTTTAGAGAAAACTCCCCGGAAACCCGAAAAAAACGCGATTGATTCAGGGCGGAGAAGCATCCGATAGAAAAATAACATGCAGCTAAACAAATGGAGGTGATTCGGCGTGGGGTGCGTGTGGGGGTCGCACCGGCACGTTCCGGAGCCGATTTTCAGTATTTTAGGCCGGCCGATTTGATGATCTCGATAGTCTGAAGATGGTTCCAACTTTATATATTGTAATTTGCCTGTTGTTTATTCCGGCGACATCAAAGGCTTCGGATACTTTGGTAGGTCTTGGTTTTTCGAATATTTTTTGGGTCTGAAATTTTTGTGAATCAGAGCCTCCGTTTTTCTTTCAGTTATCTTTAACAGCTGAGTTGTCCTGTCGTTCGAAAATTCTATCTCAAATTCAAGTTTTGTAGTTTGCGCAAAAGATGACGTGGTTTTTTAAGCTACTAATCGACTTCTCATGCCTAGCAAAAAGTATATTAATTTTTCGTTCCCTTAAAGGGTATTGTAATAATTGTTGCAACAACTGCTACAAAATGACGGCTATCTTCCTTATTAATTTTTAAGCTCATAGTTGGGTTTCCCGGAAATTAAGAATTTAAGCGGCTTTAATTAAGTCAAACCGAAAGTTTAAGTTCATTTAGTATTTATAAGCTTTGCTTTCCAGCTAACCAGGCTCCGCCGGCAGTCAACCATTTGCAATCCGGACCCCAAAAATCCGCCGGAAACGATGCCGCAATGCTTCTGCTGCGTTTGTGCTGGGATCTCACCTTTTTGCCAGGTAAATTGATAAAACGGAGCAATTGGGTATGACGATAAATGCCTCGAATATCTATTTCTAGGCACCAGTCACAAGAACTACACCTAGGACTACATTCAAGACTACGATCAAAACTACCTCAAAAGTGACTACGAGAGCTACGACCAGGGTTTCAACGTTGAAGGTATACACTTTTGTAACTGACGTTTTGATGTTTCTCTCTCTCTCTCTCTCTCTCTCTCTCTCCCTCTCGCTTTCTCTCTCTCTTTCTCCCTCTTTCTTTAAGGGGGTTTCAGAGAAGATTTCAAAGCCTAATGCGGTCTTTTAGACAACTCTACGACCTGTGCCCTGCGTGGATGTGAACAACAAGTATGTTCCTTTTTGAAATTAGTAGGTCCTGGAATTTGACGTCCCATTTTTGTCTTCTATACGTGCTGTTTTCTGGCCACTGTAATATCAGTTTCATATCCTGTACTTGCTATCCCATGCGAGCGCAAGATATCCGGCTTTTGCACCTGCCACCCTGCGTTTTGTGGCTTCCTTAGTTCGGCAAGAACTAGTGGTGTTCAATGCGTTCCCGTGCTTTTTTTGGCCCTCATCACACACGTTACTTACGTTTCAGCTGCCCCTCTTGGGTCTCGAACGGATTCTGTACTAATACGGCTTACTCCATACAACAACGCCAGCAGTACTGCGCGAGGAGCTGTAACTTGTGTGGTGCGCCGTTGGCGTTGGCTAGCTCCACTAAAACACCATGTGCGGATACGAATACAAAGTAGGTAATTTTGCTAATGAAGTTTCAAGAAGCTGTAAAAATGTACCTTATTTTTCAGCTGTTCCACGTGGATCAAGAACGGCTTCTGTACCTCAACAAGCTACACCCTAGCCCAACGTCAAAGTTATTGTGGGAAGAGTTGTAAACTGTGTTAATAAAAAAATTAAAATAATTGGCACACGTCAATACATCACAACTACATAGCTCAATTATCAGATGCTATTTTCAGAAGGCCATTTCAGCACTTGTTGTGCTTGCAGCTGCCAAAGCCAACTCAGAAATGTGTCAAGAAGTATTTTTTTGGAAAGTAGGATAATTGCACCTGCAAGCGGCGGAAGGTCTCGGCTTTGTATGCAGCGCAATGCGGTAGTAGCAGCTGGATTCATTAACCTTCGGAGTGATTCTGTTCCATGGCGTTGAGCTTATCAGCTATTATATGAAGCTACTGCTTTATTTCTAGACCACAAAGACCTCAAGAAGATGACGACCATTCCCGAACTGCCAGAAACTCCAATATTCTTTGTATGCTACAAAAATGGAGTTCTACTATGCTCGCTAGTGTCCTACGGAATTTCTACGTACCTGCTGTGGTCCCAGATGCCCAGAAATTCTAGGACCTTTAGTGGCTACTTGTTTGTAGTGCATGTGAGTTGCGCTTTGAGAAAATTGGAAGCGGCCTTCATAGAACCTTTTTTGGCATCAGAACCTCGGCTTCGCAGTCGTTAGCATAGTAACGTTAACATAAATTGCCGCTTTAGACGTTCGCCATCCTCACCGAAATTTGGATGGTACTTACCAACATCACGCCCCTTTTACCGGAAATTGCGGTCTATAGCAGCGGCTATCTAGCAGAGCTCGGGATTAGCGGACATTACGCGGCGGTGGGTACTGTCCGCATCCTGACGTTCAACCTGAGAGGGATAAGAGAGAGAGAGAGAGAGAGAGAGAGAGAGAGAGAGAGAGAGATTACCTAGCGTGTGTACTGCGTTCGAGAAGTTGCGTTGCGCACCATTCAAAAGGCCTTCGGTTCTTTAGGATTTCCGGGAAACCAAATTTTTGGCCCAAGCCCAAATTTTTTTCTAAATAACGCGTTTCTAAATGGTTTTTAACTATTCCTGAGCATAAAAACTACCCACATTTTAATTAAAAAATTTAATTTTAGGTCGAAAAATCCGATAGAACCTTTAGGATTAGCGGGGGGGAAAGACCCAAAATGACTAATTTTCGACTTTTTCAAACATTTTTCTAACTTTTTTGAAAGGTTTTTCTACTTTAAATATAGTTAAAATTTACTAAAAACAATGTGAAAACACTTTATATTTGATTACTAGGTCAACCGGGAAAACCAGGAAAAATTTGGTTTCCCCCCGGAAAGACTTTCCCCCCGGAAATCCTAAAGAACCAGGCCTTCGTACCGGGATCGTTTTAGCCACCGCGCGGCGCGTAGAGTTACGCAAGTGGCCTCGGACTGTGGATTGCGCAACTGTGAATTAAGGACTACTTCCAGGTGACAGCTGCCGTCTTGACCGGCGGCGCTTCTATGATGATCCCAAACTGCCTGGCCTATCGTTTATATCTGCTGAAACGAGAACACGTTTTGTACGTTTCACTTTACCTCAGCGTTCAAACCCGCTTGGTTTATAGCGGTTTCGAAATGCAACCAGGGGCATTTCATTGGCTCCAGGCGGCCAACTACCTCGCTGGGGCGCCGGCCGTGTATTTCCTGTTCAACGCTCAGGTCCCAAAAGCGCTGATCCCGCCTAACGAGGTGGGGGGAAATCAAGAAGAGCAAGATCGTGATCAAAGAAGAAAAGTGCCATTATTTAGGATCCACTACTCCACAGCCCCAACGTTGGCTACTACAACCCAAGATTAAATTTCGATTTTATCATTGGTTTGAGCTGCTGCATGCCTTTTGCCGCCCACGCATCGATAATTTGTGTGGTATCGGTGATAAAGTTTGTCGTTTTGGAAGATTTATAGCGAAGTGTCTCCAGGATTATTGAGTTTCTCAAGTCGTCACCGACAGTTTGTAAAAAGTCGCGAGAGCTACATCGACGGGCCGTGTATTCTTGCCTGATTATGGTAATTGTTGGAAATGATACCTAAAAAGGCTAGATCTATATGTAGAAACATCATAACTTCAGTTGCTACCCCCGCTTGTCGTCATCACGGTACCAACCTATGTTGCGCTCTACGGTGCTGCTACGGCATATTTTAAAGTAGAACAGCGCTACGATAGTAAGTAACTTCAGCCATGACAAGGTTAGCATGTTTTTTTCCAGTAATCAACCAACTGATAATACCATTATTCCTTGGCGTATCGATTCCATTGATGGTGAATACTTTATACAGCGCTCTTTGGCATAAAAGAGCAACGAAAGGGCGTGTTCTCCAAACCGCGAAGCTCAGAAAAAAGCGTAAGCATTGCTCTTAATTAATTTTCAGAAATTTAGTCGTTATAATGGCGTTCGCCGCGAAAAGAAGTCCTGCAACTCCATCACCTCGGAAACACAGAATCTTTTCGCTACTAAGTGGTCATAATTAAGAGTATTTTTAACAGGGAATGCAAGAGAAAAATAGATGAATTAAATACAATGCATCAAATACAAGTACATACATAGGTTTTCAGACCTTTTCAAAGTCTAAGTACGATCACATAAATTTCCAAGCGAGGTGAAAATTACACACAATGCGACCAGTGATATCAATCGCTGGGTGTCGTAAATTAACCGAGAATATCATTCGTAGCACGCTTGAGGTTCCAATTAAAGCGGCTGAGAGCCGTGATGGCTTCGACCCTGCCCGCTCCTAACTCGCATAGTCTGTCCACTTTTGCTACCATGTATAGGTTCCTTTCGCCGCAGGCGCCCGCAAATTCTTGCGTCCAGAACCTGGCAGTCTCCTAGGATTTTTAGATGGGCAAGGTAAAGCTAGAATACCTCGAAAAGTTGGCGGTTGGTGTCGTACTGGGTTGCCACCACTGCGTCCTGAAGATCCTGAAGCACCACCGGCTTGGAGAGAAGGGCTTGGATCATAACCAAGAGCGTCGCCATGGTAATATTTGGCCTAAATCACCAATTTTTACACAGGGAAGGAGCGATTTGCTAACATAATGTCGAAAATCATAATGCCAAAATTCACAATGTGGAAATTTCATAATGCCGAAATCCATAAATTTGAGCGTTTTCCGGGAAAATGAGCTTATGCAAATTTCGACGTTCTGGAATTACGGCATTATGAATTTCGACGTTTTGAAAAAACCCCAGGAAAAAGCAATACCGCCATTCATCCTCGAGCCCGAAGCAGCCGACTTCTCCGGTATGCGAGCAGACGTTCGGATGCCATACATTCTTGATGAACCTTGCCTAAATCCAATCAAAAGTCGTGTTTAAAAGGTGTGTTTTTCGAGTCATCCGGGAAACGGTTCGAGACATCGCTCATTAGTTAGAAAATCGAATGTCGAACAAGGTTTTTTGTTCATTTTTGCAAAACGCCATCCCCTGATTTAATAACATTGAAAAATAAACATGACATTTCGGCGCATTGCTGGTCGCAAGTCTGGTAAATAAATCAAAGTCCGGGACAAGAGCGCATCTGTGTTCTACCTAGCACCATCGGACTTACAAGGAGTCCTTTTTTGGGTCATTGGCAAAACCTTACGAGACTTAACTCATTCGATAGAGAATTTGTTTCTGAACAAGACTCCGTTGTCCTTTTTTGCGGAATGGCTATACCTGATTTTATAAAATTTTAAAACTGCACCCAAAAACGTCTCGTTTCGCTCAAAGGGCACGATGATAAGAGGCGGCCCCAGTTTTCTAATTTTAGAAAATCGGAGACGATTATTCCGCAAAAATAAACAACGGCATTTTGTTCAGAAACGAATTCTCTATCGAATGAGCTAGGTCTCGTAAGGTTTTGCCGATGACTCAAAAAGCACCGCTTGCAAGCGCAGTGACTAACGAACGCCGTTGCCTTCGAAACTTTTTTGCGCCCGCTTGACTGGTTAGGTTCTTCTCGGGTTCATTACTTTTGCTTTTTGTTAACGAATGCTTTCGCAGCGGTATCTGACCACTTGGCACGCGGAGCTAGCTTGTTTTCACTTGCGAGGGACCCAGAAACAGCCAGAAACGCAGCCAAAAACATCCAAAATCCGAGCGTAAAGCTCGTCGGACATAGCAAACTGCGATTCAGCCATGCGCGGAAATGTCATATTACCCTGGGCGCAGCGAATGGGTAGTCTGAAGGAACACATATCTCCAGCTCAAACCTGCCGCCCTCATACGGTGAGCCAGCTACTCCAGGGATTTCGGCTTGCAGGCGAGTTAGATCCTCATCAACGAGTTTCAGCTTGAAACCTAAAGCCAGATCTATCGGGGGTCCGAAAAATACTCCTGTCCGGCATTTCGCTGCCTTACATCCGATCGGTACCAAAATTGAACCAGAAGTGTAGCAGAAATTTGCGTACATATTTTCGACAGTCATGTTTTCGAAAAGTCATATTTTTGGAAATCATATTTTCGACAAGTCATATTTTCGAAAAGTCAGATTCTCGAAAATTTTCAATAGTAAATCGCAAGGTGAAAGCAAATTGGAATTCAATGGCATGAAAGAGCAATGCAAACTTGTCGAAATTCGGATTTTCGAAAATATGACTTTCGAAAGTATGATTTTTCGAAATACGATTTTCGAAAATATGATTTTTCGAAAATACGACTTTCAAAATGCAAATCGATGCAAAGCCCAAAAAAACAAACCAAGGAACTGCTAAAAATTGCAGAAAAAAAAACAGTTTTTGCGTTGTAACCCGAGAACTACTGTAGCTATGGGGCTGCAGGTTAGCATTGGTGTTGTTTAGGCCCTAATACACCTCTGGTACAATTTTTAGAATAGGATGTAACGCGGCGAAAGACCGGAGGGATTATTATTTCATCCGGTATCTGCTGCAGTGAGTGACTTACCCGATTCCTGAAGATCATCTTCCATCCTCATGAATAGGCTGACCTCTCGTTTAACGCGAATCTCGCAAGGCCTCGTAGGTTCGCTTTCAGACATTTGTGGAAAATGGAAGCAGAAAAGTGGGGTAGAAAAGCCGGGAATAAGAGAGTAAAACAATGCTGGTCGCGTCCATTTGCGCTCGCTGCAATCATTTTCGTATTCGCCCGATTTTCTTGCAGCACGATTTGGTGTCCTCTTGCGAAACGATCCATTGCGGCGGCTGATGGATGATGTCATTTGCGGAACGGCGAAATGAGTGAAAAAGCGAAAAACTCCGGGAAAACGTCAAAGGAACGCCCGATTCGAAAGCTTGCATAAGACATTCATTCGTACGGCACTCGAGCTGTTGTGATGGGAAAAGATCCAGGGGTTTCACCGGAAAAAAATTTCCAGGAGGGCTGTGGCCGTCCGTTTCACCATGCGCAACCTGAAATTTTGGGAATTTTCTCTTGGCTTTTGAAATGTCTCCTGAATGGAAGCGCACAGATTAGCCAAAAACACCAAAAATTCCCTAAAATCATTTGTCTTTTTTCGAACTACGCCTTATAAAAATCATAAAATTTGGAAAGGCCAAGCCAGCCTTTTCAGTTTTTCTGGCGCCAATTTCACTCACAAAGTTGTATTGTTGTTCGTTCATTAGCAAGAGCACCCAAGACAATAAATACACCTGCCAGCGAAAGAGCGTTTTTTATTGTATCCAGGGAGATGGTCTAAAAACATTCATTTGCCCTCGAACGCACTTATTCACGTTTTGGTGTTTGGCGTTTTGGCGCGTGTCTAGGTATTCGAGATGTCTGCTGTACCGGAGCTTCCAGAAACCCCTACCTTTATTCTGTATTATAAGTACTCGGTGCTGCTATGTTCACTCGTTGCCTACTGTATTTCCACTTACGTCTTGCTGTGCAAAACGTCGGCCAATTCGCGAACATTTAGCGTATATATGTTTATAGTGCATGTACGTTTTTTTACAAACTACAATGGCCGGACAAACTACAAAACCATGAAAGGTTTAGACGGTGGCTATTCTCACGGAGACCTGGCTTGTCTACACGGAACTGGCCGGACTGCTGCCGGAAATGGCGGTTTATAGCGGAGGGTATTTGGCGACACTCGGGATATCCGGGCATTACGCATTAGTAAGCGTCAGGGTAGAAAGTTGTAGCCTAGAACCCCCTACGGGGTCTCCCGCATAAACAACACTTCCTCTAACTCGACACAGATCGAACATTTTGCCTCAATGTTTTAAAAAACACTGTAAAATTGGGTATTTAAATAAAAAACGGTTTTGAAGATTGCTGCAAACTCGTCGTTTTCAAGGGCTTTCAAATGGTGTAACTAACATTCAAGTCCGATGGTTCGGTACCCATAGGGTAACGGGGGGGGGGGGGGAATAAGGGGGGGCACTCAAACTTTCTATATGATAAAAGTATTTTTAAATATGCTTTTTTTGGGCTGTGAAAAAACACTTAGTATATTTTTCGGTCCTCTATCGAATGGCATTTTCAAAATCTCGAAAATATTCAAAACGCCGAAAATTTTTCCCCCCTGTTATCCTATGTGCTGCCCATAGTTTTCAAAAATAGTTTTTAGGCTATAAAACTTTTATAATACATTTTTTCGCGTTGTAAAAAATCTCTTAGTATAATTTTTGATGTTCTATCGATTCCCGCTTTCAAAATATCGAAAATTTCAAAAATTTGACTTCCCCCCCCCCCGTTATCCTATGTGCTGCCCATAGATTTTCCTCAATTTTTATTTTTTCAATAAAAAAATTTCCATTACATTATTTTGGGCTCAAATTAATTCTCTTAGTATATTTTTCGCCGCTCTATCGAATGGCACTCGCCAAATCCCTCAGTAATTGCAAATTTCAGAATAATGAGTGCCCCCCCCCCCGTTACCCTATGTGTGCCCGATGGTTCTGTGTCGAGTTAGACGGGGTGTTTTTTTTATTGGGCCACCCTGTATGTCGATTTCGGCCTGCCAAACGGGTAGCTATCAAAATCGGGCTACGAGGCGGTGGCGTTACGATTGTTGGAAGCCTTTCTGCGGAATTTTCCATCTTTCATCCCGGGTGCGCAGATAAATGCGTGCGCGACTTCAGTAATTGGTGCGACCATCTTAGTTCTCGGCGGCCGTGATGACGGGCAGCGTGGGGATGATGATCCCAAATTGCTTGGCGTACCGGTTGTACCTGCTGACGGGAAAGCATCTTTTGTGGGTGTGCGCCTATGATTCAAAAAGGTTACACGTGCTTTAGCGGATTCCAATTGAGGCCCGGTTTATTTCACTTGCTGCAAACTGCCAACTATGCGACCAGCATCCCAGCTATATACTTTTTATACAACGCACAAGTTCCGAAAGCTCTGATACCGCTTGACAAGGTTGGAAACTGCCCATATTCCAAAAGTACAGGTGATTCTCGAACAGAACACGAAAAGAATGAAAGCACCAATCATGATCATCTGATAACTGACGCCGTTCAATCTTTTTTTCAGGATCCCCTGCTCCTTAACCGAAGCGTTGGCTACTACAACGCGAAACTACATGCGGACTTGGCCATCGGGATTGGTTTTGCCCTGCCATTTGCTGGATACGCCGCCCTGATCGCCTTAATATCAACAATAAAGTTAGTTTTAGCGAATTATCGGCTCTATCTTATTTTCTTAGGCCCCTCTTTGGGGGGGGGCGTGTTCTTCCTCCCAAGGGTTCCCCCCCTTGGGGGGGGGGGCGGGGGGGGCGGGCCGCCGTGCGGTGTCTGGCCAATCCCCCCCCCTTGCGGGGGGCGCCCTCCTCCCCCCGCCGCGGGGCGGGTGGGGTGTCCGGGTGGCCCTCCTCCCCCCCCCGCGCGGGGGGCCCGGGCCCCGCCCCGGCCGCGGCGGAGACCTTTTTTCTTCCCACAAACGCCCCGCCTTTAAGGGGTATTATTCTTTCAGAATTTTCCGCGTTCTCCGCACTTCGCCCGGGGTCTCCAAAACAACGCGAGCGTTGCATCGCCGGGCTGTGCAGTCTTGTCTAATGATGGTAGGTAGCGTACCATTAATGATATTTTTCGGATGCTTTAGTCTCTCCCTCCGATGACCATCGTCTCGATACCAGCTTTTATTACAATATACGGTGTGGCAGCGGCCTATTTAGAATTTGATCAGCCGTATGCCTGTAAGACTTTGCTATAAAAAAACATCTGGAAGTAGCAGCCTTTTTGGTATATGTAGGCTATTTTACGGATTTTACGCGGGGGGCGGACGGACGGTTGGGGCCGTCCAAACTACCTTTTTGCGTTTACTTTTGCTCCAAACAAAACTCTTAGTATATTTTGCGACGCTCTATCGAATGGCACTAAAGGAAGCTTGAAAAAAAATATAAAAATGTCCAAAACTTGCTTTCGTTCTATGGTCTCTACAGGGTGTCCCAAAAACCCCACCCCCTCTAGAGGCCGTCAATCGGATCGGATCGGAATGATTTTTATACCAATCGAAAGCTCTCGGAAAGGCGAGAAAACAAGCGGGTTTCGTTTTCTAAGATTTAATCTGATTCTATCGATATTTCAGGTTTTCCTAAAAAGCCGAGAATTTTTTATCAGGAATTTCGCAATTAGCATGCAGATGTCGCATAAATCAGCAGTTTTCATGGTTTTTGGACATAAAGATAGCAAATAAAAAGGCTTAATTAAGAAATTCAACCCTCCTGGTTTTTTCGCCTTTTCGAGAGCTTTCGATGGATACCTAAATCGTAAAAATCGGAATCGACTGCCCCTGTATGGAAACAAGTTTAATATTTGTTTTTGTTGTCCAAACTGTTTTATACTACATTATCCTACTATATATTATAAAAAAATAGTGTTTGTGTGTGTGTGTGTGTGTGTGATACTTTCCATGCAACTTCCGTCACCATGTCCGGAGGATATCTCGATAGGGAATGAATTTCAAGGTCTATATAATGTGTCATTAGATGCGTGGTGGCTCTGGGATGACTGCACGTTTATCAGATTTTACACAATTAATTGTTTTAAATACCAAATTACAGTTTTTGTAAAAATTTCGGACCCCCTCTTGGTTAGGAAACAATTAGCAAGCACCGGAAGTGGCGGAAGCCTATATGATCAGGTAGATACTGTCATTTTTCAGTTTTTTTCCTCGGGATTCAAGAGACGGAAGCAGAGGGAAGAATATTATGTGGATAGACAGGGGCAGGGTAAAAAGTCGCGAAGCGGCTTTTCAATCCTGGTTTCGAACTAAAATAGAAACACTTCGTATAATTTTAGATGCTCTATCGAATGGAGGCTTTAAAACGTCGAAAAAAGCGAGAAGGTCGAAAAACAGCCGCTCAACCCGATTTTAAAAGTTTATTTTGCTTTTACCATAACTTTTTTATAGTACTTGTATTTTACTTTGTATTACTTTGAGCTAAAATAAAAACCTAGTATATTTTTCGAGGTTCTATCGGATGGCGTTGCAAAAACCCCGGGAAAATAACGAAAATATCCAAAAAGGCCTGCCGGTTCCGTCCCCCCCCCGCATGATATTACATATACCGCCTTTTTTTTTAGTAATAAACCAAATGATCGTTCCGCTATTTCTTGGTGTTTCCATCCCGCTAATGGCCAACACTTTATACAGTGCACTCTGGCATAAGCGAACGTCCATTAGGAATTTTATCCAGGTTGAGAAGACAAGAATCAGGGAAAAACGTTAGTGACCGAATTGATTACGGCATGTAAATCCGATTTAGTTACTGTCGTGTCGATGAGAAGACCGAAATCCTAATGAAGCCATGGTTGCTGAACATCGCAGCGGGTCTTGTCAATAAATATGCACTGAAAATCAAGATGATAGAATTGCCAAAATTACCAGCACATTTTTGATTGCTCGCCCTCCTCGAAACCATTCAAAAGAATTACAGCTGCCGGCTTCCAAATTTATTAAACTTTTTTTAAGCAAGCAACTGGCGTTCAAAAGATCAAACAAAACTTAAACTGGCTCAAATAGCAGACAATCATGTTTTGTTGGAGCGATTAACGGTCATCTCAAACAAAACATTTTTATTTGAAACTCCAAAAATCCCTTTCAAGCGAACAAGCCCGTTGAAGGCCTTGTTTTGTTTGAGTTATAACAACTCTAGTTTGTTGTTCGTTCATTAACAAGGGCGCCCTTCACAATAAATACACCTGCGAGCATGCAAAGCGTTTTTTTTGTTTCCAGGGAGATGGTCTAAAAAAATTAATTTGCCCTCAAACGCACTTGATGCACGTTTTGGCGATCGGCGTTTTGGCGCGTCTCTAGGTATCCGAGATGGCTGCTGTTCCTGAGCTTCCAGAAGCACCGGCTTTCATTTTGTATTACAAGTATTCAGTGCTACTATGTTCACTCGTTGCCTACTGTATTTCCACATACGTTTTGCTGTACAAAGTGCCGGTCAACTCAAGAACATTCAGCGTATATATGCTGAAAGTCCATGTAAGCAATTGTTTACAAACTGCAAAGGCCTTACCAACTATAATAAAAATGAGGATTTTAGACAATAGTTATTGTCACCGAGAGCTGGCTTGTCTACACGGAACTGGCCGGGCTGCTGCCGGAACTGGCGGTTTATAGCCGAGGCTATTTGGCGACACTCGGGATATCCGGGCATTACGCAATAGTAAGCGAGAGGGTAGGAGGTTGAGGTGCAGAAACTTTTGTCCTTTTGATTGGGTGCTTGCTTAGCGGGGGATTTTCGATTTTTTTTTGCGATGACAATAAGGGGCACTTGTTATTGCATTGTACACTCTTTTTTTAGTATTGAAAGACCTTCAATAAAATTATAAACGTCTATAAAACGTTCGCTTTTGGCCAAAAAATTATGGTATCGGCCAAAACTGGTGAAAAACCTCGGCTTTTCAGGATGCTCCATATGCCGTTTAATAGTGTTTGTGACCAGAAACGACTAAAAAATTGTTAAAGTGTTTTTTATGTAATTAATAAGCAGAAAAAAGCTAAATGCTAAATTGAAAAATTTGTCGTGCTTGTCGGTTTTTTAGAAGCTTTTTCCGGAAGTTCACATATTTTGTAGACGCGCGTCGCGGTTGCGCGAAGCTAAATGGCAGCGCAAATCCAGCGACTAGTACGGCCTTCTTAGATGTCGGCCGCCGTAATGCTAGGCGGCGCTGTGATGACGATCCCAAATTGCTTGGCCTATCGATTGTACCTGCTGACAGGGGAGCATGTTTTGTGAGCGCTGAAAGATCCTTAAAACTATCCCACGTGTTTTAGCGGATTCCAAGTCAGCCCCGGTTTATTTCACTTCCTACAAATCGCCAACTACGCGGTCGGCATCCCAGCCATTTATTTTTTGTACAACGCACAAGTTCCGATGCCCTTGATACCGCCTGATAAGGTTGGGAAGTACCCCTTTTTCCAAAGGGTATGGGAGCAAAAACACATGAAGCACTCAGAACTAGAGTGTGTCGTGTTTGAATAATTATTTGAATACCAGCGCCCAAAACCCGCTTCGCGGGCCTTGGGCGCTGGAATGCGGCCTTTGCATGAGAAATTTGGCTTTCCGAGAGCTTGGGTCCTTCGGACCCCTCCCTTCCTCCGACCACACCCGCGCGTGCAACTTGCAAGAATGAGGAAATTTGTATTTTTTGGAATTATGCAAAGTAGCCTTCCCTGGCGCCGGACACACACACACAGAGATACACCCCAAAATTATATAAGGTAGGATATTCGAGCCCGCTCAAATAAATTATTTGAAGGCATCCCGGAAATTATTCAAATAATCGGTCAAATAACGGAACCACCTCCGCTCCGATTCAAATATATTTGAACATATTCAAATAAAGCCGGGCTAGACAAGCTCAACGAAATTTGAAAAATCGCACCCATGGATTCAAGAAGGGCCTTTGTTGAACTTACAAGGAGTGCTTTTTTTGAGTCATCTGTAAAACCTTACGAGACCTAGGTGTCTCATCCGACAGAGAACTCGATTCGGAACAAAACCCCGTTGTTCTTGTAGAATGGCTATCCCTGATTTTATAAAATTGTGAAACTGCACCCAAGAGCCTCTCTTTTGGCTCGAAAGGCACTCATGGTAAGGGACGGTCACTATTATTTTAATTTTATAAAATCAGGGATAGCCATTCTGCAAAAAAGAACAACGAGGTGTTGTTCAGAATCAAATTCTCTATCGAATGAGTTAGGTCTCGTAAGGTTTTGCCGATGACTCAAAAAAAGCACTCCTTGTTAGAATAGCAACGCCGACCATTTCCTAGATGCTATAATGTCGAATAGTGAAAAATGACGGTATTTTTTATTTCGGGATTGTTAGGGTTTCCAGTTTTTCGGTGATCGGAATCAGCGGCCGACAACCAAAGTGCCTATCGGCCCAAACGCAATATAACAACTGTCAGAATACCGACTTGAAAATGCCGACGTGCTAAATGCCGACACGCGAAAATGCCGACGGGAGGTTTTGTTTCGAAATGCAATGCTGACATCTATATCGAAAAATTTTGGTGTCGGCATTTTTGTTGTCGATATTTTTGATGCTGGCATTCTGCAAAAATGGCGTTGCAGGGTTGTGCGACATTTGGCGGTTGATATTTTAGCCCAACTCGTCTCGAAATTTGGCATTCCTTATTTGAATCAAGGATTTGACTAGGTTTTGTCAAAAGGAGAGCGATTTGACAAAGCTCGGTATTATTTGAACATGTTCAAATATATTTGAATCGGCACTCCGGGAGGACCGTTATTCAAATAACGGTTCTGGATTATTTGAATATCCGTTATTTGGATTTATTTATTCAAAGTGGATTTGTATTTGCAAACGACACACTCTACTCAGAACAAGAAAGACCTTCCGGCACATTGCGACCGGGTAGTACAACGCGAGCTAATTAGCATAAAAGGGAAACTGTTTTAAAGGAATTCATGAAGATCGAAAACATAGTCATCTGCAGCTCTTTATTCTTTTTGAGGATCCTCTGCTTTTAAACCCAAGCGTCGGCTACTACAGCGCAAAACTACACCCGGAATTTGCCATCGGCATTGGATGTGCCCTCCCGTTTATTGGACATGCTGCCCTCATTGCCTTAATATCAACATTAAAGTTGGTTTTAGTGGGTTATGGGCTCTAACCTTATCTTTCTTTCTCCAGTATTACTCTTCCAGAATATTCCGCTTTCTCCGTGCTTCGCCCAAGGTCTCCAAAAAAAACGCAAGTTTTACATCGTCGGGCTGTGCTATCTTGTCTGTTGATGGTAGGTTGCGAATCATTAATAACATTTTTCGTATGTTCTAGTCTCTCCCTCCAATGACCATCGTCGCGATACCGACTTGGATTGCCCTATACGGTATAGCAGCGGCCTATTTCGGATTCGATCAGCCGTATGCCTGTAAGACCTTCCTATATAATAACTTGGAACTAGCAGTCTCTTTTAGTAATCAATCAAATGATAGTACCGCTATATCTTGGTGTTTCCATACCGTTGATGGCGAATACTTTATACAGTGCGCTCTGGCATAAGCGATCGTCCGTTGGAACCTTTATCCAGGTTGAGAAGACGAGGATCAGGGAAAGACGTTAGTGACAGAATTGATTACGACATGAAAATCCGATTTAGTTGCTGACATGTCGATGAGAAGACCGAAATCCTATTGAAGTCGCGATTTTTAAAGGGAGAGCCACTTGTTTTTAATAAACATTTGCTTAAATGGCGGTCATAGGATGCCCAAAATGATTTGCTATTGCTTGGTCGAATTCGCCAAATTTTGAGGTGAATAATCGAGGCGGAAAGGCATTGTGACCTCGACAAAATGATATTTCGGCAAAATGAGAAGCCAAAGAATCCAGGAACAGAATCCTAAGCCTTAAACTGTGATAGCCTAAGGTATCTCAAACCGAAATGAAATGACAACATTGCGACAACCAGCTGGTGGTCATTTTCTTGCACAACAGTATAGCCGAGATCCACCTCCTCTCCGCCTGCGTGGCCCGTCCAATCGTGCCAGTTGATGACGGCGGCGAAAAGTGAAATAATTAATACGCATTAAATCGATTTCATAAAAATATTTTAAACGAGCTCGATTTGTCACCCAATTACGAAACGAATAACTTTCCCTTCTCGAGTCTGCGATTTGTCAGTTTTCTCACGCCAACTTCAATTACAAAGATCTGTTATCGTTGGTTCCTTAACAAGAGCACCATTGACAATAAATACACCTGCCAGCGACAGAGCATTTTTTTATTGTATCCAGGGAGATGGTCTAAAAAACTTAAATGGCCCTCGAACGCACTTGTTGCACGTTTTGGCGATTGGCGTTTGGGCGCGTATCTAGGTATTCGAGATGTCTGCCGTTCCGGAGCTTCCGGAAGCGCCGGCTTTCATCCTGTATTACAAGTACTCGGTGCTACTGTGTTCACTCGTTGCCTACTGTATTTCCACATACGTCTTGCTGGGCAAAACGCCGGCCAACTCACGAACATTTAGCGTATATATGTTTATAGTCCACGTAGGCAATTTTTTTTGCAAACTGCAAGGACCACATCGGTAGTGACGCAATCACGAAAAATTTTAGACGTTTGCTATTCTGACCGAGACCTGGCTTGTCTACACGGAATTGACCGGGCTACTGCCGGAAATGGCACTGTATAGCGGAGGATATCTAGCGACGCTTGGCATCTCCGGGCATTACGCCATAGTAAGCCAAGGGCAAAGATTCTGCGTGCGGGATCCCGTTTGCTCCGGGAAAACGGAAGTCTTAAAAATCGGGTTACGAAGCTGCGGTTCTGAAAAGCTTTTGGATTATGCGCCTTTCGTAGACCGTTACGCAGCCCGCTTTGGGTCGCGTCTCGGAAAATAGATAATAGCACAGCTTCAGCAATTAGTACGATTGGGTACTGAATTCTTACCAAGGGGGGGGCAGGGTAGATTTCTAGCAGGACAAACTATTTTTTCTTTCGTCTATATTCGGTTGCGGTCAAATCGCAGACGATTTTAAACATTTTTGTATCTAAAAACTGTGCCAAATGTAACAAAAATGGTTTGTGTTTTGGCATAGGATAGTACAGAGCCACCGGGAAAAATTAGTTTTGCCCCTGCGGACAGTCCAGTACCCAAAATTATTAGGTCTCGGCTGCGATAATGACGGGCGGCGCTTCGATGACGATCCCGAATTGCTTAGCCTATCGATTGTATCTGCTGACACAGCAGCATATTTTGTGGGTGTTGGCCGATCAGTTAAAACAGTTACGCATGTTTTAGCGGATTCCAAGTGAGCCCGGGTTTATTTCACTTCCTCCAACTTGCCAATTATGCGCTCGGCATCCCAGCCATATATTTTTTATACAATGGACAAGTTCCGAAGGCTTTGATACCTCTTGATAAGGTTGGAAAGTGCCCTTATTCCGAAAATAGCAGGTGATTCTGGAAGAGAACACAAAAAAGGAATTCCGGAACATTGGCTCCGGGAAGTTCCGTGAGCTAAATAACATAAAATGAAAATGCCGAAAGGAATTTATGAATATAAAAATCAAGGTTAATCTGATAATTATGAAGCCAGTCAATCTTTTGGAGGATCCTCTGCTTCTAAACCCAAGCGTTGGCTACTACAACGCGAAACTCAATGCGAAATGTGCCATCGGAATTGGATGTAGCCTACTGTTTGTTGGATGTATTGCCCTCATTGCCTCAATATCACTAATCAAGTCGGTATTAATCAATTATTCTCCCTTGCCTCATCTTCTTTGAACGACATTACACTTCCAGAATATTCCGCTTTCTCCGCACTTCGCCCAAGGTCTCCAAACGAACGCGAGCTTTGCACCGTCGGGCCGTGCACTCTTGTCTGTTGTTGGTATTTGCTTACCATTGATAAGAAATTTTTGGTATGTTTAGTCTCTCCCTCCGATGACAATGGCCGCGATACCAGCGTATGTTGCACTATACGCTGTAGCAGCAGCATATTTGGAATTCGACCAGTCTTATGCCTGTCAGTCCTTTCTCTTAAAAAAAATTTGAACGTAGCCTCTTTTTAGTAATAAACCATGTGATAGTACCGCTATATCTTGGCGTTTCCATACCGTTGATGGCTAATACTCTATACAGTGCACTTTGGCATAAGAGATCGTCCATCGGGAATTTGATCCAGGTTGAGAAGACGAGGATTACGGAAAAACGTTCGCAACACAATTGATTATGTTATATGATTAAAATCCGATTTAGTTACTTTCATGTGGATGAGAAGACCGAAATCCTGACAAAGCCGCGACTTTAAAGAGAGAGCCAGCTGTTTTTCATAAATCTGCACTGAAACGCCAGGTTATAGGATGTCCAAAATGATTTTCGAAAAAATCAAAATATGCTGCGCAAAATCGCTAGCACATTTTTGATCGCCCGCCCTCCTCGAGACCATTCCGAAAGAATTTCTGCTGCTGGCTTCCAAATTTATTAAACTTTTTTATTCTCAGGAGCTGCAAACCTCTTGATGTTGCCGCAACAGAAAGCAAAACAGAAAAATAGCACCTGGAACGCCCTCAAAAGTGATTTTCTCAGGCCAAGCAGCACGAAGAAAAAAATTTCCACCTGACCTCTAAAATCCTCTAAGCCCACAGAAATCTATATTTCAGTGGTTATCGGAGAACATTCTATCCTGCCTACTTTTTATTCCTAATGAGCAAACAATGTCTAGTAATATACCAGAACTGCCAGAAGCGCCATTGTTTATATTATACTACCAATATGGGGCGCTGCTCTGCTCCTTCATGGCCTATTGTATCTCAAACTATTTCCTGTGGCTCAAGCTGCCGGTTAGCTCGCGCATGTTTAGCGGCTATTTGTTTATCGTTCATGTGGGTAACTATTTCCACGCTAGAATTTGCCGATTTCAATCAAGATGCAGATTTTGACGCTGCGTTACGCAGTTAGCCAAATAGTTATCCAAAAGCTTAGATTGATTAAATTAATTCAGTTATGATTATATTTTAGACAGTCGTCCTCCTAAATGAGATTTGGCTCGTGCTCACCGAAGTCTCACTTCTTCTACCGCTTGTTGCATTTTATACCAGAGGCTTTTTGGCCGATCTCGGAGTTTCTGGGCATTACGCTATGGTAAGTTTCGCAACAATTGCCAAAGTAAGCTCCAGCAAGTAATAATAGAATACCGCACCATTCTTACTATTTGCTACGTAGGACATTCAACTAGGAACAATAGAACTGTAAATACAGCAACCTTATTCCAGGCCATTTTCTTGATAATGACGGGCGCCGTGGTGATGATGGTCCCAAATTGCCTTGCGTATCGATACTATTTGCTCAAGCATGAACACCCTTTGTAAGCAAACCTCAAGGATCCCATTCTCCCTTTTAGTGGCTTTGAAGTGACGCCTACCGCTTTTCACCTACTCCAAGTTGCAAACTACATTCCTGGGATCCCAGCCATTTATTTGTTGCTCACCGCCCATGTACCTAAATCGTTGATCCCCACCGGGGCGGTGAGGAGTTTTTGCCTCTTAATGTAAAGCGCCAGGTGTCTTTGCATCAAAATAAAAATATTTTGCCCTCCGGGGACACATTATGCCAAAAGCAACTGACTAGAGTGGTAGCAGCAGCACTGAAATTGTTGCACTTTCGTAAAAAGGTGGCGATTTTGCAGCAGTCGAAATAAAAAGTTCTTATATTCATCTTGGCGTGCGATATTAAAATAGTGGTGTTAATGATATGTTTCAGGATCCGATTCTTCTTAACGAAAACGTCGGATACTATGATCCAAAATTGAATATTAACATTGTGCTGGCCTTCTTCGCGTGCGCGCTCTTCAACGCGTACGCAACGGTTGTCTGTTTGGTATCGGTGAAAAAGTAAGTGGTATTGCAGACCTAATCATCAAAAAGTTTTAAAAATTTAACCATGCTTCGACACCCTGGAATTTAACCTATCATTAATGCGCAAATATATCCCGACTTACCTGGAGGGGGGGGGGAGCAGGCGTCGATTGGAGCATTTTGAAGGCGTAATCCCTCGAGTGCAATTTTCCAAAATTTTCCAAAAAAGCCATCAGCGTTTCTCTTTTATTTCTAACACAGTACAAAATTTGTTGTTGTTTTATATACCACTTTCAGAATCGTCACTTTCCTCAATGCTTCCCAAACTTTTTGTAAGCGGATGCGGGCACTACACCGCCGCGCCGTCATTTCTTGCCTTTTTATGGTAACTTTAGATCGTTTTTACGTCAAAAATATTTTTAAGTTTTTGCCTCCGCTCACCTTCGTCATGTTCCCGACGGGCATTGCTTTTTATGGGGCGCTTACTGCTTATTTTCAAGTGAATCAGCATTATGAATGTAAGGAAACCCTTTAGTTTAAATGATTTCTGTTAAGTTTGATTAGTCTCCTCTAAATTTTCCGTGTTTTGAATTTCTGTATCCAATTTGTAAGGTCTTATCTATTCTAATAAAATGATTATTCAAAGACTTTCTAGTATTCAACCAAATCACGATGCCGCTGTTCTTGGGTGTTTCAATTCCGCTAATGGCAAACACGTTATACAGCGCGCTCTGGCATAAGAAGGCTACTTTCCGGAATTTCATGTCGGTCTGGAAGCTCAGAAAACAGGGTGAGGCCATTCCTACTATAATTTATCGTTCATTTAGTTGTGGCAAAGCGCAGGGGAATTCTACGAGCTCACATTATTGGCTTGACGCCGTTCACCTCAAAAAGTGTCGTTCGAGATGGAAAAGTACCAATAACGTCTATTACATGAGCTCTTGATGATTGGTGCTGTTGTTGTTAATTGTTGTTATTCCATTAACACTTTGTTATTTTTAAGCGTTAGGGTGAATAAATAAAAGCAAAACAGTAACAAAAAGGAACATGTTATTTCCTGCCTACAGGAAACAGCCAAAACCAATATTCTCGCCAAACTCAAGTGTGTATTGTTTTTTATTTTATTTTATTTTATTGGCATCTTTAAGGCACCGCTTTCAACTCGATCTTAGAGATATCTTAGTTTTTCAATTTTTGAGGGAAATTAAAAATTCATAACTGCTTCTCGTTTGCAAACGAAACGACTTTCCATTGAAAATCTTCAACTAAAATTTCAAAATTCCCAAAATTGCTGGCACATCAACTAGAATGGCAAAAACAAGTGAGAGAAAATTGCAGGCTCGAGCTAGCGCGATAAGATCTCCAAATCCGGGTTCCGTACTAGCTTGTTTTTGTGGCAGAGATCTGCCCCGGCCGAAAATCTACACATTCCAAGGCCAGGCCGGCCGGGGCCCCCGATTTCTCCCCAGTTAGCCGGATAAGAAAGGGATGAAACCCGGGTGAAAGCCGAGGCAAATTTGGAAAATGAGGCCCGGCGAATCGCTCCCTTTGCCCGTAAAAACCGAAAATCCACAGAAAAGTGAGAGATGGCCTTGACTCGGTGAGCGCGGGGGAGCACCATGTTACGCCTTTGATTGCTTGTTTGGGGATGTTTATCTCTTTTTCTCATGGGCTATCCCTCTCTGCCTCTCTGTCTCGCGCCTCTCTCGCTTGACTCCATCGCTTTTTGGGGCCCCGGAGATAACCCTGAAAAACTGTACCCTCGGCCCTGCCTGCTTGACATGCGTGATGTGATGGGCCTAGGATCTGGCTAAATTTGAGAAAGTTTGAGAGAAACCGTTAGCCCGTGCTAGCCAAGGCCAAGCTAATCCTATAAAAGCGCGGCCCTTGGCCATGTCAAACCACTCGAGCCACGATGTACCGAGTCGGGTTCCTAGCGGCCCTCCTTCTTTCGGCTAACTGGTGAGTGTTTTTAAAGTTTTAAAGTTTGGCATTTTCCTATAAAAATAAAGATAGCACTCAAACTCTTTAAGCTAGAGGTAACCAGAAGAAATTTTTAATGATTAATCAGTTTGATTTCTTCAATTTGAACATTTCTTAGCCATGGTTGAATAATTAAAAACGAGCTTTTCTTTTTGATAGAATCATTCAAAGCTTTAATTCGTTTGAAGATTTAATAGATACCGTTAGCAAAACTTTTTGTAAAATCCCCACCAGGCGCTAGACATACATAACTGGATATAGGTAAGGGGAGCTAACCAGGGCACCTTTAGAAATTTTTAATACATACTTATCAACTCTACTAATATTTTGTTTCCAGCCAATATGCCCAGTCCGGCGGATACGGTGGCGGCGGCGGCGGTGGCGGCTACAGCGCTGTAGCCCAGCAGCCCCAGCAGTATGGCGGCGGTGGCGGCTACGGAGGCGGCGGTGGTGGCGGCGGCGGATACGCCCAGGCCCCTCAGCAGCAATCCTACGCCCCTCAGGCTCCTCAGCAGCAGTCGTACGCTCCTCAGGCTCCTCAGCAGAGCTACGCTCCTCCCGCCCCTCAGGCTCCTCAGGGATACGCCGCTCCTCAGGCCGCTCCCCAGCAGTCGTGGGCCCCTCAGCCTGCCCCTCAGCAGAGCTACGCCCCTCAGGCTCCTCAACAGCAGTCGTACGCTCCTCAGGCCCCTCAGCAGAGCTACGCTCCTCCCGCCCCTCAGGCTCCTCAGGGATATGCTGCTCCTCAGGCTGCCCCTGTAAGTTTTTCTTAACTTTGTTGTGAGCTTTTACCTAGCTAGTATCGATTAAATTTTTACAGGCTCCTCCTCCCCCCCCCCTCCTTCCCCCACCTCCTCCCCCAGCCTACTCGCCGCCCGCCCCGGTAAGCTTTTGGGCCTTATGTTCTGGGTACCTTGAGCACTAGTTATGTTGAAGCTAAACTCATTTTTCCAGGCTCCTCCTCCCCCTCCTCCCCCACCCCCGCCACCACCACCGGCCCCGGTCCAGAGCTACTCGGCCCCGGCTGCTGCTCCTCCGGCCCCTGCCCCGGCTCCTCCTCCTCCTCCTCCCCCACCACCACCTCCTCCCCCGGCTCCCCCGGCGCCGGTAAGTAATTCAAGAGTTGGAGAGGCAGGGGAGAGAGAGGAGACGAGAGAGAGAGAGAAAAAGAGAGAGAGAGAAGCGTGATACAAGCAGGAGGGAAAACTATGCCTTTTAGGACGTATAAAAATTTTGAAATTCCAGGCCCCTGCTCCTCCCCCACCTCCTCCTCCCCCAGCACCACCGGCCCCGGCCCCCGCTGCCCCCGCCCAGAACTCGTACGGAGATGAGCCCGTTGCCCCCGCCCAGCCCGCTTCCGGAGGCTACCGTCACCGCAAGGTGTTCCGCCACAAGGCCCGCAAGGTTGCCCGCAAGGTCCTCCGCCACAAGCACCGCAAGGTCGCCCGCAGCTGAACGCCCACTCTCAACGACTCGGGTACCACAAAGCCTTAATCATCACGAAAATGCTCAAAAATGTCACAGCGTCCGACTAGGGCGTGTATGTAGTGCTATGAATAAATGGATATACATAAGATTTTGTAGAACATAAATACGTAATTACGACAAAGATGAGACGCCGAAAAAGCGGGATAAGACCAGCAAAGCTGGAAATTTGAAGTTGTCCAGGCTGGGAGGAAAGTCGAGGGAAGCGGGTCAGCTAGATTCTTATCGAAGGTTTTTTGGAGTTCTTAGGGTATCCGATGGGTGTTTGAGCAGAGCCTGACCGGATCCTTTTGCTTTGGCCGAGTAGTAGAGGTAAAACATATTTTCCTGAGTTAGCAGATCATGATTTCAGGGATTTCTTTCGGTGGATGTATACCTTTCGCATATCTGATTTTCATTAGTTAGATCCGTGGATACGGAAAAGTAGCAAATCTTGCAAATATTTATATAAACGTTTTTTTCTTGTAGCTCACCGATCCCTCATTGCGTTTGACAAATTGTTAGCTCCTCTCCAGACCACTTGAACTTCCCGGTCGTGTCGCTGCGTCATTGAGTCGTCAGAAACAACAATAACAAGCTGTTCTTTCCTATTTCCAATGCTCGAGCGTCCTTTCGTATTGATTAAGGTATTTTCGGTAGCTTTTACCATAGGAATAATCACGTTTTTCGTAAGACATGCCAGTTTTCAGCCAATTTCAAAGCTCTGGCCCTCTAGTGTTCCCGCCCGCCGGGAGTTGCCAACAGACGGCACTTGACCTTGTTCTTTGGCTCGCCTTACCCCGGAAATTCCGGTTCTTTCGATCGGTTTATAGTTTAAAAGGCATCAAGCATTAAGTTTGACCATCTCCCAAATTTACAGAATAAAGAATTTAATCCGAACCGTCTGAGTACATTTTGTTTAAATACAATGCTTTATAAATTTCGTGATGTATAAACGATTTAATGTGCCAAAGTTTTTGCTCGTTTTAAAACGATCATCCTCTTATGTGTTAAAACATTTGTAAAAATTTCTAATTTAATTTCTAATTTAAAAAATTTATTTCTACAGTTTGTAGAAATAGCTGCTCAAATTCCGAGCGTTTAAAAAAACTCTAAGGAATTCATGAGTAATCAAGAAAAAGCAAGCTACGCTAAAAGCACCGGTATTTTTGCCTAAATATTTACATAGCATTTCACAAAAGTTCCTTTTTTCTACTTTTAGGAAAACTAACCTAATTTTTCCTCCCGCTCTGCGTTAATGTTTACAAAATACGCCCTGGGCCAAAATAACAACCCTTACGGCCAAAACCAATCCAATTTTTTGGTGGATTCCAGCTGTCATCGGTTCGCTAGTTTTTATAACCCAGGCAACCCCCATTTTTCAGAGTGGCCGCCCATAGCTTTCCCGCATCTGTCCCTCTTGGAGGCGAAATGTAAACATTCCCAATATGTACCCGGAGGGCATTCGTTCCACAGACTCCCAATCCTCTTGATTAGATTAGGAGATCGGGTCCATTTCGCTACAAATTCCGGGGTTTGAAATTGATAAGCCTACAGCATGGCGTTTATTCGGGACTTCCTGGTGCTGGCGGTTGGAGATTTTTGATCCCAGATTTCGGGGGTACTGTAGAAAATGAAAAGCAGTAATATGGATTGTAAGAATCGCGATTTTTGGTTTCTTTCTACATCGCTCTTTCTCTCTCTCTCTCTTCGCTTGCTCTGGTTTGGCGTGTAACTTTAATTTCAGGGTCCATGCTATCGATATTTATACTATTTTGCTGCCTGCCTGGCTTGGCCAGCGGGTTGTATAGACAGGTACCCTTTCATAAATTTAAACAAGGCTATGCTTATTATATTTTAACTTTTAAATTTTATTTTTCGGAAACTTAAACTTGAAATTGCGTTTGTTACTTAAATTGTGACCGTAAAATCCATTGTAGTATTAAAACTGGGATAAAAACGAATTACAAAGCTCCAAATTAAAGGCCCGAAACAACAAACTTTAGGCAAACAACTATCGGTACTACGATGACCTGACAGGACTATGGACCTTTATGAAAGAGCCCCATAATGCCGGGGATCGAGGGATTGAGCAAGAATGGTTCAAGAAGGACCTATCCAAAATGGAGGTACTGTTTTCACTCTTGGTTTTCAAATGGTCTAAACAAACTTTAGAATTCCACCGTAATGCCCGTTCCCGTAGCCTACAACGACATGAGCGCCGAGGCGTCGCTGCGGGACCACGTCGGCTGGGTGTGGTACCAAAAGAACGAGTTCATCCCAGACGTAAGTCATAATAACTATATTGATTCGTCGTAATAAGTTTATTAATAACAATAGTGCTCTAATTTTATAAGGAAAACGCCCAGCTTTTAGCGTGACAAGGATTTGCGCATCTTCCTGACCTTCGAATCGGCGCAGTACTACGCTGTAGTGGTAAGTCAATTTAATAGCATATTTTTTCTATATCTTCGGATTTTTGCCTGAAAAATAGTGAGTATGAACAAAAAAAATCAATTATGAAATGAACTAGAAATTCAAACACTATTTTGCATTCCTTAATAAAGGCATAGTTCATTCTGAAGTGGTACACGTTTCGGTTTTCCAACTTGTCGACTTATTGATTCTTATTTTTAGTAAATATTCGTTCTTTTAGTACTTCAACAGCGAACTGATCGGCGAGCACGAGGGTGGGCATCTACCATTTTCATTTGAAGTTACTGACCATGTGCGTCAAACTCCCGTTTTTCACATTATATTGCTACGCTCCCGTAATTACCTTCTAATTTTTTTTAGGTAAAGTTCGGCGCCGACAACAAAATTACGGTAGCCGTCAACAATACCTTGTCGTACTCCACGATTCCGGAAGCCGAATTCCAATACAAAGCAAGGAAGGAGATGGCTTTTGGGGGGAATCAGGTACCTCAATTTTGCAAATTAACTCAACTTATTTCCTTTTAGTCAATGACCCAATACGCGCCCGGGTTCTTCGAGATGACGGTGCAGTTCGACTTCTTCAACTACGCTGGACTGCTCAGGACGGTGTATCTGGAGAAGAAGCCCAAGATTCATATCGATGACATTCGGGTGGTGTCGGATCATGTTGGTGCGAAATTTGAAGGGTGGAAAGCTAGTAAAGGATAGTTATAGGTAGTTAACTCTCGATATGATTTGATGGATCTAATTTGTACACAAAGACACAACATAAAGCGGGTTTTTTAATATATGAAGGTGTTTTAGTGGCTTAGTAGGGTTGCGTACAATTTTAATGCATAGAGTCTTGGCATAGTTTAAAGGGGCTACGAAATGCCAAAAAATTGAGTGACGGCCCGAAAATCGAAGCCCTGTACGTCGGAGGCCTCTGTACGCCCAGGGACCCGGGAAGCTCGCAAATTTGAAATTGCCTGTTGTCGCCTCGAAATCGCCTCCGCTGTTTCTGGGCCAAAATTGATGCTTAAAACACCAACACTATTTAAAATTGAGTGAGGATTTCAAAAATGGGCTTAGAATGCGCAAATTATAGTGTTTTCACAAAGAAACCGGGCAAAAACAACTTCGCGCAAAAATCGAAAGAGTGAGGGCTCTTGTTCCGCAGCGCACGCTGGCAATTTCCCAGAAATCGAAGAGCCAAAAGGGCTTTGATTTGGCAGTTCGGAGCTCCTTTAAAGGCACGCACACGTGGCCAAAAATTTTCATACCGGTACCCCAGTTCTTTGACATGACCAAAAATGAAACAGGCGATCCAAGTAAATTCTCATGATAGTTCAAAGTGATACCTTAAATTCAAAGATTGTTTAAAAGTGAAAAACTACAAAAATAGTGTGCCCAAAGTAGCAAAAGGGGAATTCAGGAGCCATTTTCTGGAAAATCGTGCTCGACGGCTGCAGCAGTGGATGCGCTGCGAAAGTTCGGGTTTTTGATGCTGACGGAAATGAGGTTATGAAAGGTATATTCACTGGTTAGACAAGTATACTTTTTAAATAGTTATCTATTAATCTTCAAATAGATAGCGTTAATATACAAAGTACAGGAACTATTTTTTAAGCCGCTGGACTGACCGGTAGTGGCCAGGTTAAGAACCCGAAGATGTGGTGGCCGAGAGGAATGGGTGATGCGAATTTGTATACATTCCGGGTAAGCTATTTTCCCCAAAAAACTTTAATAAATATGATTTTAGGTGAAAATCTCGTCTCCAGATGGACAAATCGTTGATCAATACGACGAGGAATTCGGGTTCCGCTCCGTTACTTATGACAATCACCAGGTAATCATGAAATCAATGAAAACCCGCTAAAAACCATTTACTTATCGGTCCTGGATACATATAAAAGTGTTATTATTTTGTAACTTAAAAATAATGTAGGTCTCGATAAACAAACCAAGAATTTTTAGATGTACATCAACAACAAGCCGTTCTACTGTATTGGGTTTGGAATGCACGAGGATTCCGAGGTATTTTTGGAATTTCGTTTTTCTAGTATTGCTGATGCTTACGCTCTAAAAACTTACGTAAAACTAGCAATTACGCGTTGAAAAGTATATAAAAAAATAGATCCACGGTCGCGGCTACGACGAAGCGGTGATGACAAAGGATTTGAATCTTTTCGAATGGGTTGGAGGTAGAACTCGCAATCCTCTTTTTTCATTTTTCTCTAGCCAACTGCTACCGTACCTCGCACTACCCGTACGCACAGGAAAGGATCAGGGAATCGGATCGTCGCGGAATCGCTGTGATTTTGGAGACGCCGGCTGTCGGGTTGAAGTTCGTATTAAAGCGAACCGTACTATTGATGGCAGCAATTCGTAAAAATATAATTTTTTAGAGTCTTCACTGACCAGAATCTGAAACTGCACAAGCAGATCGTGACCGAGATGATCATGAGGGACAAGAATCATCCATCTGTAAGTCAAAGGAAAAATATACCCTTTTGTATTGGTCAATGCGATTAGCTGCGCACAGCACTCCTATAAAAACGACAAATAAATGTATTTTGATGTTCACTACAAAATGCGTAATTTAGGTGATCATGTGGAGTTTGTCCAACGAGCCCCACACCGAGAGGAAGGAGTCGCGGAATTACTTCAAGTACGTTTCTAAAATATGTTTTTCATAGAATTTGTATTTTGTCTATTTATTGGAGAAGAGATCGTACTCAAAAGTATATCGAAATTTATTGAAATTTGAAAATTAAAAATTCAATTTTAGAACACTTGTCGATCTGGCTCACGACTTGGACCAAACGCGCCCGGTCACGATTGTTTACGGACCTTCACACTGGGAAGATGATCAAACGGTAAATTATACATAGTGGAAAATAGAGATAAAAATAACGGAAAAATTAGAATCATACTTTTGCTACGCTAAGAATTTAGGCCGATCTTATCGACGTGGTGTGCCTGAATCGCTACTGGGGCTGGTATGACGATATGGGGTATCTGGAGACGGTTAATCAGTAAGTTTCGAGTTCAACACCCCCACGACGTGACCCTCATTACACCTATTAACGACTGGATACCTACAGCTACGCTGCGATACTTCATACGAAACACAAATTTACGGTGACTTCCAGATCGGTCGTTTTCGACTACACGATGTGGTACGAGAAGTTCAAGAAGGCCATGATTATGACGGAATATGGAGCTGATAGTATCGTGGGGCTGAATCAGGTAAGAAAAATGACATTAAAACTAAACAGCCTGAAATAATTGCTAATTTAGAAAGTTCAAAAATCCAGGATCCCAAATTAAAAATCCTGATCATTTAATATTGACAAAAATCAGCATTGAATTTTAATATTTAGCAACCAGCCGTCGACTTCTCCGAACAATACCAAAATGAGCTGATCCGCGAAACGCACAAGGCGCTTGATCATCTACGGCAGGCTAAGATTCTGACCGGGGAGATGATTTGGAACTTTGCCGATTTTATGACGGCACCAGGTTCTTTTCTTTAACGGTCACTTAAAATTAAAGTAATTCAGCCGCGCTACGCGCTGTCGGGAACCACAAAGGAATCTTTACGCGAACTCGTCAAGCCAAACAAGCGGCTTATACTTTGAGGTACACAAAAATTAACGGAAGTTGTTATTGAAACGACCTTTTTAGGGATCGCTACCTGAAGCTCCTGCCACAAGTCTAATTTATGCATCTTTTATTGAAGTTTCCGTGCTAATAAATTCTCACTTTTCCTTAGAAAAACGTAAAAACTTGCAAAACTTGCTTGCTGGGTGAGGATGAAGAAGGGGCGAGGGGGTTATGAGAAGGAGCAAAGACCAAACCTTCATAATGCCCCCTCCCACCATGCATCACCTCCCAGCCATAGCTCAGTTGGTAGAGCGGAGGACTGTAGAGTTGGCAGCTATCCTTAGGTCACTGGTTCGAATCCGGTTGGCTGGAATGTTTTTGCTTTTTGGATATGTGGCACCGTAACTAATTTTTTTTGAGGCTGTGTTATTGGTGTCTATAAGCACCACGCAGCACTTTGAGGGTTTGGATACCTTTTGAAGCCGATTTTCGTATTTTTCGAATTATTAGAGCAATTATACAAGATCCACAAGGCGCTTCCGCTTGCTTTCTACCTTTCACGGGTCTGGCGTTCGGGAATGCTCTTCGAAGTCGAGATAAATAAATTATACTACCCGATGATACTATACGATACCTCAAGGTATTCGGACTTTTTGAAGTAAATTTCGGCTTTTTCGGGATTTTACAATAGCAAATCAAAACCGGGAGGGCATTTCTGCAGTCATTATAACTTCACACTCGCTCCCTCTCGCTCTCTCTCTTTCTCTCTCACTCTTTATGTGATAACTTCTAAACTACGTTTAGCCATTTCCGTTTATGAACGTCTTTCCAAAATCGCTTTCACCATCCATTTAAAAAATGAGCTCCCTCTTCTCCTTCTCGCTCACTCTCTCTTTCACTCTCTCACTCTCTCTCGCTCTCTCTCTCCGACTCACTCTCTCGCTCTGCATTTGCAGGTGTATTGTTCCATGTGTCATACATAATACCAAATATTAGTCGAAAGACTTTATCAGCCCCGAGGGGGCGACGCGTACACGTTTTCGAGGTGAGTTGTGGTGTGTGGAGGCAATGAATGTACACACCCGCCATGTGGCGGACCCATAGTTGAACGGGGAGCTTTCGCTCAGTGCCTGGCGAGACGGGCGACCTTGCGGGCGACCTTGCGGTGGCGGAAGACCTTCTTGTGGCGGAACACCTTGCGGTGGCGGTATCCTCCGGATGAGGGTGCTGGGGCCGGGGCGGCAGGGGCCTCGGGCTCATCACCGTACGAGTTCTGCTGAGGGGCCGGTGGGGCCGGGGCAGGTGGTGGTGGGGAGGGGGAGGAGGAGCCGGAGCCTGAAATATGATCATGAACCTCCGGATTCGGATTTATAGGGAGTGGGACAGTTTAAACCTTTTGAATTTGAGTTTTCATGTTTTATATCGTGTAAGCGCTACGCTAGACCAAATCATGCCGCAAATCGTTGCTCAAGCTTTTTGCTCGTGCTCAATTAGCTACTCCACCGTAGTAGTGCGTTTTAGAGGAACCATGAAGGCAAGTTCGACACCGTTTTCTATGGTTTTCAGGTATTTTTTGCCCCGACAAATCGAATTTAGAGCTACCCGAGACACTGGGCGCATTTTAAAGGACCTGTGAAGGCAATTTCGCCCCCGTATCCGACGTTTTTTGGTACGAGGTGATACACAGACCGTGGTTAACTAGCAAACGCCATTTGAGGAACTCTACTTGTATGTTTTTGATAGAACTCACCGGTGCGGGTGGCGAGTAGACGGGGGCCGGTGGTGGTGGCGGGGGTGGGGGAGGGGGAGGAGGAGGAGCCGGGGCCTGGAAGTGCTGGTTTAATAAGGCATCGGACTTAAGATCATGCTCGATCTCACTCTCTGTATCGCTTTATATCTCCCTCTCTCGGTTTCTCTCTCTCTCTTTCTCTCTCTCTCTCGCTCTCTCTCTCACTGTAACCCAAAATTCTTACCGGTGCGGGTGGCGAGTAGACCGGGGCCGGGGGTGGTGGTGGCGGGGGAGGGGGAGGGGGAGGAGGAGCAGGCGCGGGAGGAGCAGCAGCTTGGTAGCTCTGGACCGGGGCCGGTGGTGGGGCCTCAAACTATAGAATAAGGTCATTATATTTGAGTCTCGAAATCATCATGCTAACTCTAACACGATCCTACAGTTGATCGGTTGCTACTGTAACTTGTACGCTATCGTACTTAATTAATATACCCTGAAAGAATCTCAATCTCACCTGGGGAGCAGGAGGAGAGTAGCTCTGTTGGGGAGGGGCCTGGGGAGCGTAGCTCTGTTGAGGGGCCGGAGGAGCAAAGGACTGCTGCTGAGGAGCCGGAGGAGCAAAGGACTGCTGCTGAGGAGCCTGAGGAGCGTAGCTCTGCTGGGGTGGTGGTGGGGGAGGAGCCTGAAATAGAGGGAGCATGAGTTTATCCGATTCATGTTCCTCATACTTAAATAGGCCGTTTTTAAAGGACCATAGAAGTCACTCCACCTACCTGAGGGTCATATTGAGGGGCCGGTGGTGAGTAGCTGGGTGGTGGTGGGGGTGGGGGAGGAGCAGCCTGAGCGTAACCTCCGCCGCCGCCGCCGCCGCTGTAACCGCCTCCGGCACCGCCGCCGTAGCTTCCGCCTCCGATAGCTCCGCCTGAAGTGACGACGTTTCAAGGAGGTTTTTATTTCTTTTGGGCTTCAGGGGCTGGTGAGAAATTTTTATATAAATAGATGGGAAGCTAGGTGTCTTTGTCCCTTTAAACGTCCTTAGGCTTACCCTGAGCGTATCCGCCGCCGCCGCCGCCGCCGCCGCCGCCGCCGCCGCTGTAGCCGCCTCCGGCACCACCTCCGTAGCTTCCGCCTCCGATGGCTCCACCTGGAATGGCGACGTTTTCAAGGCGGGTTTTAGTTTGTTTTGGGGCTTAGGGGTGGCCGACAGCAAATTTTGGGGTATTGCTCGAAAACTAGGTTCCTCTATCGCGTTAAAGTAAGTAACTTACCTTGAGCGTATCCACCTCCGCCGCCACCGCCGCCGCTGTAGCCGCCACCTCCGCCTCCGCCGCTGTAGCCTCCTACGGCACCGCCGGCTGAAAGAGATCATGGATTGAAGAGAACAAAGTATGAAGAGAAAGATAGTGAGAGAGGGAGAGAGAGGAAGAAAGAGAGAATTAGAGAGAGAAGGAGAGATATAGAGAGCTACTAACCTCCTGCATATCCGCCTCCGCCGCCGCCTCCGCCGTAGCCGCCGCCGCCGCTGTAGCCACCGCCGCCCTGTTGGGCGTATTGGCTAAAAAAGCAAATTAAACATTGTTAAATAACCGGATATTCGTCATTTTTAGGTTCTTACAGTGGCTGTACTTTAACCTTAGCCACGGAAAAATCAGATATTGCTAAAATTTGGAATTCCGGTCGATTTTAGCATATTATTGTTAGAAACCAAAGGTTGAGTTCTAAATTTTAAATTCGGAATTAAAATCATTTCCTATCAAAATTAAACCTATGTAAATTCTGACTGAAAGAATAGAAAACTCTTATTTTCAGTAAAAGGTATTCTCAAGGCGGTTTTAAGGATCAGAAAAATATTTAAGTACTATTAAAGGCACTTACCAGTTGGCGGAGAGGAGTAGGGTTGCAAGGAGCCCGACTCGGTACATGATGCCTCAAGTGTCGATTCGAGCACGATCCCGGCTTTTATAGGCTGAGGAGGGCTTCGGCAGCTCTCAGCCCTGTGCATCCGTTCTAGTCTCCGCCTGCATCTCTCGGCTTCAAATTAGCCACTTTTTCGGCGTGTTTCAATGAAGGAGAGGGACAAAGAAAAGCTGGCTAGTACGTTCTATGTACACCGATCCGCGGCGCGTTTCAAGGCCGAGACTCGATTAGGCAGCACTTTCTAATGAAACAAGCTTTTTAGGGATCGCTATAGAAGCTCCTTCCGCAAGCCTAATTTATTCTTCCTACTATATATAAAAAAATAGTGTCTGTGTTTATGTGTGTGTGTGTGTGTGTGTGTGCCACTTTGCATGCAACTTTCGTCACCATGTCCGGGGCATATCTTGATAGCGAAAAACTTTTAAGGTATGTATGACACGTCATTAGGTGCGTATTGGCTCTGGGATGACTGCACGCTTATTAGGTTTTACAAAATTAGTTGTTTTTAACATTAAATTTCAGATTTTGTAAAAATTTCGGGCTCCATCTTTGTTAGGAAACAATTAACATGCACCGGAAGTGGCGGTAGCCTATATAATCAGGGAGAGAGTGCCATTTCTCATTTTTTTATCGGGATGTGAGGGACGTATGCAGAGTGAAGAAGATTGTTGTGTTAGATGGGACCCTGGTTTTACTTCATTTTTTTTTGCTAACAAACTTTTCTTTTTTTTTGTCTGCAAACGTTATAATAATAAGAATTAACTGCGTTCAATTATTAACAATGGAAAATTCTATCTAAAAATTTACTTTGTTTATTCAGACCATTTCAATCAAAAGGCAACCGGCTTCGAACCAGTACCCCTGCACATTCCATACCGCTCCACCCTCACAACCCATCACCCAGCCATAGCTCAGTTGGTAGAGCGGAGGACTGTAGAGTTGGCAGCTATCCTTAGGTCACTGGTTCGAATCCGGTCGGCTGGAATCTTCGTGCTTCTTGGGTTTTGGAGCTCGGGAAGGCTTTTTGAGCCCGAGTTCATGGAAATTTTGTGTACTTTGAGGGTTTCGATTGCTTGTGAAACGAATTCTCGTTTTTATTTTTGCTTTTAAAGGGTGTCACTATCCTGCTCTCTCTCTCACTCTCTCTCATTCCCCTCTCTCTCTCTCTCTCTCTCTCTCTCTCTCTTTATCTCTCTCCCTTTCTGTCTAGCTAGCTACCTATAAAGTACGCTCAGCCCTGTCGGCAGTTTAGTAACGTTCTTGGACCACTTCTGCTCTTATCATCCCTTTAGAAACTCAGTTTCCTCTCTCTCACTCTCTCTTTCTCGGTCTCTCTCCCGCTATCTCATTCTTTCTCTCGCCTTCATCGCTCTGTTGTTTCCAATGTATTCCAGGTGTAATATGTAGTAACAAAATATTAGTCGAAAGACTTTATCAGCCCCGAGGGGACGACGCGTACACGTTTTCGAGGTGAGTTGTGGTGTGTGGAGGCAATGAATGTACACACCCGCCATATGGCGGACCCATAGTTGAACGGGGAGCTTTCGCTCAGTGCCTGGCGAGACGGGCGACCTTGCGGGCGACCTTGCGGTGGCGGAAGACCTTCTTGTGGCGGAACACCTTGCGGTGACGGTATCCTCCGGATGAGGGTGCTGGGGCCGGGGCAGCGGGGGCCTCGGGCTCATCTCCGTACGAGTTCTGCTGAGGGGCCGGTGGGGCCGGGGCAGGTGGTGGTGGGGGAGGGGGAGGAGGAGCCGGGGCCTGAAATATGAGCATAATCCTCCGGATTCGGATTTATAGGGAGTGGAACAGAATACTGAATTTTGTAGCCTATTTGTACGATAAGCGGTCACGCCGCTGTTGGCGCAGGTCAAAATTTCATGTCGTGTATGCGCTTCCTCTTGACCAAATTCTACCGCCAGTTGTAGTTCAACCTTTAATAGAAGCTACTTCATCGTATTAGCAGATTTTAAAGGGACATTGAAGGAAAGCTAGCGCTAGATTTTAGGGTTTTCCAGGATCCTGTGATTTCCTGGTGAATTTAAAACGCGCTATTTGCCTCCGAAATCGAATTTCGGTCTACGAGAAGCTGCCCTGAACGATGAGCGCATCTTAAAGGACCTGTGAAGGCGAATCCGACCCCGAATCGAGCGTTTTTAGGTGCCAGGCGCGATACGGTTCTTGGAAACTAGCTGGAATGCCATTTTCGATGGAATTTGCAGCAATACTTCGGAGCTCAATCAAGCGCACTAATAGGCCAAGTAACCACCGTAGTACGGTATCCTACGCCTGGCAAGCTAACAAACACCCTTTGAGGAGCTCACACTCGATTTTTTGGCTAGAACTTACCGGTGCGGGTGGCGAGTAGACGGGGGCCGGTGGTGGGGGTGGGGGAGGGGGAGGGGGAGGAGGAGGAGCCGGGGCCTGGAACATACGGTTTAGTAAGGTATCGTAGTCGGGATTTTTCCCTCTCTTTCTCTCTCTCTCTCTCTATCTTTAGCTTGTCCTCTCTCTCTGTCTCTTTCTCCCACTCTCTAACCCAAAATTCTTACCGGTGCGGGTGGCGAGTAGACCGGGGCCGGTGGTGGTGGTGGTGGGGGAGGGGGAGGGGGAGGAGGAGCAGGCGCGGGAGGAGCAGCAGCTTGGTAGCTCTGGACCGGGGCCGGTGGTGGGGCCTCAAACTATAAAATAAATTGAAGTTATTATACTGATGTTTGAGGCCGGCGAACTAGGTACAAAAGTATGTAGTACGATCTCGGAATTTAGTGAATGTAGCCTTCAAATTTTTAAAGCTCACCTGGGGAGCAGGAGGAGAGTAGCTCTGCTGGGGAGGGGCCTGGGGAGCGTAGCTCTGCTGAGGGGCCGGAGGAGCAAAGGACTGCTGCTGAGGAGCCGGAGGAGCATAGCTCTGCTGGGGTGGTGGTGGGGGAGGAGCCTGAAATAGAGGGAGCATGAGTTTATCCGATTCATTTTCCTCAAACTTAAATAGGCCGGTTTTAAAGGACCATTGAAGTCACTCCACCAACCTGAGGGGCATATTGAGGGGCCGGTGGGGAGTAGCTGGGTGGTGGTGGGGGTGGGGGAGGGGGAGGAGGGGGAGGAGCAGCCTGAGCATAACCTCCGCCGCCGCCGCCGCTGTAGCCGCCTCCGGCACCGCCGCCGTAGCTTCCGCCTCCGATGCCGCCAGCTGAAATGACGACCTTTTCAAGGATTTCATTAGTTTTAGAGCAAAAGGAAGGTTGAGCTCAGAATATTTTGGTTGATCGAAAGCTAATTGTCTCTACTTTAAAAATCTGCTAACTTACCTTGAGCGTATCCACCTCCGCCGCCACCGCCGCCGCCGCTGTAGCCGCCGCCGCCGCCGCTGTAGCCGCCACCTCCGCCTGAAGTGGCATCGTATTCAAGGAGTTTTTGTTATTTTTTTTGGGGTATGGCAGCAAGAATATTGAGGCGTTTCTCTCCCTTTAGGGTATGTAACTTACCTTGGGCGTATCCACCTCCGCCGCCACCGCCGCCGCTGTAGCCTCCTACGGCACCGCCGGCTGAAAGAGATCATGAATTAAAAAGAACACGATATGAAGAGAGAGAGAGAGTCAGAGAGAGAGTGAGAGAGTGAGTGAGGGAGACGAGCAGCAAAGCGAGATTGAGCGAGGGAAAGAGAGAACTACTTACCTCCTGCATATCCGCCTCCGCCGCCGCCTCCGCCGTAGCCGCCGCCGCCGCTGTAGCCACCGCCGCCGCCCTGTTGGGCGTATTGGCTAAACAGCAAATTAAACATTGTCAACGAAACGAATATTCGTCATTTTTAGGTTCCTACTGCAGCTGTACTTTAATCTTAGCCACGGAAAAAAATTAGGTATTGCTAAAATTTGGAATTCCGGTCGATTTTAACATATTATTGTTGTTAGAAATCCATATCAAAGGTTGAGTTGTAAATTTTAAATTAAAATTAAAATCCTTTCCTATCTAAATTAAAACTCAGTAAATGTTGACTGAAGGAATAGAAAACTCTTATTTTCAGTAAAAGGTATTCTCAAGGAAATTTTAGGGCTTAGAAGAATATTTAAGAACTTTTAAGGGCTTACCAGTTGGCGGAGAGGAGTAGGGTTGCAAGGAGCCCGACTCGGTACATGATGCCTCAAGTGTCGATTCGAGCACCATCCCGGCTTTTATAGGCTGAGGAGGGCTTCGGCAGCTCTCAGCCCTGTGCATCCGTTCTAGTCTCCGCCCGCATCTCTCGGCTTCAAATTAGCCACTTTTTAGGCGTCTTTCGCAGAAGGTGAGGGACAAAGAAAAGTTGGCTAGAATGTTCTACACCTATCCGCGGCGCGTTTCAAGGCCGAGACTCGATTAGGCAGCTAGATATTGTCGTCTCTTTGGCAGGAGTCTCGTGGGGGAAATTCGACAGAGCGAGTGAGAGAGAGAGAGAGAGAGAGAGAGAGAAAGAGAGAGAGAGTGGGGGCAGGAAGCTCCACTTGAATAGAGCCCATGTACGGATCGTGTGCGCTGCGCGATATTGCATCTTTTTAATGAGCAAAAATCGGAGAAATTCAAATTAAATTTATCGAGATGATCGCTGTTTTAGCTTGTTATATTTGTAAACTTTTCCAGTCATAATATCACTCTCTTTGTCTATTTCGTTCGTCTCATTTTCGTCTATTTATTTAACTAGTTTTTGCCTAGCTCTCTCTCTCTCTCGCTCTCGCTCTCACCGTCTCTCTCCATCTTTCGCGCCGTCACTCCGTCTCGGCCTGCAACTCTGTTTTTCTCTCAGTTTTTCCCTCGCTCCCTGTCCGTAATCCTGAGTTCTGAATTTACAATTGTATTGTCTATTTTCTCGCTTTTCTTTAACAAAAATTCATGCTCAAGGTTGGGGCTAATTCAGTCTCCCCACGAGCGCCAATTTTCAACTCGCGCCTCTTTTCAAGAGCTTTTACAACCAAATTGCCGACTTCGGAGCTTTTAGGATCCAAGGACGCTCCGGAAGCCGTAAATTTGCCACTTCTTTAGCTCTTGTATCCCTCAAAAACAACGTAAAACCTTTTTACAGCACGTGAATTTGTGGTTCTCTGGCTCGCTCTCCCTGTCTCTCTCTCTCTCCTTCTCTCTCTCGCCGGGCTGTTGTAGCCGAGCGGACAACACTCACTTTGTCCGCCCCCACTCATGTAGATTTTACTCGCCGATACATGGATTTTTCCCCTCAAATTGCTCCCCACGACACAGCTGAGGGAATGAAAAATCGCATATCCGGTGGGCTTTTCGATTTTTGCGTATATGGGATGGGCGAAGGTCGTTTTTTGAACTGCAAACGACTTGTGAACAAAGCTGTAAAAATAAAGTCTTGTAGAATAAAAAATGTACCAGAGAGAGAGAGAGAGAGAGAGAGAGAGAGAGAGATAAAGAGAGACAGAAAGAGAGGTTTTCAGAGCTTGACGTGTATCTTCTGTGTTGATAATGACAGCTATATACAAATATTTATTTCCTAGCCGGTTATGCCAGCGTAGTTTTCGTGCTGACCGACATTTTTGCGTTCAGCGTATCTTGCTTTTTGATATGCCTTTCCAACCAGATAAATAGACAGAGTGCCAAGAATAGATAGACAAATAACAAGATCATATGGGCTTGGATGCCGATGTGAGGGGCGTAGAAGAAGAACAGGGACGAGGCCATTGCCTAAAAACGGGAAATTAGCGCGGGAAACTAAACAAATAAAGTTGACGTATCATAAGGCCTCTATTTCGTGAAAAATTTCAATAATTCACTAAACATGGCCTCACCTGGTAAAATTTGAATACCGCCCACGCTTTGCTTGATGAGGCCGCAAATCGTTCGACCAGAAATGAGAAAATTTGAATGTTCCAGCAGGTGCCACCAAACGAAAGGAGGGCACCGGAAGCCAGGATGAGCCAGGCGCTGAAAAGGACAATTTAACGAAGAATCCTACTATTTTCAATGCTTTTTACATACTGAATGGTTCGATATTTAAATTTTAATTAATAAATTAAAAAACTACAAAAACCGCTTAAGTGTAATGTAATGTGAAAGTCTATCGGAATTCTTCGCAATTTACCTAAGCTTTCAGACAATTGTCGGTTGTTCTCTCCTTTCTATCTCGCTCTCTCTCTCTATCACTCTCTCGCTCCCTCTCTCCCTGTATCTCTGTCCCCTTCTCTCTCCCGTTCCCGTTCTCCCTCTCTCCGACACAACCTCGCACTTACTTCGGACTCATTAAAAATCCATCCGCATCTGATCTCCGCTGGTTGACCTCTGGTGGCAAATTTGCATATAGGGCCATGTAGGCAAAGAACGTAGCGATGGAACCGATGAAAATGCCTTGTGTTCTTGATAATGATTTGCTCAATGGCGTCATGAAGAGGACACCGGCTGAAAAATGTTGTTGCTTCATGCTCTCTCTCTCTCTCTCTCTCTCTCTCTCTCTCTCTCTCTCTCTCTCTCTCTCTCTCGCTCTCTCTCTCCTTCTCTCTTTCTCCCTCTCTCTCTCTCTCTCTCTCTCTCTCGCTCGCGTAATACGGCGATACTTACCTACAAAAATACCCGCCCCGACGCTCAACACAGCATACGCCAACATCACCTCGTTATTGGAGCCGAGCTAAAATGACGGGATTTTAGTGCGCTTTTTAGGGAATACGATACCTTAGAAGTATTAGCAACACACGTAGAGAAGAGACCCGAATAATATGAAGACTGGAAACCCGTCCATGCAAATGGAAGGGCAAGGAGCAGCATCTCGCGATCCAGGAATAATCGAAGAGTATCACCTAAGATATACCTTAGTTTATTGAGAGCATATCATGAATTACGGTTTTTAATAGATTAATATTGCATTCTAATTTTATTTATGTCTTATTTTTTTGAATTCAGTATTAAACGGTTTAAACTCACAAAATATCGTCCCGAAATTTTCCTCCTGCTTCTTCACTACGTCGCATGGCCGTAGAAATAAAAATGTAAGAATTCCTAGTCCGCCCATGGACGTGAGGACGATGTACAACATTTGCGCAGACTTTTTGGAGATATGATTATCGGATCCGTGTCCCACACCTTCCATTGAAAAAGTGAGGTACAGGAAGACGCCGATGAGGATCACACTGAAAATATCAATAAAATTGTGTTTACGGGAGGATTCATCAAAAAATCACTGCTAGCACGCCTTGTTATGCTGATGCCCTTAAAGTCTGATTAGGATATAAGGAATTTTGATGGTTTGCAAACAATACTGGAGGTAGAGTAAGGGTAGGAGAAAGACACAGAGAAAGAGAGAGGGAGAGAGCGAGAGAGCGTGGGGAGTAGACAGTTAAAGCTACTTAATTTCTAGTGCTGAAATTTATCCATCAAATGGTCGCTGCTAGCTCCCCGTGTATGCAAAAAATCACTTGGGGCGATACCTTCAAAGCTCTTACTTTGCATCCAAAATCGCGAACAGCATTCCACTGTTCCGTTTCGACGTTTTCGGTGTCGAATTCTGCGTTAAATAGACTCCCTGGGCCGTCCAGAGTACTGAAACGGAATTGAGCATCATGAAAATAGAAAATAAGGATAATCTAGCTTTCATGTATCAAAAACCTACGCGCCGCTCCAAATCCCACGCACCCACTCGATGCATAATAGAAAATCTCGTTGAGATGCAGGAAACCCGCCTAAATAATCGATTTCAAAGTACGATGTAAAAATACAAACCACGAAAATCGTATATATAATTGCGGCTAGACTTAACGCCCACTTGGCGCCCAGGAAATCAACGCACGGAGCGGCGATAAAATTGCCCAGGGTGTAGGTGCCGAAAATAATTGAAGAGCTAGATAAAGCTTTCATTAAGACCTTTGTCGTGCATTTTCGTACCTGTAAAAACCGGCATTTTTATCTAATGAAACGCCGTTGGTACTATTTCGTACGCTTGAGATCACGGAGAGGACGATGTGGCCTGAAAAAGAGAAATATGCGTAAACTGATACCACGAAATTTGGCTTTTAAAGGGATTGTGAAGGCAAAATTCGCGAAAACAAAAAACGCGTTGGCCGGTCTAAATTGCGACAAACGTTAAAAACGGTCGTGCTACGTTTTTGACAAAAAAAAAGCTTGGGAGAGAATTTTCAATTTGAAGCCAATGCTGCTGGTACTCTCGCTGAAGACTACAAGCTATAACTATGATTCACAACTACAAAATGCTAAATAAAAATATCTTAAAACTACAAACTTCAAAGCATTAAAAACAATTAACCCAAAAACGACTCACCATGGCACTGATATGCGAACATTAGGCAGAAAAAGGCGAGGCCCAGGTGAATAACATTAAATGTAGCCCGGTCCATCATTTTGACGATATAATTTCGATAAGACTTTCCAATATTTCGTCAATAGTGTCGGACAGTAGTAAAGAAATAGCAGGCTGTTCCGGGTTGTTCCGGACGATTCCGGATGTGTAGGAGTTAATGACTCGTCCCGTTATTTCCGATCACCCGGTCGGCTAGGGGCGATGAGTGAGTGTTCGTCCCGGCCTGGGAAGCGAGAGAGGGGCCGTTTCTAAAAAATAATTGTCTATTCAGAGTGAGGTTCGATCGCGGGTGCACATCACGGCAATCTGACCGCAATTTCCGCACCCCCCGCACCTGACTGACTGACCGCACGGACAATCCCGGATTTTTCGGAAAACACAGAAAGAGTAAGAGAGTAAATCACGAATATAGGAAAATTTCGGAGCCACATTAGAAGCTTTTAAATGAATTTTAAAAACATACTTTATTTGCAAATTAGCTAGTTTTTAAAATAAAATTATGATCCTTGTAGCGGATTAAATAAGGCGCTAAATAGAATTAAACCTTAAAATATTTTTTAGACCAAAATTAAGCGCTTCGATTTGAATCAAACCCGAATTTTTCGTTAAAATTTTTAGCGTTTATCTAAATTTTGGGTCTCGAATATTTCGGTCTTAAAAATCACGAGGTTCATGAATTTACAAAATTTAAACAATGAAAAGTTAACTGAGATGAAAAGTATCGTAGGAACAAGATTTTGGACCTTAAAAATGCAAAATTACGAAATTGCACTCTCCCAAAAGCCTTACTGTTTCCAAGGACTAGAGCAAACAATTCCAGACACGGCAAAAACTAGTAAAATTCGTAATGTCAATAAACAGCACGGGATGACGGGATGATATCGTGGAAAAAGTGAGGACAGTGGGGAATACCCTGCACGGGGGTTGAAAGATGGAAATAACAAGATATCAACTGACTCGAAAAGTTTGCCCCGGGATCGTCGGGTTCAGAAAGGTAAGCTACTGTAATTTTAATCAATTCATCTCATCAGTTTTTATCTTGGACCTTGAAAAACACCGTATAAAGCTAGATTGAAGTCGGTTGTGAATTGGAGCATCGCGCTTTCCGGATCACTACGCGTCGCTCCTTTAGACGTAATTAGTTCCTGCTCGTACTATGGATTGTCATTTTCTCACTTATTGGAGTACTTTTAAATTAATTATTCGCTGTAAAATCCAAATAGAATGGGTTTATAACAAATCGTGGCAGTAGCTCGAGTGAAAAATAAAGACCAGGTTGATATTACAGAAATTACAGTAATCTTGAACTTCCCCCTTCTAATGTCACCCAAATCTGAGCTAACAAGGGAAGTGCACGACCGGCCCACGAGAAATCGACAAGAGACATAGTGGATCTGATAGAATCGGACACGGGGATTCCGAATCTGTAATCAGAATTTGCTAAATAAAACGGAGAAAAAAAGTTATGAAGCTTCAAAGTTGGCAAAATCGCCCAAAATCGGACTTTTATGGGCCTGTACAGGCCCAGGGAACGGAAATTTGCCACAACCCATTAGTGCATCTTGTTCAGCAGAAAAAGCGCTTTCGAATGAGCTATCTTACTTCAAGTTTACGATGATTTCGCGAAAATCTCTTCTATGAACTTGACAGGCCATACCCTTGCCTGTGAATCCAAAAACTTTTTTCAGTGAATTGTTTGCAAATGCTACGTATTACAGCTCATTCGAAAGCGCTTTTTCTGCTGAATAAGCTGCACTAATTCTTTTCTCCTCAATTCCGTTCCACCGGTTTTTACGGGCCTTTAAAGGTACCGTTTTTGGCGATTTGGCCAACTTTGAAGCTTCATAACTTTTTTCTCCGTTTTATTTAGCAAATTCTGATTACAGATTCGGAATCCCCGTATCCGATTCTATCAGATCGACTATGTCTCGTGTCGATTTCTCGTGGGCCGGTCGTGCACTTCCCTTGTAAGACTGGCCAAACTCTCAATTCCTCGGTTTTTATAATCTTCTCAATGGCGACTCAAGGGGTATATTGGCATTAGACAAAATCCGGGATGATTTTAAGATTTTGGGATCATCCACTCATCATGCGCGTGATCGCCTTGATCCTCCAGAGGGGAGTTCCGGGCATTGCAAAGTTTCCGGTCATTTCTAAAAATAGGAAAGTGCATGACCAGCAACCGGAAACTGATACTTTTTTTTTGTTCTTTAAAGATTTTGTGTTTCGAAATGATGAATTATGTGTGTCACGGGGAGGGTAAGCAACACTGAATCAGTTTTTTATGCTTTTCTTTGACTTAAAAAAGCTTCATTTCAGTTTCAACGCGGTGACAAATCTCTAATTCTCAAAATATGACGGGAGGCCAAAGTTCATCCAAAAATACCTTTATGAAAAGTCTATATAAATTTCGTAACTCTCACAAAACCTAGTAGCCGAATGAAGCTCCAATCTTTGCTGTATTTCCAAGCTCCATTAGCCTATTTATACTACGGAACGCTTTTTAGTGCAATACGAAAAGTAAAACTGGATGCGCAAACAGATAAAATGCAGAATAAAGGGCGAAACTTGTTATTTTTGGGCCCCGGTTGCATTTAATGGGGAACACATCCCAATTTATGACTGACAGGAGCGGTACGAAACAATTGGGAACCTGATTTGGGTAGGTTCGGAACAGGTTTTCACCGGAAATGATGCAGGAACTAAACTAATAGGAAGTTGGAAACTTGATGGGCTTTAAAGGGGCATAGAAAGCAAAATTCGGGAATCCCAGGATTCGGGAATAATTAACCCAATAAAATTAGCCTAAACACAAACAACTTGACTAAATTGAGTGGCTGAACTTCAGTCAGAATTTTAACTTTAAATTAAGCCAGCAAACGAACAAGAAACGATACCTCATCAGTGGCTCGTTTTGATTCTGACTTGTACGTACCTTTAAAAAAAGCTGTTTCTCCCTTTAGATTGTCCCAAAAGTCTAACCAAGTATTAAATCGACCGCCAAATCTTATAGTACCGTACTCGTTACCATAACTCACCACCAAGAAAAACTAAATAAGGGTTCTGCGTTTCTGCGCGCTTTCAGTCCTCCCATTTTATAAGAACAAGGGTGGTCATGCGTTCGTTTCAATGCTGTTGCCACCGCATTAAAAAGGTGTGCTAAAAAGTGGTATGATTACCGTACCCAAGGCCATCCATGCGCCTTGATTCAATATGTCAACACCATTAAAGATCTCCCAGATTATCTATGGTATCAATTTTTTCCGGCTTCCCCCTACCTTCAGAAATCCGCAACCCCGAAGCCTGCAAAAATGTCATGGAAACGCCGACAAAAAATTGCAGAGAATCATGAAAATCAAAAAATACTCGGCGCGCGGCGTATCACCTGATGCGATACAGTAGGAGAACGATGAGGGGTCAGGGAATGGCTCATGCACAATCTCGATCGCCTATCAATCATCAAATCCGCCCACCGGGGAAATGGGCTCGCGGAAAAAGCTGCCGGAAAAATGAGGAGATCCATGGAAAATGTCGGTCGAGTTGTGCGATGTGTGTGGGGGAACCCCTGGGTGGAATCAAGGATTTTGCGGTTGCCACACCCAACGAAATGATGATACCGGGTCATGCATCGGATTTGACGGAAAGACTTTACATGCATGTTTTCATTTAGTTTCACAAGATATCGAAATTAAGCCGTGTATTTCATATTTTGGCCAGGTAACCTTCTGGGCAATTCCGCGCGAAAATCGGCTATGACTTTTTAACCAGAGGGTTTGCAATTTTTCAAAGCGCATGTGGAATCAGCTCAACGAAAAATTCTGCACAAGATGTGCTACCTCACGTATCGAAATTAACGGAGTTGTAGGCAGGCCCGTACGGGAGCCGAGATTTCGGGGCACCCACCCGAAAATTTTTGACGACCTCCCCCGGTCACTACTTTCAAAACATTCGAAAATCGCAACAATAAGAGCGCCGCAGGCGAAAAAATTTAAAAAACCGCGTTGGTAACGCTTAAATTCGTGTGAAAACACATCGGAAACGGCCCGCGCAAGCGAAATTTTGTTCAGCAAAAATTAGGCACTAATGAAAACGAGCGCCGCAGGCAAAAAATTTTAGAAAAATAGGTTTTCTAGAAGTAAAAATCGTTTCGAAACAGTGATAAACAGCGCCGCAGGCAGAAAAATTTTTATTGAAAAAATCATAAGGGTCCCCCCTTATGAACTTTTCGCACCTCGACCGATTTCGGGGGCACCGTGCCCCGGTGCCCCTCGTACGGGCCTGGTTGTAGGTATCCCAAAGTATCAGACTGCTGAGTTTGCTAGGTGGCGCTTTAGCGAATGGCTTGGTCTAATTTGGCCCCGCGGCGAGGTGTTTTCCGGGTTGGGGTTTTCCACGTAAAGATCGTTATGGGTTCTGCAAGACTTCCAGAGCGCATTCGGTCAATGGCCATTCGCTGAATTGCGTTTTCCGCGAGGGGATGGCTTTTCCAAAGCATGTAATGTAAACTACGGGATAGCAAATTGATACATATTTTTCGCACCTAAAAGCCTGTTGCTTGTCTTTTGGTCGATGATGTGTTGTGCGTGAAACTCACGCGGACGATGGCTAGGTGATCAGTGGTCCCTGGTCTTGACCATAAATTTTTGCGTTAAGCCACACCGCTCCAAAATCGTCATGATCGTCTCTGGTCAAAATCGTCAGGCTCTTGCGGAAACGCTGCTCTTTACGCTTTTTCGGGTGCGCGGAGATGGTACAATAGTCTGGGTTTGTCTCAATGATCCAGCCCGTGCCTTTAGTTCTTGCCCCTCGATGGTCCGATATCGATTTGCCGAATCAATTCTGGCGGCAAACCCATCAAAAGTAGTCTTGATGGGGGTGCTCGATTGGAAAAACGTGTAGAAAAAGGTTCCAACGCACGTGGAGTTCTTCCGGGCTAGGGCTAAAAATGGCGCGGACTGGTGGAGGAATTTGAGCAGGGTTCTTAAAAATGCAAAATTCCAACATATGTAGCTTACGAATTGCTGAAAAAATTACGTTCTATCTTGAATTTTTGGGGTCCAGTCTGGCACATTTGAACGCGCTAGAATCTCGTCTACCTGTACTTTATAGCTGTCGGAACCAGATTAGCCAGACGGACCTCATTACCACGGTTCCTCCGTCTGCGAAATACAATGAGCCTAATGAGTTCTGGTGCACGGAAGGGCACAAAAAACAACAGCGGACCTGGATCCCGAACAGCCTAAATGCAAAGAAACTACATGCTATACCGAAAACGTGCTAATTCAGAATTCCGGGTTCCGGGTGCGGTTGAATGGCTACAAAATACAAAAGTAAAAGGGAAAATAATAGAAAAACGGCTACATGGCCTTTTATAAAATGGGTCTGCTGGTCCAGAAACCCATCAGGAAGCCAACTTCTAATCGAAAGCCTCGCAAATTAAACTTCGACTTCGAATTTATTTTTGGATGACATGGCTTTCCAACATATTCCTTGAAAAATGGGCATGCAGATCTTTATTTTTTCATCAAAAAACGTCGTGCGATATCAGCTCCGAAAAAAAATCAGTTTTTTGTTGAATTTTTTGAGGAAGCCAGCTGAAAATCAGTTGGACAACGTGCCAGCGAGCAATGTTCGAGCGAGCCCCACGCTTTAATGGCCGTACAGTATATTTCGAAGCAGAAACAAACATTAAATTCGGCAAACGCCATCTTAATGGGGGAATCTCCGATCTGTGAACGATCAAAATATGCCACCCAGGTTGTACCAAAAGAGAGAAGCCCAAGTGTGATAGAAAAGCTGTCAAGTTCGCTAGCCTATAATAATAGCTAGCCTCGATTGAATGAATGATATTGAGAAGCAATTGACAGCTTCCCCCTCCCTTTTTGGGGACATGCTCTTTGTCTGGAATATCAGTAGTAGCCAGACAGTCTTGTAGCCGGCGCCTCCTCCGCTTCCCCTCGTTGTAATGGCCCCCTCTCGTGCTTCTCCTTTGTTTGGCAATCAGCCACCGGCGTTCTTATTGTCATAACCATTCGAAAAACGTGTGGATTACCCTGTTTTCGCCCATCGGCACCACCCCTTATCAGTGATGCCGATCAAAAATCAGCCGAAGAAAGGGTGCTAAAATTTGAATGGCCCTTGGTTCTCGCGGCTAGCTAATGGCTTTACAGTTTGCACTTTTTGGTGGCACGTGGTTGCTTCCTGGTTTTTACAGAGATCTGGGCAGTTGGGGTTTTTCGGAATGTCAAATTCGGAATTTTACATCTGATAAGTTGCCAACTAAATATTTTCCAGCCAGGGATTTTCAGAAAATCGGCCTAGAAACTCGAAAAATGGGGGTGGTTTACTTTTGTCCGTTACTATCTGTCTCTGTCTCTCGCGCTCACGCTCTTTCGTTCTCTGTGACCCGGTAAGATTTTGCAAAAACCCACTTCGATAAAAAAAGCAATTTATGCAGCAATCGACCAAATCAGGCAAAAAAATACATCCGGGATCGGCACAAATCATCAGTAAATGCAAGTAAATTACATACATCGGATTATGCGTTGCAAGAGTTCAGAAAAACCCGAGTATAATAGAGATCAAAGGAGAGGATTATGAAACACAATGCACCAGGGCTGCAACGAGGAAAATCGCGCAGCAGACGATGAAAATTAGGACCGGAGCGACGACGGCTACACGGCACGTTCTTGTTTCTAAAAATTGAATATTGTTGAAGCCAGAAAGTAGACGATTGACAATTTTATCGTTGAAAAAGTCTTTTTTAGAACATCTTAATTGATCTTTTATCTCTCACTCTCTCACGTCTCCACGTATTCGTCCAAACTTACTCTTTTCTATTGCGACTGGAAGTTCTGGCAATTGCGCTTCTGGAACGTAAACGATGACGTGGTTTTGAAAGTGGACATGGTGAGAACAGTTAGAGCAGATGGTTGCCTGAAAGAAACTGATGAAGTTTTAGCAATAGGATCCGCAAAGAAGCCAGGTTTGCCCCTGACGATAGTGTTTTATGAGAAAAAAGGAGGTTTTCTAGTTCTAACACGATGCGAAACGTTCCTGACCGCGAGTTGAGATGCGGCGCGCTCCAACCAATGCACAAAAATCGTGAAAAAACTTTTGAATAAATAAATTAATGCTTTAGGGTTGTGAAATACGCAGTGAAATTTAGTGAATTGCAACGCAACACGTAACGCGCTTATTGTTAAACTATCAGGGAGAAACCGCCGTTACTTTTGTCCAAAACGTTCACCACATTTTAAAAACGCCGTTACACAGGAAAGACTCACTTGATTATCATACCGCACCGGCTCGAAATCAAAAACTGGTTGAATCTTCTCGGGTAGTGCCGCGGCCTCAAAACTGTTGATTTCGTAATTCATCGCGAGGTGTTTCCGAGTCCAAAAAATGGCAGAATTGGGTTCCCCGCATCCAGACGTGACCTTTTATAGACTCCCGAAGGCTCTAAAATAACCCAAGACCCCGGGGTCAGATAAGAATTCGGACGGGGTGTAGGGGGCGATTGCTTCATTGCCTGTAAGCAGCCCCCGAAGCACATGCACGGAACTGCGTCACGGAGGAGAACATTGACGCCGGAAAACACGACGGCTTCGAGGCGTTTTGTCGCTGATCTGCTCCGATTTTGCTAGCTTATCAGGCATTTCTGGCTCTGCTTTCTGAAGGTTGAGACGTGGGCTTGGAACCCGGGGAAGTACCCCTCTACGTGTCAGCGGGTTAAAAGGAGCATGACACATGGTGGAAATTTTGGAAAGATACTCTAACTGTTCAAAATAGGTGTTTGGGAAGTTCATTAGGAAACCTTGCTCTATTCGGGAGAGAGAGAGAGCGAGTAAGAGAGAAAGAGAAAGACAGAAGAAGAGAACGAGAGAGAGACAGGTACAGAGAGAGACCCAGAGACTGAGAAAGAGCGAGAGCCTGAGAGAGAGAGAGAGAGAGAGGGAGAGAGAGAGAGAGAGAGGAAGAGAGAGGGAGAGAGAGGGATAGAGAGAGCGAGAGAGAGGGAGTGGGAGTTGAGAGAGAGAAAGATAGGTTTTTCCCTGTCACCATCCCCTTAGCGGGCTTCCGAATTCTGGATATTGAACTGTGATTTTTTGACCGGTCGTTATCAGTTGCCTGAACCGGGTGCAGACACCAAAATTAGCATGGATATAGAACCGGTTTGGTTACTTTGATAATGTGATATTTTGTCCTATGAAACTTGATAAATCGCCACAGCAGAAAGCTTGATTTTTGAGCCCGTTTTCTCTGCCATTTTCTGCCCAATCCGAATCATCAGGCATGTTGCACCATCAGCTTTTTTATCGCAATTTGCAGGACGGAAAAAGCCGGGTTTTTTTCGGGACCGGCCTATGATAAGTATTTCCGGCAGGCCACGCCAAATCCAGCACCACCAATCAGGGCTTTTCGTAGCAGGACCAGAAGAGCAGAGCCCCCCGTCTTATCAGCTGGGGCAGGTGCGTAGGCAATAAATATCAAAAAAATTAATAGCATGGGTTCGGCGGCTTCCGGCGGGTGGTACTTGTAAATATTTGCGAGCAGAGTACGAACCACAGGGTCTTTCGGCTACTGACAGGGATATTTTGGGAACACGATATGGAAACTCGCTCAAGCAGTTCAACAACCCTCTAAAGGGCCTGTTATGCCAAAATATCAACCCTCCGGATCCACTGGGTGTCGACAGCGAAGTGAAATATGAACATTAGTCTGAAAACGCAATTAACTTTTTGATATGTGTCGTAGAATCATACGTCGTAGAATATGTTTTTTCGCCACTTTTCACCCAGAAAATATCGTAATCCATTACACTCCTCTATACGGTACACTGTGCTACGGGCTGTAGAAAATTCCACTGTATCCTTGTCTATATATCCTCTCACTGAGCATAAGGTATCCCTGGCTTTAAAAGAAGTTTAAAAGATTTTAAAGCGCGGTTTTGGACATTGCCTTCCTCCCATTCGTGCGCATTTTTAAAAAAAGTGTGTCGTATCTAGCAAAATTCGTAAAATTTAAGTAATTTGGAGTGGAGCGTCACATTGCACAATTAAACCCACGCCGCCTTATCATGAAAAATGTCATTTTTTGTTTACAAAACTGACTAATACCTATCTTTCGGAATAATCATACCAATTCTGGAGATAATTTCTTGGTTCTCTGGCCCCAGAAGCCGGGCACATGGTGACCGCATGAGTTTTTGGTCCGAAAAACCTTTGGTGCCGTGCTTGTCCTGATAGCCCAAACTGCGTAACAATCCGCGTCGCTGTTCCGCTGCTCCTTTCGTGGTGCTGATAATCCCAAAAATACAACACAGGTCAGTCGAGCGCTCAATTTAGCGAGCGGTGATTAGTGACGGATTGTTCCGGCGGAGTTCACTGAATCGCTGGGTGCAGGTCGGGTGCAATTTGGGTTTTTCGTCCCACGATTTTTCGCAACTAAGAAGTGTTAACAATATTTTCTGAATATGCAGAAGAGGTGCCGGATATAGTTTCAGCATCCTAAGATTTTTTTCAATTGACGTCAAATGCTGAGTTGCCACTCCTTTCGGTTAAGTCGTTGGCAAATTTTCTAAATTCCCGTCGACGTCTTCTACCGGTTCAGAAGCAGAAGAGCTATTCGACATCGTCTGGCAGTTTTTTCTAACGATTCGGTTCTAGTTTCCTAACTCAAAGTACCTGACTGGGCATTCAAAAGGCATCGTCCTCATCCGTCCGAATCGCGAATCAGCAATGTGCGACAATAACTTCTGACTTGCATTTTGTTTGTCTTCTTTTTCATCGACATTATTTTTGTAAAACACGCCTTGTTTTAATGTAAATTTACTTCAGAAAATGTCGATGGCATAAATGAGACTCAATTCTTCTTTTTCACGCGGCAAAGGTCGTGCTCCCCGTATTGTGGCTTCTTTTTGACGAGGTCGACTTGCTGTTTGCAGGTTTTTCACGCTGCGTCGATGCCCTGTTCATGAGGATGACGGTGATGCTGAAAAATTCCGATATTTTTCTAGGTGCAATCGTTACTTCCAAAGGCATTTTACAGGGGGAATCGACCTTTTCCGTCAACTAGCTCTAAGCAACTAGGTAGTATGCCAAAAGACGTTCAAATGTACCATCCTGATTATCAAATTTTTTTTTAGTTTTGGTTTTAGGAGCATTCTGTAACTGTCTAAGCCTATTCGACATAACAGACGATTCAGCTTTTCAACCCCTTTAAAGTGCACGCTCAGGGAGGGGCCGTGTACTCGTCCCAACGCGTACACCCTATGGACGTAGGGACCGCGCGCACTGCCTGCTCGTGCTGTGACAGGCCATTCCCCTCCTTTGCGGGGTGGGGCGCTCCTCGCCCCCTCACCAGGTTGTAGCTGTGGCTGACTGGTATCCATCCGCGCCTCCCGAGCGGGGGGCCCGGGTTCGACCCCCGGCCGCGGCAAAACTTTTGTTTTTTTCGAAAAAACGTCCCTGAACGTGCCCTTTAATAACTCTCAAAAACGCACGATCCACAAATCCCAAGGAACCAGCCGGGCATATGCTCTAGTAGAAACATATGCATCTTGGCGTAGTTGTACTGTGTTGGGAATTTGACGCAGAATACATCGTAAAAAATGATGTCCATTAGCCAGGCCAAGATTAGCATAGGGTGCTGAATGCAAAGCTAAAAACACAACACAAATGTATTTTTCGAATTAGAAAAACTTACAAATTTCTGGTAGCGCACGTCGATGTAGTTGCAAGGATTTTCGCGGAACTAAAAAACGCTATAGGAAAGTAGATTTTCAAAAACAAGTAAATTTTGGCTTTTTTAATCGTCGGAAAATTACCATTTTCTTCAATTTCCGCAGGCTTTTCACTTCGGCCACAACGATAAAAATGTCTATCAATATCGAGATTTTATTAGCCACTAAAAGCGGAAAAAAATCGTAGGCAAAGAGAATGTTACTTGGCCCCCACGTCGCGTATCCCTCATACGGCCAATACTGCCCGATACGGAACGTCAGCGGGTTAAAGTAAGCTCCCAGGTTACCGTACTGCCCTTCTGCCGCCATGTATGGATGGCCTAAACGAAGTCAGAAATCTTTTCTTTCGATCTCTCTCTCTCACTCCCTCTCTCTCTGTCGCTCTCTCCCGGTCTCTCTCTCTCTCTTTTTCCCTCACTCTCACCTGGTCCGATTTGTAAAAACCAAGGTAGCGCCCCGCAAACCACACAAATAAAAACCATTAGGCCATCGACACGCCCGAGGAAACTGAAGAACCGCCCTTGGAAGTGGGTGGCGAGGAGCCTGAAACATTCTCTGTGGGTATGGTTGGGGAGAGCGAGAGGGAGAGAGAGAGAGGGGCTATAGAGAGAACGAGGTAGAGAGAGAGGGGGGACAGAGTGATAGAGAGAAAGAGAGAAAGAGAGCGCGAGAGAGAGAGAGAGAGAGAGAGAGAGAAACTTACCTATTGATGACGACCATATAGTGCAACAGACGGTGGCAGGTGATGGCTGCAAGCGCATAACCGGATAGGAGTTGATTTAACATAAAAAATGACCCAGGGTAGCCACGATCATCGAGGCAATTGAATCTGGAAAGCGGTTGGAGGCCTCAGAGAGCGAGAAAGGCAGCGAGAGAGAGAGAAGAGCGAGCGAGAGAGAGAGAGAGAGAGAGAGAGAGCGGACGATTGAACGACGACACCTTGAATATGTCGTGAATTCCGGATTGTACGGCTGGAACGTGATGACGCATTGAAAATGGAAAAGCAGCTGAATGCCTTTGACAAAATAGATAGAGGCTGCTCCCAGCAGAAAATAGCGCAACGATTCGGTCAGTCGCTCATTGCGGCGGATGCTTTGAAGCGCTAGAGCGGCCAGTCCGAAGATGGTCAAGCCAAACTAAAATAAGATCTCGAAGAGAGTTAGTGCGGGAGGGGGAGAGAGTGAGAGAAAGAGAGATAGAGAGAGAGCGAGAGAGAGAGAGAGTGAGAGAGAGAGAGAAATCGGTGAACGTACTATCCCCAGAATTATCACATAAACCGTCGGCTGCCACTTACGCATAGTACCTTCATTGACGGTCGGAATGCCGTAATAGCCGTAGCTGAAAAATTACTATCAGACTTTGCAACATTCATGGAACCAAATTGCAGAGTTTTATCTTGCAAAATTAAATAGCATTTGAAATGAAATTTGAAATTTGAAAAATAATAGAATGTGGATTGTTTTATGCGTCTAATTACTTTAAGTATAATTCTTCGTAACAAGAATTCATCAAAAATCTCTTATCAACACTTACTAATACACCCATTCGTATTCGTTGACGTATTCTGGCGTCGTGTGGTCGCTAAAATACGTCGTAGTCTCCGGTATATCATTCACAGTGTCAATGGTAGAATTCATGACCGTCTGAGTCGTTTTTAAATTAGGATATAACGGACTTCTTATGTAGTTTTCAGCTCTCAAAAACCGCCTTCAAAAGGCTAGGTTTTGTGGATAATTGACCCTTATGTTCAAAAGCCGTGCCTGAAGAACAAAATAGGTCCCGTGCTGAATGCTGCCGAAAATTATGGGTGTGCAGTCTAGTTAACGGCCCAAGAATGGTGGAGGACTTTGAAAGTCAGGAACCCTCATTATCGCGGATGTTTCGCGCTCTTCAAAAGTGTTGCTTCCAGAAAATTACATTCTGCTCCGAAGAAGACCAGAAATCTGGAGGGGACGCATTTATCGAGGGCAACAATTTTACACAAAAAAAAATCTTTGCTTCCTGTAGGAAGAGAGCAAGAGGGAGACCGAGAGACAGAGAGAGAGAGCGAGAGAGAGAGAGAGAAAGAGCGAGAGAGAGAAAGAGTTAGCATCGTTTATTTAGATTCAACAAGTTTCGCAGTGGTTTTCTTCCGGTGGCTCAAGCAAGATGGTCGATAGTTTTCAGGTAGGGAGTAGATGACCACGATGAAGCTGAAAATCGTTAATTCCGTGATCAACTTTTGGCAAAACGCCCAAACTTACGGTATCACAATATTAATCATCCAGCCGCTCACATTCTGGCAGATAAATGCTCCCAAATTTGCGGTGTGGTAGTAGCGGTATAGCCGAGGTATCGCAACAAATTCTAAGAACGCCTTGGCCACCCAGCTGCTGATCAGGGCAATTTGGGAGTAGACAAACTGGAAATGGAGTGGTATTTTCTGTCTCTATTCACTCTCACTCTCTCTCTCTCTCTCGCTTTTTTCTCTCTCTGCATCCTTCTGTGTCAAAGGCTACCAAGACCCACGATCGTCTGCAAGCTGACTTCGCCGTCAAGCTGACTTAGCGGCATTCGTTTCATCGACTTCAGCCGCGACATTGTCAACAGGTTCAGGAACAGGAAGATACAGCTAAAACCAAGCACCGTCCGGTCGAAGACTGAAAATCAATGCAGCTTGTGGTGAAAACATATTACGGCGATCAAGAAGCTCGTATTTCTACATCAGGCCCCATCTACCATTTGCAAAAAGCTAACTGGTGCCGCTATAAAAAAAGTAGTCTAGCGCGCATAGGCAGGGGCCGCCTTCAATGCCAGCGTATAACACCCACCATCAAACAGGGCAAAGTTGTAGTTGGGATTTATGTAGTATACGCTGACCACAAAGTTTATCGGATGAAAGTAGCTGCCGATATAGGCGAAATGGGTCCACTCATAGTCGTCCAGGCCTGGAAATGGGTTTTAAAGGGACTCGGCAGGTCCCGAATCAGCCCTTTCGGCCAGATGGTTATTGACAACTCCCAACAACGTGCCTTTCGCGTTTCTCTGAGTCTTTAGAACCACTGAAAACTAAACTTACCAGTTCCCTGCTGTAGTATCAGTAAGACGGGAGGCACTCCCAGTGCTGTGACTATGATAGGAGCCGCTAGATAGCTAACTCGCTGCGCGTAGTCTCCATCGAAATGCCAGGTGAAGTATCTATAGAAAGTGGATAACTTAAAAAAGAGGGAAAGGGCGGAGAACGAGAGAGAGAGAGAGAGAGAGAGAGAGAGAGAGAGAGAGAGAGACAGACTAAGAGTGACCGAGAAAGAGAGATAGAGAGAGAGAGAGAGAGAGATGGAGAGAGAGACAGAGAGAGAAGAGATAGGCATCTCCGATGCTTACCTGTGTAGGCTACCACCCCACGAAATAATATGGTAGCCGTAAGGCAGCGATGTACCAATCGCCGACATCATTTGATTCAAGAAAAATCCACAGTAGGGGTAGTTGATGGTGTTTAGGCAGGAAAACCTGAACGTTTCATTGGTATGTTTCAACTGTTATCGTGTCGTCCAGTAGAGTGAGCGAGAAAGAGTGATGAGAGAGAGAGAGAAAAGAAAGAAAGAGAAAGAGAGAGATTGCTCGCTCGTTCCTACCGATGATAGGTTTTCGTGTAGTTGCCCTTCTCGTCAAAATTGAAGACGCACTCGGCATTGTAGAACATTTGAATACTTTTGATAATTGACAAAATTGAGGCCGCAAGCAAGTAGATTTTATACAACATCTTTGTGTCTTCACGCCGGAAGTAGAGGAGGACGGAGAGTGGTGTGAGGATTAGTCCGAGGACACCGACCTAAATTCAATTACAATTTTGGCTGTTGGGCGAACCAAATGGCAATACAAATATTTCAAAATGTGAGTTAAATTTGCACCAGGATCATCGTCACTCCGACTTGAACCTCAGGACGCCTGTAGAATGCTCGCTTGCTGACGATTGCGATACCTTCCCAGTTGTACCTAAAAATCTAGAGGTACCGTATGATTTAGATGCATCTTGATAATTTTCGGACGTTATTTTAAGTGGTTTTGGGTTGTGAAATCGACTCTAGGCATCTTTTTAGCTGACCCACCACCACATGCATTCCGAGAGAAACGTATAGTCGTAGGTTTCTGGCCACTGGTTGTACGTGCAGCCCCCGGGCGTTTCCCATACTGTAAAATTGGTGCCCGACTCGTTGTTGTAGACGTTCATGATGAAATCGCCCCATGCCATATTTATCCTAAAAAATTGAATGAACGCACTAAGTTAATACCAAATAAGCGGCGAGTACATACGAAAGATGATTTACGAATTAAAAAGAGCAGCAGATTAAGGGAATTTGGATTTAAACAATAAACTAAACGATAATCAAATAAACACAACCTTACACTTTAAAGAATGTAAATTTGAATGTAATAAATATGTTTTCTTTAAAAAATGTTCTCTTAAAATTGCTGCCCACTTCTTTGGTGCTGATTTTCCTAAAGCCTATAATTTGCAAGCACATGAGCCATACTTTTAGAGCAACCGATTTTTGGTTTCTCAGCCATTTTTGAGAAAACTTGAGGCCGGCAATTAGGGAAGACGCTTCCTAGTTTCTTTCGGAATTTTAAGAACAAAATCGAGGTTAAAACAAAACAAAATGAAATTATTAAAGCGCAACCAAATTGCGCAGCTAAAATATATTTTAGAAACCCATTTAAAAGCAATCTTTCGTTCTTATTAATCTCCCCCCCAAGGTATCAAGAGACATCTAGGTAGCACAAGTTCTGAGAAAAAGGCATAATGACCGCAGCGACCATTGGAGCTCTCCAAAAAAAAGTGTGCGCCCACAACTTCCAATGGTCATTTTGGGGATAGAACCTCGTACGAACGGCCATCAATGATAATCGTGGTTAAAACAGGATTTTCAGTAATTACAACACAAAAAACTCCGGCTGGCACTAGACCATGAGCTTTATAAAAGGCGCATCCGCCTTAATGACGTTCGTGTTCCGAACCTGATCATTCTTGGAGACTCTAAGCGAAATATCATACCTCTTTCCTCTGCCTTACAGCTTGCCGCGTAGCTATCGCAGGTTGAAGTCACGATATGCAAATTTCGCCAATATCTGGAAAAGGAATTTGCATCATTGTGCTCGTCTTTACAAGCTGCGTACTTTTTCGGCCGATCAAAAGTCGGTTTAAGCTTCTTTGCAAAGTGATTTGGACTTAGATCGTCATCCTGGAATCAGTAAACTTCGCACGTCCTGTTGCAATATCCTATTTTTAGGCGATCTGCGGTCCGCTGGATGGTCAGGGAAGTCAATATCACTACCCTGATGCATACGTTTAATGGCGGAGTTAGCCAAGTGTTAGATTTTATAAATTTTTAGTCCCACTCCGTCGACGAGCAGCTTTTCGCCTCCCTGGCCGTATCCGAGAAGCTCCAGATGCCAGGAGGGTACCACAGCGCTTGCCTGAAGAATCGCGATCTGAACAAATTTTTTACGTATATTACTAGGCTAGTTTAAGTCTCAAGAAAATCCTATCTCAAAAAGTATCTTTAGGCACACTCGATGGGTCTGGGAGGGTCATCCGAATTGCCATAGACGGCACGATGTCTGTTTATATGGGATTGAAAATTTGTATCAAGCAAGGTGAGCCATGTTCGGGATTTTGGTATTTAAAGAGGAGCACGACGTCGCGCTCCAAATTACGCGCTTTCAGAAAAACTGCTCGCCGCTATATTGCACTCAATAAATTTATTGGCTCCTGGGATTTCGCGGCCACCGTATGCATGGCCGAGAGTCTGTATAACCGGACGCATTTCGGAGAAGAAGCATTTGATGCTAAATATATTGCGAATCACTCTGGGGTAAGCCAGTAGCAGATACCAAGCACCTTATTAAAACTATACCCTTTAGAATCGGTACCAGCGCGCCCGGCGGAAACCCGGATTCCGGTTAAATACCTTTACTTGCAAGAATATTTGAGGATTTATCCTTTTGCCTGCGAAAATAAATTAATTTGAAATCATTACTGACTTTGTCTTTGAAATTAGGAACAATATACGTATACGATTTTTTGTTGAAAACAAGTCTTAGTTTTTCTTAATTCCATACCACAGCACATTCAAAAATAAACTTTCAAATTATTCTTATTTTTTTGAAATTTTGACAAATATAACACGTTTTAAAAGTCAACAAAAGATTTAATTTGGATTTATCTATCAATTCTCATATAAATTTTCCATGAATTACGCCACAACCTTGCAGAGGGGCATTCAATGGTGCGCGGAGAGAGAGAGAGAGAGAGCGTTGGCTGTTCCCAGGTGTGTTTTGTAGTCTGTCGCCCGACCCATACCGACCCACAACATCTGCATCCTCCAGTATGATTTTCCCCAAAACCACGCTTCATTCCTTATTTTCTTTGTTGTCCCTTCAAATTTATCTTTTTTTTCTATCATCTGACCCAATTTCAAATTTGTAAATATGTTCCCGAAAAACAACAAAATTCGTTATGCCATGTAATTTTTTGCGCAAGTTTTTCTCAACGGCTCAGATATGGGCGATATCTCGATTCCTTTGCTGTTCTTTGTTTAGATTTATGGAAAACAACGTTTCTTTGTCTCCTGGAAATATAAATTTTCTATACTATTTCGATAGCAATACCCAAAAAATTAAATAATAACTTTTCACATTTGAAAACGTTTTCTGTGACTCTCAATTTTTGTGTAAACAAGAAATAACTTTAACAAAATTTATCCTTTCAGCTCCGCCCGGATCTCGGCTTGGTGGATTATTCCGAATGGTGGCTTCCTAAAAAAGCCACCACGAAGATGTGCAGCACTTGTTTTGCTGCGAATTTGAAAAATGTCATAAAAATTATAAGGTAACTTTTTACGACTGAATTCTGCTACCTCGATCTCAAAATAGGAAAAACAGCGGTTACACCCCCGGTCTTTCAGGTGTACCCACGCTCCCAATGCTCTAGCAGTATGGGCCCATAAGTGAAGTATGAAAAAGGCTCATCAGTCACGCAACATTAGAGTTCATAGCAGATGGTTCGTCCAAATACAAGTGAGTATGTTATAAGTTTGTGGAATTTCGGTTTTGGCTTAGGCTTACACTTGAGCCTAGGTTTAGGCTTAGGCTTATGCTTAAGCTTTGGCTTACGCTTAAGCTTAAACTTTAAACTTAGGCTTAAGCTTATGCTTAGGCCTGTGTTAGCAATGCACATGGCCTCAAAAAAGCCGAAAACATATCGGAATTTCCCAAGGAATTTGGGAAACGGAACGATCTTACAAACTTTCTCCGTTCAACCCTTTCATAAGTTTAAATTTGTGAATTTAAACGCAGATTTCAAATTTTTAAATAAATTGTATCTATGAATTTAAGCTTAAACCAGGGTTGAAAAGCCGCTTCGCGACTTTTCAACCCTGGCCCCGTCTGATCCCAAGATATTCGTCCCTTTGCATAATTCACGCGATTTTCGATGACAAAAATGAGAAACGCGACCTCTCTTCTCTTATATAGGCTACCGTAACTTCCGGAATATGCTAATTGATTCCTAACAAAGAGAGCGCTCGATTTTTTTTAACAAAAAACTTAATTTTAATATTGAAAACACCGAATTTTTGAACATTTTATGAGTGTGCAGTCATCCCACGGCCATTACGCATCTAATGAGGTATAAAACATACCCCTAACTGCCCCCCCTTCTTGAGATACTGCTGGAACACGCTGACGGAAGTTGCATGCAAATGCACACACATACACACACAGACACTATTTTTTTATATATAGTAGGATCCCAGCCTCTTAATTAACTAGATTTTCAGGTTTAAAACGAAAAACGGTCGATGCGAAGTTGTCCTCAGCCAAGTCCCCTGAGCAGTTTTGCGTACAGCTTCAACAGAACGGATATGAAACGATGAAAATGGTCGATGAAAATGGTAATACCAAATTTTTTTAGCCGAATCAAAAGCCGTTTGCTAAGCCGGTTTCGCCTTACTACACTTCAACCGGTTTTTCGTTGTTCCCCCATTCAAATTACGGGCTAGAATTTAAAGAAAATGGTTTTTAAAATGTTATATTTTGTTTGGTTTCGATACACGACGATTGTGCCACTAGGCTAGCGGACAATAACTAATTTTTGGCCAAATCCTAAGCTTAAGCCGGTTAAAAAATTGCGGTCAATCTTGCCATAGGCCGCCAGAAACCCAAAAAAAATTCATATCCGCGTGAGGCGCTACTAAACTAACGCATTATCATTTTACAAGTAAATCCCACGCAAAATACGTTGTCTTTTTAAAACATTACTTATTTTAGGAAGGAAAACTGCGACGAAAAAGGCAGAATGGATATTAGCAGAAGAAAAAAAAGGTAAGTCCCGTCATTAAATCACGAGCGTGGAACCAAACGGTTAACGAAGCACACGTTTAATTTTGATAAGCACGAATTTGTGCGAAATAAATTTGACACAACCCCACTATTACATTCTTTAGCACCCTTAAAAGCGAGCAAAATTACCTTTTCGTGAAACCGCAATTGCAATGCGATATGTACTGCAAAAATCTCGAAAATATCGTTGATCTGCATAAAAATTCTTCTAAAATTATTTAACTAAATACTCAATGAAACGGTAGTTTGTACGCTGTGGAGCCAAAAAAATCGTGGAGCCATTTTTTACGAAAACAAATAAACGTCAGCTAAATCAGTCTGCCAGAAAATTGTCGGAATAGTTGTTGGGCCGGCATTTCGTTTCCCCATTCAAATTACGGGCTAGAATTTAGAGGCGCTGGCCTTAAAATGTAATTTTCCGGTTTGCTTTTGCCACGACGTTTTACAAAGTGAATATTATACCATATACATTATTCTTTTCAGTTTAAAAAATGATTTATTTCAGGAAGGAATCACTACGACTACAACCTATCGCAGGTTATTGCCAGAAGAAAAAAGGTAACTGCCATCGTTAAATCAAAATTATCCTCTATATTAAATTAAATTAAATTAAATTAAAAAAGGCATAAAGGATATTAGCAGAAGAAAAAAAGTAAGTTCCGTCATTAAATCACGAGCGTAGAACCAAACGGTTAACGAAGCACACGTTTAATTTTGATAAGCACGAATTTGCACGAAACAAATTTGACACGACCCCACTATTATATTCGTTAGCACTCTTAAAAGCGAGCAAAATTACCTTTTCGTGAAACCGAAATTGCAATGCGAATACTGCAAAAAAATCGAAAATTATCACGGATCTGCAACAAAATTCTTGTATAATGATCAAACTAAACATTCAATGAAATGGAAATTAAAAAGCTCCGGCTCGAAAAAGTGGTAATGTGAATGCTTTTATCAAAAGCAAAGAAACGTTGGCTAAATCGGTCTGTCACAAAATTGTCGTAATAGTTGTCGGGCCGGCAATTCGTTTCCTTATTCAAATTACTGGCTAGAATTTAGAGGCGCTGGCCTTAAAATGTAATTTTTCGGTTTGCTTTTGCCACGACGTTTTACAAAGTAAATATTAGACCCAATACACTATTCTTTTAAAGTTTAAAAATGATTTATTTCAGGAAGGAAACACTACGACTACAACCTGTCACAAGTTATCGCCAGAAGAAAAAAGGTAACTGCCATCATTAAATCAAAATTATCCTCTAAATTAGCGAGGCACCAATTTAATTAATTTCAACACATACGAATTTTAGCGAAATAAAATTGGCAAAACTCCACCATTACATTATTTTGCACTACTCAAAGCTATCACATTTACATTTCGTGATAGGGGAATTGAAGTTCTTTCAAAATTTGCTTGTTAAATCCTTTATAAAATGGGCAGCAGAATTTTCAGATCGCAGCAAAATCGTAAAGCTAATTTTTTTATATCAAAATCAAAGAAACGTGCACCAATTCGGTCTCGCACCAAACGAACGGCTAAACGGCTTACCGTTTCCCGCCATTCAAATTACTGGCTGGAATTTAGAGGAAATGGTTAGGCATTTTTCAAGCTAATTTTTCAGATTTGAACTCGAGATGCCACTTGTAACAAAAAACGTGCCGCTCGGCCATCACATCTATACAGGGATACAAGAATATTTCGTGGATAGTCATTGAAAGTCATCATTCGAATTTAAAAAGCGACAAAAGCCCGAAATGGAAAAAGTACCTTACCTCCTCGAGTTAACAAATACCGTGTACCAGGTGCCCCAAAAAAGCACCCCCACTAGCGGTCCGGGAGAAGCCCAAGTCGGGATGATTTTTATACCATTCGAAAGCTCTCGAAAAGGCGAAAAACAAGCGGGCTTTATTTGCTAAGATTTATTCTTATCCTTCCGATATTCAACGTTTTTTTTCTAAAAAAACAAGTAACTTTTTATTCAAGATTTCGCAATTAGCATGCAGATCTCGCGAAAATATGCCGTTTTCATGAATTTTAGACCTAAAATTCGCTAATAAAAACATAATAAAGGAAATCAACCCTCCTCTTTTTCTCGCCTTTTCGAGAGCTGTCGACAGGTACCTAAGCATTAAAGATCGGATACGCCTGTAAAGGGCCTAATTTTACAAAATTGCTTAGCTTACGTTAGATGGATTCAGAATCGCTTACGTTAGATGATTCAGATTCAGAACGATCTTGACCAAAAACTACTAAAAAAGGTTTACTAGGCTAGATATTCCGATTCTGGACGCAAAACCGTATTTTTGGAGCAATTAGAACGGCGTATGTTCAGCATTAAGGCCACTCAACGCTTCTATTTTTCTGCCGAATAGATAAATGTTTTTGCCCATAAAAATAGGGACAAAATTATACCTCTCCGAGGATGTGTAGATGAATTTAGGCTGCACTTTAAATTGTTCTTTACCGCTTTATCTTATCGTTTTACAGGCTATGCACAACTCGGCAACACAATCATTTCTATGATCGGTGACGATAACCTCATCATAGTCGCGAAAAGCACAATTTGTTGGACTACTGGCACAAACTCTGATCGACAATGAACATGCTTCTTCCTTTGTGCTTTAATATTTAATAAACCAAATCTGTAAAGACACCGTGCTACACATATCAGATCGCATCGTGCCGGCCGCTATCATCAGCCTGCAAATCACGCGTCAAAAGCACGTTGGCAAACTCAAGTTAACTTTTGAATAGCTCCGCATGCTTCCGACTTATTTTTTATGTATGCAAAAACGCAAAAAGAAGCGTAACTAAAAAATTATTTAATGTTGGTTACTTATCTTAATAGCTCAGGAAGGGATAGGTGTAATGTGTAAATTTTTCGGTTTTTTGCTCAACTTTCGCGAAGGCCATGTTTTTTTACACACGTGTAAAAAAATTTACACGTGTGTCGAAAAATGGTAAATATTTACACGTGTGTTTTTCGTCTCTTAACAAATTTGTTAACAAAAAACGTCGAATTTTACACGTGTGTAAAATATTTACACGCGTGTAAAAATTTCTGGCGTGTAAATTTGAGATGAATCCCAGCCCAGGGGTATTTTCCATTCAAAAAAATTTTGCATTCAGTAATTCTGATTTCTCTGCTTCAGAGACTTTTTACCCGGTCAAACAGCATTGGTATCATTATCAGAGTACGCCTTTCCAATTATATTTTCTTTCCAGGAGGAATAAAACTGGATGTTGACCTTTCAATCTGTCATCAACTCGCCAGCGATTCATCCATAGCTATACATCACAGCAATGCCCCTCGTGACAGAGTAGTCCACCGAGTATTCCCAGACATGGATCGTTATTTAAAATGAAAAAAGCCAAAACGGGGCCAGCGGTCAAAACTATGTAATGAAGGAAAATATTCAACATCGATATTGGCGGGCTTGAAAACGAAGCAACAAAATACCTCAAGGATTCCATCAAGAAAACTCCAGGAACCATTCCTGCACCAATTCGCTGACGCAAGCAGGATCGCATACTCGGGAGCTACGCGTCGCTTAACAACTACGTTAAAAGCCGAAAGACCTCGACAATGCAACAATTCAAGCCTGATTTTGGCATCAAAAAACCTAACTATTGTCAAGAACTAGTCCGGGATCATATCAATACGCCCGGGAAATGACAAAATGACAAAGAAAAGAGATACGAAAACCGGAGAGTCAACAGGACCGAATGAGAAACCCGTATATTCTCCCCTGGGAGCCTGATCTATGAGCAGCAGAGGGCCGAGTCGGAATTACAGAATCTGCCCCGAAAACTTATAAAGATGCTAAGACAGCTTAGACGAAAATCGACGAGATCCGCTCCAACAAAGACAAAATTCAACTTCAACAAAAAACTTCTGGCCAATCCAATCTAGATTCGAAGGAGCAGCAGCGCATCCAGTCGTGCTCAGGAATGGGAAATTTGGAGCAGTATCACTCGTATCATGATCAAGAATGCACCAAAAAGCAGCCGACGAGAAGACCCAAACCAAAGAAAACTACAATCCATGCAAGAATACAACACAAAGGTCGGGAGAATATGGGCCCTATAAATTGTTCAAGATCAAGATCAAGTCGCCCAACGCTAAAAAATTAAAAAAATTACTTGAGAACCGGCCATTAAAAATAAATAGCTATTTGCGTCAAACTTGTCTTTCAAAACTGCAACAGATTTTGTAAAAAACACACAAACGCACAAAACCGGACAATTTTTGAATTGAATCAGAGCCATCAAGTTTTCAAAAAAAATTTTTTTGAAGACTTCCAAAAACTGCCTATTTAATATGATATATTTTCTTTAATAGACGAAAAACAAACGCGATCAGCAAGTTTATAAAAATTTCTGTGCATCCGCTAACAAGAACCTCGCTTCCAGTGACTTTTTTCGAAACCAACAGACACGGTTGAGTTTGATTTTGAAAGTCAACACCAAATTTCATGCTTTCTCGCAAACGTCTCAAAACTCTCATCTCTCCTAATTGTGTATCTCTTTTGGTAGCTTTGCGGATTTCCCCCTTTTATCCTCCAGCTTTTCGTCTTACAATACCGCCATTCAGAACCACGACCCCGACAGTCGATAAAAATCGATCTTGCGCGGCGGCTCTATGGTTCCCCACGCCTTATGCCTGCTTAGTATTCAGGGCTCGTGGCCGTACACCGTGGCCACATCGCTGGAAGGGGAAACTCGCAAAAATAGGAAGCTCCCAAAAAACGTACAGTTGTGCAGATCGTTTTTTAACGACCCACGTTTTGTTCTTTTCTTGAGGCATTAAAATCTGTTTTCTTCTCTTTCTCTCTCTCTCTCTCTCTCTCTCTCTCTCTCTCTCTCTCTCCCTCTCTCTGGCTTTCTCTCTCTATCTCTTCTACTCACTCTCTCTATCTCTTTCTATCCCTATCGCACTTCTCGCCTGTGTCACTCGCTTGCTCTCTCTCTCTCTCTCTCTCTCTCTCTCTCTCTTTCTCGCTATGTCTCTATCTGCCTCGCTCTCTCTTTTTTCCTATCTCGCTCCCCTCTCCCTCCCTTCTTTCGCCCTCTCGCTCACGTATTTATACGTTACCAGCGCTGACCCCCCGCTCCGCGGGGGTTCAGCGCTGGCCCTCCCGGGGGGAAATAAATCAACATCCCATACACCGAAATCCCGAAATCCCGAAACGCCCCGGACGGACGGGCGCACGGACATTAGAAATTTATATATACTCTGAATACGTATTTTCGAATAATTGATTTTTTAGTTTTTTTACTGTTACGTTTTCAGGCAGCCGTCTCATCTTGGGTGATTTCACCAGACCCGAGTCGCTTCATCGAACAAGTGACCTGATAGATGCATCAAACTACTTGATGCTGATTGATGTAACCAACATATGACAACAACTCCAACTGAGTGGAAGCCCCAAATCACGCCGGTAATCGTTAAGCTCTGATTGGAACGGAATTAGATAGATCTATGGATATTAAATAGCATCGTGAACGATTTTCGACGGGCTAAAATATAATCTATCGGATGTCAGTATTCACACGTAGTTTTTTTTCGACCAGACTAGTAATAGATTGTTTTCGTTTTCTGAAGCTTTTTAATCAGTTCCCCTTTCAGAGCTATCTCGCTGGCCATGACCGATGTTCTCCTTGATCATCACCTCGTACCAGCCATTCCACGAGCTTGAGGTCGTGAGTTGAAAAAAGATGGCGAGATCATGCCAATGAAAACGTTTGAAAACCCAAAAAAATGCAAATGGATCAATCATTCAAAGCTGTTTAATGAAAATAAAGACAAATTCACCACCCCGCTTTAACGAGAAAGCCTTAAAACCAAAGAAATAAGACGCCGGACATCGAAATGGAAAAGCCCAAAGCTTTATGGAGCGAGCTTTAAGGATGCGTATGGCTCCCTCAATGACATCGAAAACTATATAAAGGCGCCGTCGAATGGTCAAGATCTAAAAACCTAGAAAATGATAGAAAGCGAAGCAGTGATCTAGAATCGGCCCAAAAAAGACTTGATCAATGTGCTCATTGGCAGAAAGTCAAAACGGGTGCTTCAAGTTTGGGATATGTGGCATTGATTTCCTACGAAGTACCGTCAATTCTGTCCTAAAGCTGTTTGAGGCCGAGCAAGCTTGAAAATTTCACAACCACGGTCTGCGATTTACGTGTAGAAATCGCTGTGATTTCAATCGATTGAAAAAATAATCAAAATTTTGATGAATTCGACAATGTCCTGACGAAACTTCAGATGAAAATGGATTTGAAGGCCAAATAAGGCCAATAGCTTCCTTCTATATTATCCGAAAAGCCATCAAGGACGTGCTCGGAAAAAACTTCAAAGGTTTCCAAATGGACCGAAGTGAGCGTGGTTCACTACTCCTACTCACTACTACATACACGTCTCGAGACTATGGGTATCGTCAAAAATGGAAAAGTAGATTTCTTCAACGACGGCGACGATGATGATGACATGATACATAAAAGCTACTAGTTCGGAGCGATGTAGAAAACCATAGAAAAATAGCGAGCTCCAAATATCCACCAAAAACGGTCGACCGACTACAGGCCATCGTCGAACCTCAAAAACTCTTTTTCGACGTCAGCAAAATCCTGGCTGCGTTGCAACCGCGAGTTACGGCAGGTGTGCGAGCCAAGCTGCAAGCCAATGAAGCCAGTTATTGGAAGTGATACATCAATAAACAGAACTTGAAGAAAAGCATACAAATGGAGCGCAAACGAAGAGAGAAAAAATTCGAAAATTGTAAAATTCACCGTCATGCTCGAAAATTGTGATAAAAATAGTTTATGAGGCTATTTTCTATTTTCCGAAAAAAGGCACGCGGAAAGGCACAAGGCCTCACAACAGCATCGATAACAAACTGATGCCAAATCGAATGCATAACGATGGAAAAAGCGTTAGCCCAACTTCACTTTTCGTATAGTAGACCAAAAGCGGCACAATTTTGTCTCCCAAAACTGCAATTCATTCGTTGCACAGTATTTTATTTCAATCGCTAAATAGTAATCGGCAATTGTTCAAAACTCGAATACCCGGTGCAGCGGCTCCCGGCAAGACGCCAGGCCAAACAAATTCCTGTAATATGTTAATGGCATAACACTCGCTACTGCTAGCATCAAGAAGCATATGTTGCCCTTGGACACCATGAAACTGCTTCGTTGCATTGTTGAAATTGAAGAAGAAGAAGAAGAGGAAAAACCCGCTTTTTTGATGACTCATAGCGAGTTCTTTCAAGGAGAAAAATCGAGGATAGGGACTTTAATGGGGAAGAAGCATGTCGACAGAAGAAAGGAACCTAGAACAAGCCTACTTGCGGGTTGAATTTGAACAACTAGAAACCTGAGGTCTTAGATAAACAAGAAAAAAGTGAAGAAAGAAAACAAGAATAGGAAGAGCAGAAGCGAAAGTATAAACATAAAAAAAAACGCGAGGTCCAAGTCCAAAAGCCGGATGATAGTCTGAAGAAATGGCCATTTCGCAC